AGCAAGCGACAACGAGGCGATATGGCTGATCTCGAGGCGGAGGCATTGAAGATGCTGCAGTAGCTACCAATACCACCAACGTAAACTGACGTCATTATCACCATTATAGTATAGTAGTAGTACTCTTGCTATTCCCAGTGTCCATACTCGAGTTACTCTCTGGGATTGTTCCTACGTTACTGAAGTTTGCGTGTTGAGCCTATAGTGTTATCCTAGCAGCAGCTGGCGAGTGGGGCTAGGGTGAGGTTGCAGGGAGGGGTAGAAGAGGCCTGGTTGGCGTAGGAAGGAGATAGGTTCCTCGGTACTCCAAACTTGATAACGACTGCTAGTGGGAAGAAGCAGTCACGTTCCATCAGCATGTGCTGATCATAGTTCATGTCGTGAGAACTCACAAGGCGCACGCAAGTGCACGTGACCGCAGCACGTGATGTACCGCAACGGAGCGAGATCTTATGCTTCTTATGATCCCTTTTACTATTCCTAGCGACCTCTCTCGCTCTTACTCTGGCATCGTGTTGCTAAATCACGACGAGAACATGCAGGATTGTAGTAGATGTTTGTCTATTGCGATGTTCCTGTTAAAGTTGGTTTGTGACGCTGCTGTAGCTCCTACTATGGCTATACTCAACCCGATGGATGTCATGTTTACTCTTATGCCAAGCTGCTATGTAGGCCCTGTCTCTATGGGGACACCGCTGTCACTAGGGATGCACCAGCTCTCGCTACTCTCGCCATACTCGATCTAGAGATGCTGCTTAGTTATAGAGAAAGGCAAATCACGTATACCTTCGAGCTTTGTGAACAGGTTCCACTTTCTGGCCGGCTACTCAGTATTGGTCTTCTCAGCAGTGTCGTCTTTTATTCGATGGCAGAAGCATCGCCACACAACTCTCCCCAGGCTAGTGTTGCCGGTCCAACTGGGCCGACCCTTCCTCGCTGCACATACGTCATCGCCATCGTGTTGGTCCTTTTCTCTGCTCTCTTCTACAGAGTATACTACCAGATCTTGATGATGGACGTGTCTTTGGAGAGCATGCCCGAGACAATACAAGGGAGCAATGTGAGTGATGCAGTCAAATACAATATGCCAAGTGACAGTGTCTTTAGTGTCGTGAGATTGGCCCTCCGAAGGGTGTGAAGAACCTTGGTGGGATGGAGGACATTGAGTTCGTCAGTGACGGCTCGTGGGCTATAGTGTCGAATATGGACCCGAAGATGACCTTCAAGATGGGGCCTGTGTCAGAGGCCACGTGAGCGCAGTTAGCAACAGAGTGTTTATCATAGAATTGCCGTAGCCAGGTTCCCTCTGTTCGCACTAGACGTCAAAGCTGAGGTCCTCACAGCTCTGCCGTTGGAAGGTTTCCCGATCGGAATATCCTTCCGTCCCCACGGGATATCCTATCATAGGGAGACTGCCACTCTCGGTGTCGTCAATCATGCTTGGGCATCTGGCGGGGAACGGGTTGAGTTCTTTCGAGTGCGCTTCGAAGGACAACGACCTGTGGCGTTGCTATACATGAAGTCATGATTCCATTCTGTCAAGATGCTCACAGCGCTATTATCAGATCCGTTACTTCACCCGAGATGGGCCATGGTCAACTCAATGACATGCAAATATTAGAGGTCGAGCCTAGGGTGAAATTCTACGCCACAAAATGGTGGGGCCACCCTTTAGGCGACGATAAAGGTGAACCGAGTGTCTTCTGGTGAACAGAGGGAGACAAGGCTGTTCAGGTCCGAATATGTTGGCTAAAGGGCGCTTCCTTGCTGACTTGATACTAGGGTTGAACTCCTGTACCATAGTCTATTGTGACGGAGAGAAGTGCCGAGATACCGGTGGTGCTAGGCCCGGTTACAATGGGATCTACATATCTCACGACAGGTAACCAACACTGAGTCGAGGCTTCCGTCATGCCGCATTTGAATATTCCGTTATGGCGTTCTCACGACATAGATAATCTGTGATAGACTCCATGATGTAGGGTCCCGGCGTTGTTTTAGGTCAAAGCTCGCAGCAGTAGTCATGGGTGACCATGGCCTTAATCTTTATGATATTCTCCCTGATGGCGATCTCCGAATCATCGGTCATGTACACACTGGTATGCCTCTTGATAATATCTATCCTGATCTTGAACGATCTACTCCACAAAAGCAGATCTATTATACTGCAGGAATACGAAGACCTGTTGATTTGCTCTATGGTTCTGAGAACTTCGGCAAGCCCAATATCACTCGAGAGGATATAGCTATCCCAGCTCATGCAAGGCGTGTGACCATCGAGTGGGGTGACAACGGTAGCCAGCCATCTTTCACTATAGAGGAACTATACTCCACTCGAGCCATGCAGAACATCGGCGCTTGGAGTGTCTTTGCTAAAGCACCGAAGTCCAAGAAGCACATCCTTGGTTCTTTTCTAGATACAGGTTTGCTTATTTGTGACTGAATAATATCGGTAGTAGAAACCCCATAATGTGGTACCCAGATCTTCCGTATCATAGCCAGTAGAAACTAGGCTTTCAATTGAAAGCATCAGCTCGGCATCCGACCATTAGAAAGGTGGATAGTTTGATTATCAATTCCCTCGTAATGTTATCATCGTTTCTTATCTTGCAAACTCGAGTTGTGCTCTGAAGTACGATGATGGATTTGTATCTTGTGCACGCAGGCATGATCACAGCATGGTACCGAAACATGATAATACATCTGGCGTATCAGATTATGGAGTACGATGATCTGGGTGACTGATGCTCCATCTCGCTTGATGAACATTATCAAGGGTAGTTCAGTAACACATCATTAATGTCAAATTCTAACTCTTCCGCGCTTTTGTCATTGAACCGTTTGCTGTGTTAGTGCAACCAATGGAGAGTTTGGATGCTTTCTCTCTCTGCTTTTCAGTCTAGGTCCACTTACCAATACTCAGGAGGAGAAGCTCAGAGTAACTCACGAAATGTGTGTAAGACTAGTCAACACAAGCTGCAGTGGTTAGGACACTCTGGTAGATGATAAGCACATTCATGCTTTCGAGTGAACAAACACAGGTTGCCGCTCATTGAGCAGCCACCATATTCGCAATGTGCGAATGACAATAATAACTAGCTTGAACGGGACGAGCCTTCAGGGAACCAGAACACCATGAGTGTGCATACCAGGGGAAGGTATCTGCAACGGCAATCAGTCGTTCATTAGCGTCTAACGTCACCTACCTCCGTGGCAATACCCTCCTCCTTCCCTCGTTGGATGCCCACATTTGTCTCGAGCAGGTCATTCGTCAGCTTCAACCTCCATGGTCCAAGTACCTTACAAACGGAAAACCAAATATCATCACTGAAACCTTCCGCGCAGGATCGGCTCACCTTCAACGCTGCATCTCCCAGGGGACTCATGTATCCCGACCTAGGCCCCAAGCAGAGCAAGACTTGATAATCATTGAAGTCAGGAGTTAGGTGGACAACCTGAGAAAGCCCTGCTGCTGAGATGTAACTGCAATAGTTCCAACGTTGTTCATGTCCTTTGCTGCCCTCATCAATGGGACTTTCCCGACTACCCGAACGGAGGCCGGACGGCCAGGATTTTGGTCAGATTCGAATAGGAACATCTGACAGAAATACCATCAACAGCACAAGCAGGGCGACTCCCTACATCCTCAATACGGCCATCAAAGTCGCCCCTGACGACACGATCGTCAATCTCCCATGGTAGAGTAGGGTCATCCCAATGCTCAGCACAGATGGCAGATCGCCACTGTCGATCCTCCAGCCTATACCTGTGAGGACCTGTGAAAGTCACTGCGCGGACAGCTCACTTCTTCTCGCGGCTACTATCCACCACTAGAAACCTCGCCTTGAAGCACTCGGGCGTAGCTCCACGATGGTTGTGCAGTACAGCTTCCACCGCGACCTATCATCAGATCGACCTCCGCTGAAATCAGCCCATAGGTTGTCCATACTGTGAAGTTGTTCCAGTCAACTCCGATATTCCTAACCTCTTTGTAAGGTTTCCCTTTAACTGTAGTGTAGTACGGTCCATAAGGGAAGGCCTCCTCGAAGTATGGTGCCGCACAAGGGAAGAACTCCCCTGACGGAGATCTGGAGGCAAGCTTCGACCCAACCCAACTGAACACTCTTGTGGGACTACGTTGTGGTGCTAGCACACGTCCCGTCATCACCCAAGGGTCGGCACTCGCCATCGAAATTCATGCACTGCATCTCGATTGCCGTGACGAGAGTCCCTCTGCCCTGACAATGAGAACGGCGATCAAGAAGGTCTCCCGAGGGGATAGGGAAGGTCACGTATTGCTACCACCAGAGTCGTTGGCTCCTCTTGTTTCAAACAACCATCGCATGCCCTGGTCCAAAGGCACCTAATAGACGTATCCATGTCTCCACCGCATCCTCTGGTGGGATACTTGAGGTCATAAGTTGAAGTAGAATGACTAGGTTGAGGTAGCAGCGGGGAGCTTGATGGTTTAGCCTCGCAGGCCCTACTCTCAGTAGGAGAGCATTTGCTAGAGCAAAACCCATGAGCGTACCAATCGTACTCCAGAGTAGCCGAGCAACGCGTGCCTGAGGGAACTGCCGCTAAAGAGGCATCGAATTACCACTAACGATACCTTCCACACGGCATCTCTCTGAACACGGTACGGCAACGCAGGCTGATATCGGGGAGTTGTCCTCTGCAGTCATAGCAATGCATTCTTCATCACAAACCCTCGCCAGGCTCCTGAGGTGAGCCCCATAGAGCCCGACCACGCTGGCACCGTCCTCACCGTAAAAGGCTTGGCTTGGTACGACGGAAGAGTATGTCGGCCATGGGCGAGACCTCGCATCGAGTCACCACCGAGGCCGACCCCTTGATGTCTATTCCCGTGATACCCTTGGGATGCCGTTGCCAGCACACATGGTTACACAAGAAGAGGGAATCGTGGTTGGGGAGGTCACCTGCGACCAAGGGGACCATTCGGACCATCCATGTATTGCCATATGTGTACCCAGATCCGGTTCGGAAGGTGCCGTGATGATGTCGTTGGGGCCGCCATTGGAATTCACAGAGAGGAATATCAGCAGCTTGGCCAACATGATGTTGCCCTCTACCTGATGGTTCACCTGAAGATGGTATACGACACCTGTTTTGGTGGGACCCACATGGCTACCGCTGCTGTATAGCGATCGCCCACAGCTGATAACCACCCTTTGGTCCTGGACGTCTGAGATAGTCCCATGGTCTTCCAGTCGCTGTCCTTCCGATCAAGCAAGTCGAGCTCAGAGGGAGACTATGGTAGAGCCATGAGGTGATAGCGTTTCTGAAAGGCTCCCTTACTTCTCCCTTCCACCGACTTAGCAGTGAGGACAGCTCCTCAGACAGCGTACTGTTAGAGCTCCCTGCCTCGTCAGGGCGGCTGTAGTGACGATAACCTACAGGGACCGCCACCGTCAATGCTTACTGACCTCTACTGCTTACCGAGTGGCGCGATTGGTATCTTGGGATACGCTGTCTTGGGTGGAATCTTATGATGCCGGTGTGGATGGTACTTCCTTGGTACGGTGTCTCCTCTACCACTACTACTCCTTACATGAGCTTTCCTAATACGTCCTCTAACAAGAGCCTTTCGAGGATGCTTATGAGGATGCCATGCTTCCTTTCCAAGAGTGGTGCCACTACCCTTGGTGTGCCTCAAGGCCTCAGCTCCCGCCCTATGCTCCTCCATTGTACCGTTCATGCCAGACACGGCATCTCTGTGTCTACTACTACGATCGCTCTTGTTCATCTGGCCACGCACAGTACTTGGGAGGACTCCTTCAGGGGGTTTTCCAGAGTCCATAACTTCAGGACGATCTTGATCGATCCCATTACGGCTAATATATCTGTCTGCCTCCTTAGGTCTCCCACTGGCGCGACCATTGTTACTCTCCCTCGCTATCTCCTTCGGCCGAGTCGCCAACATATCTTTCCTCTCCTCCTCACTATGATTGGTAGTATAATGAATACTATGTAGTGCAGGATGGTACGGCCCTTTATGTTCGGACACGGCTACTCCCGACCGCTCATACTGCAATGCCTGGGGTATCTTGGGTGGTGGAATCCTGAATGGCGCCTCTCCTGCACCGTTACTAATGCGGTCATCGAATATCGATGCTGGGCTTTCCAACGTGACTATTCCCTCTCCATCATCGTGATTTGGTTGCAGTGTTGTTGAGCCGGGTCCACTATTGTTGTTGGGATGTTCACCTACTTCCTTGGTTTCTTCGGGTACAGTCAGCATGGGATTAGCCTTAAGAGCATGGAAACCCGTGAATGTATCGGAGCTGGATTGGTCGACTCTCCGCTGCCATTCTTCATCATGTCTATCATGATGATTTACAGGATGCCACACCGTCCGTGAATGTTCATCTTGATCGGAAGGGGAGGAGGTGGAGGTCAGCCGGTCTCCAACCGTTATGGTCATCACTGTGACAAGAACGACGAAGGCAATGTTGTGGTTGGATGATATGGGTAGATGTCTCTTTCGCATAAGAAAGAATAAATACTAAACCTGATGGGAAACACCTATGGCTCATGTTGGTTCATTAGGGTCGGGAATCACTCCGGCAAGTAGTAGCTGGCCGCAGTCGCGCGCCATGAAATATGGCGTTCGCCTTTTCCATGCTCAGAATTCGTGCGTTGAATTATACATCTTCTTTTCCCATGCACACACGAGGCTTATACGCATGTTTATATACTACTACTCATTTTCGATAACTTATTGAAAAAGGGCATTCGCAACACTCTTGAAGTGGGTCTCTCTCATTCCCCAAGGTATCTGTAATGTCGCTCGCCTGTAGCGGCTGACCGTTCCATAGATGTGGCTCGCTGAATTGAATGATAGATTTCACTTGCACCAACTCGTGGTGCATTGCGTTACCCAAATGGTTAACGGTATCTCTCCCTCAAGGCAACAGGGTGATTTCGATTCGAAAATTTCGAGTATCATACTTGAGCTGCAGGTTGCAACACGGATGAGTTCAGTAAGGTCCGTACTAGAGTCCGTGAATCGCGTCCGTGAGGCAAGACCGATGCCCCTCCGTTGACCGCAGGTGTGGTCCTTATATACTCCGAAGAAACAATAAAAACTCCGCAGACGCATCCTCGTTCATTGCTGAACTTCATGATAATGCATAGCGGAGCCTCAGTCGTAACGATGGAGATGAATATTGGGAGCGTTTGAGACATACAGCGAATTCATATGCTCGGGATTTCTCCGGTCGAGTGACTCGATCTGAAGACCTATGATTGTTGTTACAGCTGCAAATGGGTGTATGAGAGTTGCCCTTATCAAGAGAAGTGACGCCCTTAACGCTCCTGTTCCCTTGCTCGGCACCACTCACAGCGAATAGGCCTCTCGTTACTGCCTTTGTCGGTTTGCAGCATGGAACACGAAAAATGTCGTAGATTGGGTGGCGGAGTTTCACCAATTGATGTTTCGATGATGAAATGTCTGTTTGCGCTTGGGGGCGCACCAAAACAGGAGACGCAGTATCCGAACGTGAAGGTCCCTCCCTAAGCTCAGTTGATTACAGTCACAACTCCCTCATGAGAGCTCTGCATTTCACGATGTGGTCGCTCTGGTCGGTCTCCTCAGTTAACACAGCTGTCGTTGCACCGACTGATGATGGTGATCAGAATGTGAGATGCTATTCTGGTCCTGCTTATCGCGTATGAGCTCTCCTCCACTTTAGAAGGCATACGAAGTAATCAAGATGCAGTATGGAAGCGTCTGCAGAGTCCTCGGGACGGAATTCGAGTGGTACTTTGAACTCTCCAAAGGAACATTGAGAACAATCTCTCTGCGTTGCCAAAATTCTAACTATCACATGTAAGTTGGACCAGGTCGGCATTGAAAGCCGCAGCTTTCGAGGCACCTCGTAGTTCAGTTTTCTCGTGCATCTCAGAGCAGCGGATCCCACACAGCCAATCCCAAGAGCCGTCAGTATACAGAGACTTGGCGTCCCTTATTATCTCGACGATTTCCCTGACGAAAACAACATAGTTCAGGATCCTTTGTATGAGAAAGGGATCCATTACGACAGGGAACGCGGAGAGGACTGCGAGTCTATGGCCGCCACGGTTTACAGAAGTTTTCAGGATGTCTCTGGAGGCTCTAATGCTCCTGCTCGGCGGAAAAAACGCAAGATAGACCTGGGGTGGGAAAGTTTGGAGGCCGGGCTTTGTGCGGCGTACGCCAATCTGGTTGACCGATACGACCTCCTGCCGGTTCAAGCATGAGACTAGGAGCGAACCGAAAGCACCTTCGTCACCTCCCATCGAGGTCTTGTTCAGCCGAATTGTGTGTGTATTGCTGTCTATGTATTGTCGGTTCAGACTGTGATGTGTTAACTACAGTACATGAGGAACATTTCCGACTGGTAACTCTCGTCGAGGGTGCGACGAGTGTAACCTTGATACTAGGCGACCCCGGTCTTAGAGGTATTGCAACCGGTGCGTGTCAGAGTGAGAAGTGAACGAAATGTGGGAAGTGCATTGGTCTCACCATCATATATACTCCCTGGACAGTCGATGAACCATCTGCAGGAAACGTCTTACTTCACCATCTTCAAGATATCGAAACGCGTGAGCACACTTTAGCGAATCATCGAAGATATCACATACGTAGTACATGTCCAACGGTTATGTACGATCGTCACCCAGTAGCTAAAGATACTGCGTAACGGCCGCAGCAGCCAACGACACAGCACACAGCGAAGCACGTCCTATCAATGTGCTTTTTCATGTCGCGCGCCACAAAATTAGGCGAGGAATTTAGGGGCGCGCATGAGGAAATGCCATTTGCCGGTCGATCGGGCGTGCTAGCAGTGGCTTTTGCCAATGACCGGCTTCTATGCCTTTTCCATAAGCGTTACCCTTCTATTAGCATTGGGTGCAGGTGGTGCCCAACGACACCGTCACGAGGAGGTGGTAATGCTTAGGAAGCTGCTGAATAACATGTCTCTCCCAGGGCCACGGGAAAAGTCGTCATCACGGCTCTAGTACCTTCCTAGGCCCTTCTATACCTCATCATGAGCTCAGAGCATACCACAGCGATGAACCTACTAGCAGTACGAGGACAGCACAGACTAGGGTACGTTATAGTATGCAGTAGGACACGTCACTTTCGATCCCTCAGTCTCATATGATGCTTCGGCGAAGGACACCTATTAAGGAAGTCCCCATTGAATTGACCTCATCAAGGTAGTACTGGGCAGGGGAAGACGGTTTTGCCGACTACGGCGCGAGATAGACCGTGCAATGATAATCTCGACGGTAGATGATCTGCCTTTCTCTTTAACTGAGTAGCATCTCTAGATTCCGAGTGCAATGATGGGTGCGCTGCATCAGCTGCTATTGCTGTACTCTTCTGTCAGCTCGATGATGGGTCTTCCAGCTTCGGCTCCGATCGCTCTACCCATCCAACGAGGTCTAGTGCCCATAGGGTTCGCCCCTCCCACCAAGTGGCGCATGAGACCTACCTCTACAAAGTAACGAGTGTTGTTCCCATTCTCAACAGGGCTCTCTTCTCGTTGCTTTAGGTTGGCTATTCTCTATCTCCTTTATACATTCACTATCACCTGCGTCCTCACCTTCATCATGTGGCTCGCCTATGTGAAGATTCCCTATATAGTCGACATCGAGTGCGACCGGGAAGGCCATGTCCGCACCCCACCTGCGGTCTCGACGCTAACGGTCTGTGAGCAGATCAATGTGGCTCATGGCGGCCCAGCTAAGGCAGTGAGTGTGGTTACTTGCCGTTGCCATCCGCGACGTGACATATCCGTAGTGTGATGATATCACTCAAGCTTTGATTCAATCGAATCATCAGCGACTCTTGTTTTGTTGTACCACCACCAGCACCAGCATGAGCTACGCGCATGCCTCGTTGTCTGATAAACCGCTTTACTGTTGCGCAGTAATATGAATAGCAAGCCTAATGAAGTGGTTGAAGTGATAGCGCTTTCGTGATGCTACTAAGAAGCTTTCCTCTAGGTAGCTAGTGATCATCCTGTGGTGATGAGCTACGATTCAATCTTACTCAGTCGGCCTCCTGGATGTCATCAGACTCATCCTCGGTATAATCTTCTTCCTCGTCCGCCTCTTGAATGCCCCCCTCCCAGTCCGCCGCCCATACAACTGAGCTTATCATACACAGATGATGTTGATGATGACGAGGAGCCCCAATCGTCATCATTCTCATCAGCCTGAGCGGATGACTACTTAGACACCTTTCCTGTCGAGGTTTCCCTAGTATCACATATTGCTGGATAGTGAGACCCTCAGAGCTGACAGTTGTAGGGTGGCAGTCTGCCTCGGCCACCACTCAATCTATCCATGGTCCGTTGCCATGCATCTCTGCTAGTATCATACCAACACACTGGGAATCGCAATTGCGGACTGAATACACGACAGTGTGTCCCCATCAATGAGCGAAGTATTACTTCTCATGTCCGCGCCGAGATGATGGAGACTTTGGAGTAAGGCCAGAGCAATCTCACCAGTGGGGGCCACACCAGCGACCCGATCGTGGAAGCCGATGACGGGACGAGTCTGTGTCTGATCTAGCATGTCGCATTGTCATAGGAGACTATGCAAGAGTAGCTGATCCACGAGGAGGGGGGGGGGTTGTACCGAACCACCCCGCTACACCGACACGACCATGAGTGGGGTATTTAATGAAAATTCAGTGAGCATGCTAGTGTATTAGAATTAACCTGCCTCTCAGTTCTCTCATCTGAGGCCACAAGGAAAGTGTTATCGTAGCATTATTTTGGGAGCCCACACCTGGTGTTGCGCTGTGCGAACAAAGAACACAACAGTTTGAGAAAGGGATAAACCCGAATGGACTCAGAGCCTCTCTAGCATCTACATAGTCAGCCACTCAGGATTCACGGAAGAAATCACAAGGTGGTTAGTACATCAGGTATACTGTTGTTGTTGATGATGATGATGATGATTTATGTGATGATTAGACTCTACCATAGCTGGTACCCCCTGCGGAGCTCGACTTGGTGGAGGCAGGTAAGGCATCTATCCGTATTACAGGTATGCCGAATACTACGCAATCTCGGCGGATTTTGTACTGCATAAGTTGCAACGAGTGAACCAAGGAAGAATATTCAGATCCCACTTGATGCTTACAAGTATAGCTTCGAGAGCTGGGAGATGCCAGGAGTAAAGGAACTTTGTAGAAGGGGCTTATACCCAGCCGTGTCTGCTTCCAAGCGGTTGACATGGAAATTAGCAGACAGAAATCATTTGGGAGAAGTCGAGTGTGGACATCAAGTCTCATCGTGCTTCAAGGGAACAATCCCGGAGTCAATCTAGTATGGTGGTCGAAACAGCGGCAGTGTCCACTAGCATAGCCTCCAGATCGGTATGGTCATCGATTGTCACTCCCTGTTTTTGAGCTTTCAACTCTTCTGGGCAGTGAGCTGCTTTCGATGACGGTCTCTCACTCCGCCTCTTCCTTTCTCCCATTTGCAAGGTTCCTCTTTCTCAGTCGAGACCGTTGCTCAGATATTCCCTGCCCATGGAAATCGTTATTATTTCTAATTTGGACCTTATGTATCGCCTACGAGTCAAACAGGCTATCAGTAGATCCAGTTGGGCCTCCGCTGCTCAGGTTGCGAGCACCTTAGGTTGACCAAGAATAACATCTCCCCAACTGACCATTTCCCATTGAAGAAGTTATGTCACCCGTACGGAAGAAGTTGTGTTATATTCAGCCGTCAATCATACAATGAGCTGCGTGTTATTGATAGTAAAAGCATCACTTGTATGTCATCGTTTGGCGAGCTCATAGCCGCCATACAGTCCGTTGGAAGCGTCAAAGACAAACGGCAAGCGATACGTAAGAATAGTAGCTGGACAGAACGCGGCTCAATCGGTCATCATCGGCGCTCCCGTATACTATAACTGCTGCTAGTAGAATCCCTCCACCTTGCATTTGGGATATCAGGCTCACTAGCTGCACAGTGTGGCAATCGGGTGAATGTGGTGAAGATACTGCGAGCGAACGGTTGGTCCAAGGCTATACAGCCGTTATTGTTTTCGCTAGACCGGGAGGCTCAGGTCGGCTCTCTGGTGTCCTCACTCACCGTTAACGTGCTTCATAGGTCTACGCGGCCCTTGCTGCTGCCAATTTGACCTCTTTCGATATCACTCACAGTATTCTGTGTGAACAATGCGCCATACCAGATCTGTTGCAAGTAGCACATGATTCGGATGAACCCGATCTCGTCGTGTATGGCCTGCAAGCTCTTGGTAACCTCGCTGGCTCCTCTTCGACCCACTCTGCCATGACGAAATACAAAGTAGGGCGCTAGTGGAAGTCACCACTGGTGGACTCTTTCACCAGTAGGTTCTGCCCGTCGTTTACTCGATCTATACAAGGGTGTCACAAGAAGGGGAAGTTGGAATGCGGAAGGATCAGGCAAGAGTATTTTCATACCATCCATAGCTCATCTTAATCGGTCAGATAAAAGTCGCGACACTCTTTGCTCTGTCCAACCTCAGCGGATGTCCATTGCATAGAGAGATGATGATGACCGAACTTGGAGTTCATGAGGCTGTGTGGAAGTGAGGACCCACAGTCCGGATACTGTCACCCCTATGTTCAGAGACTTGTTCGATCCATCGCGGAGAGTGATGGCTCAAGCTTTGGAGGTTATACGCGGCTTGTCGGTCCATAAGAAGGCTCAAGAGATCTTCCCGACGATGGGCATCCTCCCTTACTTGGCGAGTATACTTCGAACCAAGGTCCACAAGGAGGTCCATAATGATGCCGTCAGTGAAGATCTAAGGTAGGGTTGATAACGCCATGTTTGCCACTATCAGTACCGGGGTAATGGTTACCTTCAACGGCGGTGTGGGAATATATGTTTTTTTTCGCAGCTGAGCTCGTGAGATTCCTCACAGCACTATGAGGATCCACACACGATTCAGAGTAGAAGTATACGAAAACCAACGATATTTCCCTAGAATTTCCTCAGAATTTCCATATTGTCACCGACACATGTAGTTGACCATGTACATATATTCTCACACTGTTCTACAGGCATGCTGCTTTGGACACCCTTGTTCACGTGAGCTTCAACGAAGTATCGGCCAGGATGATCCTCAACTCCACAGAATGTGTTGAGGTTGTGTCCAAACTGGCTCAGCTAGATGGAGAGGACCAGGTCATCGGAGGCTTTGATTACGATGGTAACCTTCGCTATGTCGAACAGGTGGGCAGAATTCTTTCGTCTCCAGTGTGATTCGGTTAGCTTAGGCATTATGTATAATAGCGAACCAATTGAGCGACCCGTCGACCCATGCTGATATCATGGAGGGTAGAGGTAGAGCACTCTACGATGGTCTCCGTCACAACGTAGACTCGGCCATAACTTCGGTGATAGAGCATGTCATCAGAGCCTACATGCATCTCAGCATGAATACTAGGTAGCAAAGGACGGCTCTAATCGTCGGAGGCTGAAGCATGTAGCAGATACCACGAACGGATACTCGAGACTGGTCTTATCTGTGGAGTGGTGATGGTGGCAATGCATGAGCAGCTACCCTTATCTATGAGAGTCTGCGCCATACAGCTAATGGCTTCCCTCTCAGCTACGAGCCCTATGGCCCCTAGTGGAGACTCTGTTCAGGTGAGCACCCACCCCCTGTCTATCCGCCTTTCAATAGCCCGTCTATCTATCAATACCAAACTTTTTACTGGCTGCCTCTCCTCGTAAACTTCCCAACTTGGCAGCATTGGTTAGTTCTATCGTGAGGGTATATCTTTCAGGCAGCATGTGCATTGGTGGTATCTGGAGACGCTAAAGATGTGGTGAGACCCGGCCAGAGATGTATCGATGATATGATGATAACTTCCCACTTGAGTCATCCTCCTCATCTCTCAGCCACAGTTGAACAGAGCCTCTATCGGCAGCTGAGACGGTATGCTGCAATGACTGTAGCGAACTGTGCTGCTGCAAAGGAAAACATAGATCACATCCTTGGTGGACATCGAGATGATGCACCTTATATCAAGGCCATGCTGTGAGGGGGAGGGCCTCAGCCCTACTCCTTGTGGATGTGTACAGTGCAGATACAAGCTCTCGACAACAGACGATGCTGTAGTGATGTCCCACATAATAGGATGTTTCCACAACTTGGTCAATAATAGCCCAGCACGATGTGGGCGGATACTACTCGACGCTGGTTTGCTGAACACGATCTTTCTCAACCCCACTAACATATCTCATGAGGTAAGCCTATGAACATCGATAGAGGAGTATGCCTCTGTTGGCGAAACCTCTGTAAAAATGATCAACCAGTGTTCGGTTATTTTGTCAGAAATCACGACGATCTGACTCAGTACTGGACGTGGGTGGTGAAAGCGAAGGCCTCCACAAACATCTGGGGTATGGTAAGATGCCGGTAGACGAAGCTCGAGAGGAGCACACAGAGAAGCTGATGGAAGTAGGGCTGGGAGCTCCGCGCACTGAATGGTCGCAGTACGGATCTACGAGTATAGCAGCGGTTTGGTGTGAAACTGCCAATTTCAGAACGATGGTGATGTTGGACTATCGCTGGGAGAGAGAAAGTCGATACCACTGCTGCTTTTACAAGTTATGAATATAGAGAGCTGTATATACCTTTGCGACATGCTCATCGCTATGATCAACTCGGAGGAGTATTGCAAAGTTAGGATTATGAAGGTAGGGTCGAGTGGCTGACGGGCTCGTCATCGTCATCCTGGCCGTTTCCTGTTGTTGAAGTTGCAGACAAAGCTCATTTACGTTGCTCCGTCAGACCAAGAAAGATAATCCTCTGATCTTCCAAAAGATTCTCACGCACTGGGAAGAAAGTCAGCTGAAGGACCGCAGACTGGCACCACACGTGGCCCTTTTGTGTTCGACTGTTGCCTTCGAAGCGGACTGCCAACATGAATTCCTATTGCAGGGAGGGGTACGCCTTGCCGTCAAAATGTATGAGGAGCACTTCCCGGATGATGAGTAAGCTACTAGTCCACCTCGAATTGGGGCTCGACTGTGTATGATCGATGCTTCGAATTGTTCGTGCATAAGCGCACTATGTTTTGAACTATCCCCTAGCCGCTTTCAATGAGATTTGCTTCGGTAGTAGCTTGCTTCGGCCAAGATACATACGACTATGCTGCATATTGAGTATTCTCTATCTAGTGTCCCCAGAGGGGCAGGGACGGGGGGCAACGAGAGGACCAGAGGTGACCGATGGTGTATATTATCGATTCAATGGATGCCTTGGTAGGAAGAAGAGGTCCGCATGTCCGCCGCCTCCCTTCGTGGTGTGGTGATGGCAGATGGACTGCGACTTCTACTGACAGCTTGCGAGAACGAGACGCATGTCGAGATAGTAACTAACGCCTTGAAGGCTCTCATCCCCTTCGCCGAATCAGAGATGTGAGGCGGACTTCATCGACTAAAGCGCTCGAATGCAGTGGTCTCGTGAACTCAGATATCGGCCCGTCATAGGAGGGCCGTCCCTGAGAGGTATGGAAATCATCAGCAGCTATCTCTATTCGGACAACCTTGAATTGAAGCAGACAGCCATCTTCCTCCTGCAGCACCTTCTCACGAGTGCGCCGGGCGGGACTCAATAGCACTGCTGATGCTCTATCGCTTGTCCGCTCAGGTCAGGCAAACCGACGCTCTTTTTTCAATCTGCATCGTGATAGGGAGAAAAGAGGAGCTTGCGACATTATGGTATGAGTGCTGGGCTTAGTTTAGTTGAACAGCGTTGCAGGTTATCCCAGAGGAAGACGATCTAGAAGGCCTTGTGAACTGTCTGCCGATAGTTCGCCTTGGAATCCCCAAGAACGTGGTACTGAAGCCAGGAGGTAACCATGCGAGCCCCAGGTAGATACCCCCGGTACTCCTTCATTTGTTTGTTTAGTCGCTAGTGGGAGCAGCTCTATGGATCTTTCGGCTCTCGGTGACATCTTTGCTGGAGGCCTATATGACCCTTTCGTGCTGAAGTGCGCGACGAGGGCGCTGGCTCTGCTCGCCGGGGAGAAGGACATCAGTGCGCTGAGTAGAATTATCGACCATAAGGTAGGTTGACTACTATCCTCTCGTTGATTGCCACTTGTGACCAAGCGTGGTTTTCTATAAGGAGGTAGGTCTTTAGTGCAGATCCCTGTGCTTGCGCACAACATATTCTACTCGGGCCAGATAGATGAGGAGACTGCTGAGGGTATCGTGGTGTTCACTGCTGAGATGTGCCAGACCAACGATAGCATTCTGGATTCCATGGTCAAGTCGATGAACGGACGAGCACTTGTCAAGGTGGGGCCTCCTCTGGCAGAGGCAGCGACTTGGCATCGTTCAGGTTCTGCTCACGTACCACTCCCTGGACTTCTCTCCAGCCACAAGATTGGCGTGCTTGGGCGCGATAAATGTCCTTGCCCGTCACGGTGGGTCAGCTTCTGGTCTCCTGCTCGTAGCATGCCCTCTAGGGAAGCATCGAGGCTTGCTCATTGAATTCCTCCCTGTTTTGGCTGCTACTATTGATGCGGTGTTATATGGGAGCTCAAGAGAACAGGTGAGCCAAGAGTATTCGGAAGATTAATCCTGGATAGGAGTGCTTATAGGGTCTGGGAAGATCTACAATGGAGAAGAAGGTCGACGTTGAAACCTATCATAGTACCGTCGCGGTGCTGTGTTCTATCTTTTGTGAATTCTCATCATCTTCCAACGAGTTGGTCCAAAACACACTCTTATCGTGCAACGCTGTTGATATTTTCTTGACACTTCTGAATAAAGCATCAACGCCGAAGGTTGCCATTCTCGGCGGCGGTCGGGAGGAAGAAGCTCTCATGGTAGAGGTGCTCATCACAGCCACAGTGGGAATATCAAATCTCATTAGTGGAGCAAGGGGTGCGGAGTTTGTGAAGAAATTGTTATGTCCAGCCGCGAAGGTTCAATTCCTAGCTTGGCTATTCCAAGTCCCGCCTGGGAAAATGTTGAATGCATTCTATATGGGCACTACTGGACTGAAAACTATTCAGCGCATTCTCAAGGCTGGCGTCTCCCTGGACGACTTGGACACGCCCAGCATCGTGCCTTGGAGTGAATTCGACCCAACCGTCCATCCTCATGTTGTCATATGTCGCCACATCCTCCGCATTTTATGTATATGCGGCTTGTCCCACTTGGAGTGCCTCATCTCAGCCCTCCCTATGAGAGTACTTATGGCAATATGTCAGACAAGCTTGGGAGCTAGTGATGCTATGATGAAGTATCTTGGCGTATCTTTGGTATCTATAGTGTGCGAAAATCACTCAGTGGCTCTGGAGTTTGCGAAGGTGCCCTTCATAATAAATGTGGTGATCGACAGATTGCGAACAAAATTGGCCGAGGCTGGGTTCTCAACGAGGATCTTGCTCAAGGCCAGCGCGGATCGAGATCGTACCTCAGAAGTGGGTCCGAACGCTCGGACTGGCGGCGCCAGCTGGAGCACGCAGACTATGAACTTGTATGGCTTCGTCTCGGCTCTGCTGTGTATCATAAGAATGGGGGCAATGGTGATGGAGGTCTATGGTACAGAGGGGAATAGGGAATTGCTGGCCCGACAGCTGAGGCGAGGAGGGAAAGGAGGAGGTGTTCTCGGCAGGCGTGGGTGTCAAGGAAAGAATGAGGAGGACGACGAGGTAGCAGTATTATCGACGCTAATACTAATTTAGGCCGACTAACGCTAATTTAGCGTTAAGACTCGAGCCATTGAGTTACATACGGTTCAGCAGGAATTGCTGTTTGCCTAGCTTGTGTAGTCCGAAGCATCCGCCTTTCTTGACAGAGCACTTCTGTTGTGACATCATGTCATGCAGGAACTATTCATAGCTGATAGTAATACCTTTTACCATCTTCACGGTCGTCATTGCGATCGCCTCGGGATGTTGTCATCCGCTTCCCTATAAATTCTACAGTGGACGGGCTTCTGCTGTTCAGGATACGAAGAATATGTTGGTCACCACAAGCAATCTTAACTTCCTTATCACCCTCCCAGCGGCTATCCTCGGCTTTATTGACATCCACGCCTTGACGATATTACTGCACAGATCTTCAGGGAGGAACTTGCCGAAGGCCCATCAGGGGAAGGAAGACTACCAACGCTTGTCGGTGAGGGAGGAAGTAGGGGAAGGGGCTTTTAATCCACTTGATGGGATCCACGAGACTGTGGTTGAATTGGGGTATCATTTGGTCCGTAGTAGCCTGACAGGAAAGATCGACGCTGATGACCCTAGTGTTGTACCTCTCGAGCTACGGAGTAAATTCGATTCGATAGATGCTCTACGCGCTATGACTGAGAGGATGCTATCCCTGATTGTAACTTTCGGTCGGCATACAACTGACGCTGTCTTGAGGGTCACTTGTTCAGTCTTGGATACTCTCATCCAGCTCACTTACGTCTGTCCCACGGCCCTGTCCCTGCAAGGTGTTGGCAAAGTACTGGAGATGCTACCATACTGTACGCTGCCACTCAAGCAGAGAGTATGTGTACTCCTAGCAAACGTTCTGTCGAGAGAGGTGGTCAACGACGACGGTGACGACAGAACAAAGATCGAAAGCGCTCTTGCTTCTACTGGGGACTTCCTACAACGCCTTCTCTTCGACACGAATGATGCCGAGCTCAGACGTTACCTCACTGGGGTCTTGGCCAACCTAGTGGCCGTGCCAGAATGTGTGGGGACAACGCTGAGGGGGAGCGCGGTGCTTCGTATGTGTGCGAAAAGGATAACCTGGGAGCACTACGTGTCGAATTTTGCATTGCATTTGGAGTTGGCTAGGTTGTTGAATAACGTGTCTGGCAACAACCCTAGGGCCTTGAATGACCCTCTTGTTGTTCGATACATCAACGCGGCTCTGAAGCACAGCTATCGGCTGGTGAGTAAGGTGGTTGTGCCAGTGAAGGAAGATGCTGATGAGGAGAAAGGGAAAATGGCGGGAACACCCGAAAGGTTCACTTTGACGTTTACGCAAGTTGACATTCCGCGGATTGGATTGAAGATGAGCTGGCAGGAACCTCATCCGGTGGTCAAGCATGTCTTCCCTGGAGGGCAGGCGGAGCGTAAGGGAGAGGTGAGGGACCAGTCATAGGATGCTGCTAGGCGCTCGGTATCAGGTACGAGAAGGCGATCTTCTCATGGCTATCAACGGTGACACCGCCGTGGTGACACAGGACTACTTGAGCTGCATAGAGCCGCTCTTGAAGCTGAGGCCACTCAAGCTTACTTTCTGTCATCCGTTTGAGCAAGGAGAGGAGGCGGGCAGGAGGACTACTGCTATGGTAACGCTGGCACACAGTTTTTTTGGCAGTGTTTGATGAGGACGTTCGATAGAGCGTTGACCTGTATAGAATTCCTCAATCTCACTCAACGCGTCGGCCATTCACCCAACACAATGTGCGATGAGATTCGACATTGTTGGAACTGGGGATAGCCTTTGCCCGTTGGTGGAATGGGGAGCTCTACTCACTCGGATGTGCTCATCGGAATATTAACTCGGTGTCGATTGCAGGAACCGACCGGAGGAGTCTCCCGAGCAGAAGTGGCATCGGCTGCAGAGGAGCGGGAACAACTTGAGTGTTTCCAGCTGCTCTTCAATACACTATACGCTTTATCGGCCGACCGAGGAGTACAGGAAACCATACTGGCTGAGAAAAGTGACCATTACGTTTATTGGTTGATAGATGTGTTGAAGATGGGCAGGTACCCGGGAAGGCACAATTGTGGAGTGGATTGTCTCTACCTTCGTCGCCACTGACGGACTGGGTCGTGGAATGCGAGATGCCCAAAGCATTGAGAAACTGCATAGTGTTGCGAACAGGAGAACGGCGTAAGAGCACCGCAAGCCGTAACATCAACATTCTCGGTAGCTATGCTATCATCGCCAATATGTGCAAGTCTCACGGGATCAGCCAGAAACTGTCCGCTGCCTTAGTGAAGAATATCAAGATGGATGTGGACTTCAGAGGTAAGGCTGTTGTATTTGCTGCAGCGACAGGCCCCATCTTGTCTTCAGTCACCTCTTCTGAGCTGGCCAGTGAGGAGGAGCTGGGGGAGGTGTTGGCCCATAAGGACATGCAGATGCTGGCGCTGTATGCATCTACGCTGTAAGCAATTGTGTCATGACCTGGGTGTATAGCAGTGCTTAGCAGTTCCTATTGTGATACTGTGGAGGCTGAAGTGGATGTTGACAGCGAAGCATTGGAGAGCACAATACGACTCGCTAGAGAGCAGCTTGAGGAAGCTAAAGGCCAGGCAACGATAGCACCGATTGGTGAGTCTACTAGTGCGGGGGTTGTCGTAGGGGCGGAGTCAGTAGGTACGGCCGACGAGTATGTTGACGATCATAGGGCATTGGTCATGAGCATCGTAATGGAAGTTCTTTACAAGATCTCCAAGAGCCCACGAGACGACATCCGAAAACAGCTCTACTCCAGACTGGTGTTCATCACCTTGCAGGAGTGCATTACCCTCAGCGCTCGCCCTGATATACAATTGAGAGCCTATGAGGTTCTCTACCATATGGCCATCACTCGAATACACGACCTTGCCCTTTGGGAGCAGTTCGACCTGCTTCGGCACGCAGTTAAGGTGGCACGTCTATCAGCTGGTCGTGGTGGCCGTGAGCAGCATTCAGAGCGATTATGGATACTGCTATTGGGGGCTTGTCTAGCCCTGATATCGGGCGAGCTGAGCGCTACTTTCATGGAGGCACTGGGGAGCTCTGAGCATCTACACTCTTACCTCAAGCATCATTATGATCGGCTACAGACGGCCGAGGGGACAGCGGATGAGTCCCCGACTCACCAGGAGCTGTGCACTATGGTAGGCGTATTCGTGCAGCAGTTCTTCATGCGCTGTAACATGGCAAAGGCTTCGAAGTTATGGGCGCAATGGAGATCCTCGGGGCTGGTTGATCTCTTCCGGCGTGACATCGAAGGATATGTTAAGCGGAAGACCACAGAAAACGACGCCGCTTTCGACTCGGTTTGTTGGTTGCTTGTCCTCGGCTTGGACCGTTGCTTCATGGCAGCTACTGAGTGCACGGATTCTGGGAAATTCATAGAAGCCTTGGGCCGCCGGGTCGAACACTTGGTGGATTTCCTGGCACCACCTTTGCATCTGGACAATGAGGCATCGAAGGACCTCTGGCGACCTCCTTGTGACGAGGAAGCGGTTGATAGGGCCTCCATGGCATACAAGCTGCTACTTACGATGGTGTTGACGCTGAGTAGTCGACGAGCTGACGAAGGAGAGTCCGAGAAAAGGCTGCTGCCTCTAGGCGTGCTGGGCGGAGTACTCCTGCGGTGTGCTCTGGCTCGAGATGAGCGCATAGCTGACTTGGCTTCTGTGGCGGTGATGGAGTTGTCGCGAGAGGCCGGCAACACCGAATCCATTTCGGACCACAGTCTAACGGGCATCATGATTTCGAAGCTACATGACCAATCCATGGAGATTTTGAAATGGACGGATACCAAGTGCATAAGTGTCGCTACGGCGATCTCGAGACTGTGTGAGAGGGCTCCTGGGAAGATGCTCCGTTATAGAGAGCAGTTACTGAGGGCTCTCTCGCTGGAACCTGGCAACATCCATGAGGACTTTCAATGGAGTCTTCATCGTGCTGTGGCCTGCCTTGCTCAATTCTCGGGGCAGCGCATTGGTGACACTATGGCAGCCGAAGGTTTTGGTGAGAAGCAGTTTGAGTATCTCCTGAGCTGCGCTGACTGGCGACTTCCGTCTTCTGTGATGGCGATGCCCGGGGAGGGTATCAGGGATGATGTCCGCTACTACTGTCAAGTTATACTAGTCCAAGCGTGTACTCATTCTGAGTACTTTTGTGAGAATAGAAAATACTATTTCGACTACAATCATGTTGGGAAGGAGCAGTGCACGGTATTGAACGTGAATCGGTTGTTGACCGCCCTTCATGTGTGGAACTGTGTCGGTATGAGGACGAAGGGCTGTGAGGAAGCATTGGCGAGCTTTATCGAGCTATTGGTCACGGACGAGCGAGTTGATTACTCAGATAAGCGGCTCAAGCTGCTGCTTGCACCGCTGCTGAGGAGCATTGCTGATGCCAATGATGACTCTGACTGGATAGTCAGGGTCGTTAGAACCCCTCCGTTCTACCGCCTGTTGAGCAATTTTGTTGGCGATGAGATCGCAGCCAAACCCGAGGAGGCTAACGACGTTGCAGTCGCGGATCAGGCGATGTATGCCTGTGTTCGCTATGTGACTCTATCGGTACAGCAACAGGGGGGAGATGCGACAGTAGCAGCAGCACCGTGGACAGCCGCAAGTCAGCCTATGAATGAGCTGCATCAAAAGATATGCCGGTGGATTCCTATAGGAGCTGCTGTGCAATCATCAACTGTGAGGTTCAGAGCAGTGCAGTATCTAGGGGCCCTTGCTGCTTTCGAAGAGATGTGCAAAAGATGGTATGTTGAGACGGAGCACTGCCAGCTTCCTGCAGCCCCCTCAATGGCCCACCTGCTGCGATATGAGCAATCCTCGGACTATCTCCACTTCCTGGCATCGTCTCTTCTCTCTCAGTCGCCTTCCAGAGTGACTACTACCCACACTCTGTTGGTAATCCTCGCGGTCAACTACAAGTTCCATCTCCACGATGGGACACATACTCCTGATGAGCTCAGAGTGACAATGCGGCTGCTAGTGCGTGACCATAATGCTAGGAGGTATCTCTCTTGCCAAGGTCTGGCGTATCTCCTCAAAGCTGCAGCATGCGATGTAGAGATCGGCCTTGAAGACATATGGATTGAAGATCTCCTACGTGTTATGACCGAGACTGTGGATGACGTTGAAGGATGTGGTTCAGTATTGACTGCCGCCGATCCAGTTGATCGGGTAGAGTTACTGTGCGAGATCGCTAGGCTGTGTAGAACGATGGCCCGAAAATGGGTCGACACGGAAGGTGTTGGCAAGTATCCAAGTGTGTCTCCTGAATCCATCCTACATGTCACTTTGAAGGCATTCGCGAGATTCCACCGGGACCTCGATCTCCCAGGCAGATTGTCTGGTGGGAGCTACTCACTCATGCAGGCTAACCTGTTGCGAGAGCTTCTATTTACGTTGCAGACGCTTATGGTTCACTGCAAGGAGAGCGGACGGCGAGTTGAGTGGACTCGGATTGATTGCCTCTGGCTCCAGACTGTTCTGCAGATCGCCCAAAGAAATCTTTTCGATTGTGGGAACTCATACATACCGGCCGAGCTGGTCAGGGTTATCTATGTAGTTATTGTATGCGGCTTCCAATTCACCGACAGACATTTCCCTGAGCTCCTCGGAGAATACGCTTATGACTTCAGCTCTGGTACCGAGGACGCCGAGACAAAAGAGCTCGCTAGTGTGTCCAATGCTGTGCTCACAACAACGTCGGGCAACCGAAGTACTTCCATCATCAGTCGTGCTGTAGCCAAGGTGTTGAACAACGTAGCAGTGTTCATCCTCCAGCTTCGAGAGATTGTAGACGAACGTCAAAAGCTCTGGCACTATAGAACTGTTGCGTCGTGGACTTGCATGACAAGAGTCGTCGACCAGATCGTTGCCAACGACGAGTGCGTCGAATATATCCTCAGCTTGTTCAGTGAACCTTCCTTTGCGAAGTACAGTGTGGTCATTGTCCATAACATCTCCGCTGTGCGCAGTGACTTCACCCTATACTGCGAAGGCCTCCTCGAGACAGTCATGAGCTGCTATTTATCTAGCATTGATCGGGACCACGATGTGCTCGGTCCATCCGTGGCGTCGGACCAACAGCTGGCCATTATCCTCCCGCGACTTCTCCTCGGAACTATTCGCCATTCTATTCTCGAAGGCCCTTCCGGCGGCGCTAGCTTAGTACTTGGTAGTCATAGACTCGTCACATTACTTGAAGTCTTTACAAGAGTACCAGAGAGAGATTTGCCACTGATGCTTCCTTGCATGGTTCGCCTCTGCCGGGATGGTGGCCTAGGGTCTCGGCAAGAGATACTGCGTCACCCTGAGGTGTTGGACAGGCTGTGGAGGGTCGCGATTTCCAGTGAAGTACCAGGACGGGTTAGTAGCTCAGCATTGGAGGTAGCGTCTCTTGGACTTCCGTATTGCCCTGAAGGTCACTACCAAGAAAAGGTCAAATCCGAGTATTCGGATGCCGAGCCAAAGCGAGCAGGCCGACAGAGTCTGTATTTGCGCAAGGCCTCTCGAGACGCAAGCAAAACACTATCGAAAGAAGCCGACCTTAGCGTGAAGATGGTGGCTCTACCAAAATTGGTAGAGGATGCCTTGTGGATGATGGCCACATATTGCACGCTATCAACACTCTGGTCAATGCGCCCCGAGCCTCAGGGCATATACTACGATGAGCAACGAGCCTTGGATATCATCCGTAAAGCTGAAGATATCTGTGAATCAGCGTTGCAAGAGGATCCGCCAAGTTCCGAAGGATCGGAGGCGGAGCCCCACAGAGATCGGCTTGTTATAGCTGCCTTACATCTCCTAGTATTCGTAGCAGCCAACGACTCCTTGATGCACGACTGTACGCCTGTTGCAGATGGTATGGCGAAAATTGTTAAGCTCCTCCTAGCGAGTTCTAATAATCCCAAATATCATCAACTCGTCACCATTGTCTGCCAGCGTGCTGATCTGTATCGGAACGTGGCCATTTGCAGTAATCTGATCGATCGGCTGGGCACACTCCCAGAGCTTGCCGCTGACATGGTAGCTCGGTGTATGGCTGAACCGCTCGAGGAGCCACTACCTAGTACAGAATGTATCACTTTCATTGGCATGTTCACGGAGATGATCCTCCACAAGGGCATCAACACTATGCCAAAAGGACGAGACCTGTGCCTTCTGGTTTTCACTGGACTCGCGCACGCCTTAGTCTTGAAGCCAGACCTTGGTGAGGAGTTCCTTATGCGTGCATCGGGCGCGGAAACACTGCGAAGAGTGCTATCTATACTCGGCCAGCTCGGCAGTGCAGCTAGGAGTGTGCTACAATGTATTCACACTCTGCTTCGACTTGTATTTGTTCCCTACTACACGACTTACACTACTCATGGACGAAACCCCAGTCTCGATACGCTTTTCATCACAACGCTATCCAATGCGATACCGCCTCTCGTGGGGCTTCGTCTCTCCGACAATGATGGTGGCTGGGTCCAGCGCTTCATACACACTGGCACTTACATGGTTTATGTTGCCTGTGTGCAAGCCGGGAGTGAAAGCAACGACGAGGTGAACAGATCTCTGTCCGCCTTTGATTGTGGCGTTCGAACTGTCAGACCGCCGCTAGACTGGCCACTGACGTCTTCATACACAGGAAGCTGCACATGGCACTCAGTAGACTACTTCGTTATCTAGCGGATGGGCTCGTTACAAGACCAAGGTCTGAGAAAGCCGATAAGATGATGATCAATGTTCGCACCGCTGTGAGCACGCTGGTGCTCTTCGGAGAAAGATGTCCAGAAGTACTGGCATTGACACGCGACGACATTGTAAGCAACACTCCATGATTTCGCTACTAGAGCTACAACCACGTACAACTACTACAGCCACGTCGGCAACTAGTATGCGAAGAAAACTCACTATCAGGTATCTGCCCTCACGAGAGTGCTAAACATTCCATGTGTATGCAGAGTGTTTGATGTCCATTTTATAGCATTTGTTCTGCTGAAATTCCGCACAGCGAAGATGTACTTATCAGAAGCGTTGCCGGTTCTCATACCAAGCTTGAACCGTACACTGGCGGAATTGACATCGAGGAGGTGAGAGAATAATACCTAAAATAATACTATAACAATAGTAGTATATGTGTATCATTATGACATATCGTAGTAATTTATGTATAATAATATGTGGTTATGATAGGCAGAGGGCTCGCCTTGCTAATACCAGGATGTAGCAAAAACTCGCTCTGCGAATTTCGAATGGTTTGAACGAACCTTCGCAGCTCGAAGAAGTTCATTATAGCTCGACTTACTCAACTTAGTCATCCTCTCAACGAGAGGATTTCCAGACATCAAGAAGCCGATCATCCAACAGGTCCAGACTCATCTTGATCTTGTCAGATGCACCTCAGATCCATCCTCGCGGAGCTTAGGTGATGCATCCTCCGGCGTATCTGAGGGTAGGTGACCAGTCTATCTTGCTCTTGGACTTGTCCAGCCAACAGATTTCGGGAGCAGTGTCACTCAAGAGAGCGATGAAACAGCAAACCTCCAAGAATGCATGGCGCATAACTTGAGGATAGCCTTGCTTTCTATGGCCAACATCGCCTCGTACTCTAACGCTCAAGATGGGAAGGAGATAGTATCTCTGGTTACCAAGGAAATAGTGCGACTCATGTCCCACGTGTTGAAGGAAGACTTGAAAGTCAGCTCGCTATCTAGTGACAAGAACCACGCACAGTTTTCAGGCGTTGTTGACGATACTCGCTATCATGTGTGTTGGTGGAGGCTACGAAGCCCAGCTCAAACTCGTCGATTTTGGGGTCGTCAAGGAGCTCAATGAGATAGCGCAGAAGATCGATCTTCTGAAAAAAGTAGCTTACCCCCACTATTCCCTCGGAGGACGTGAGGTATCGTAGATGGTGTCAGGCTGATGCTGATTCACTCCAGCTCGCAATCATCTGGCTAGAATGCGGCATCGCTCTGCTGTCTACGAATGCAAACCTTCGGCGTGAAATCTCCGATGAGAACCCCCTTTTCGTGAGACAAAACATGCGCATCGCCAGCCAGCTGATAGCCCATCTTAAGCCCAATAGCCGCTCGATATCGCGAGTCTATGGAGTTCTACTCCCAAGGCTTGTGCGGGATGCCTTTGGTGAAATACTCACTGAAGATTGTGGTCCACTATTGCTAGCTGACGAGGATCGAAAGTCCTTCTTCGAGACTATCCTCCTACCATTGATCGCTCGGTCCTATTCGAATGCACTGCGTGCTCTATGCTATCGCACTACAGGCCAGATCATCACCGCGATGGATGTGGTACATTCAAATTTCGTAGCTATTGCTTGCCGAGCGATGCAAGGCATTTCTAATGCCGTAGCCGAGGCTGCTGCGGAGTGAGAGGCCTCAGACGGCTGCGTATCAGAGATGCTCTTGTTCTCAGTTGCGGTACCGCTCTGATACTTGGGGCTAGTCCAGAGATGGAGGCTCTCATACGCTATTACTTTCTGAGACATGGGGCGCGGCTGAACCTACTAGGAGGTCTGTTAGATCGATGCACCGCGGTCGACAGCTGTTCTAACCTCAAACCGAGTACTAGCCTGGCCCTTCTGAAGTACCGGTTCGGTGCGACGTGGTTGTTGTGAGGCAGCTATCTCATCAGATTGTTCGCTCTGATAACACAGGACGACGGTGTAGAATGTATCCAATATTTGATGCACCTTCGTCGACTAGATGCCTTCATTAGCCTGATCTCGAGCCGTAGCGTATCGCGGCAGCGCTTAGCCAAGCAATGGCTCATGGATTTCTTTAATGTGTCGGAGGTGAGTCGTGACGAGCACAAGTGTGTTGTGGTCTAGCCGGCTTGCCTTAGAGCCAGCTTCTAGTTGTCGAGGAGGCGGCGGCGAGGAGTACCCAGGAGGCGCTCCTAACGCTAGCACTGCACGCCTCGTCAAGTGATCGGAGCCTGCTGAGGAGGTAACGCCATACACATTCCTCAGTGACCGGTGTCAATGAGATGTACCCGGTGTACCAACATCCTCTTCGACAGGATATTTGCGGTCTATGTCACGCGGACCGTTGATGAGCTGCTGCATCTGAGAGATGCTCCCAGCGTCGCGAACTTACTCAGCCCTCGGGTAACTTTTCACCAACACTACTACGATCCGTAAGAACAGATAACCGCAGATCCTCAGCCTTCTCGTTGATATGTGTGCTACTTACAAGTCCCGAGGTGGCGGAGATGAGCTGGCGGAGTTGCTCACTTTCAAGCTCCTTCAATGGTGCGTGAAAGAAAGGCGGTGAGTGTGTTGGCTGCGCTTATGGCCATCGAGGGCCCCTCATGGTCAGAGGCGACTTACTATTTGAGAACATGCTGCACAGCGACGCTCTCATGAATTTCTTATTCACATCCTGCTTGCCTGGTGTAACCGACGCAGCGGCCTTCTCCATTTCTATGAGGACGCTACGTATCTTCGTGGAGATGCTTCAACAGATTCCAATGGTTAGTTACCATTTCTATGACAATCTTCCCACTATCTTCTTCAGATGAGTTCAGTAGGGCTCATAGGTCATCACGGTTTGCTAGAGGTATCTCAAAAACTGATGCAAGCTTGGCCGCCTTGCGCTACCACAACTTTCCTCCACGTTCTTGGTCAAGTTCTCCTCTGTGTCGGACGCACACCACGGGAAAAGTCAGCTAGGTAAGGGAGGTGCTTTCCCTCTCCTCGCCATTTCGGTGTCCACATGCTCTAACCTCCAGCCTGCGTCCGCTTGCCCACGCGTGGTCTGGTTTCAGGATCCTCGATAGCTGGCCTGGTCTTGGCCACTTCCTATTGCAGTTGATCAGTCATTGGCCTCATCGAATACATTCCCGTTTGGCCAGTCGATGTCTGCTTACCATAGCCAGGATACCAGAAAACCAGGAGACCCTTCTCACTGAGGCATCCGCGTACGATTAGCGTGGTGTGCTCACTCCCTCGACTCATCCCTTCTGGCAAGCTCTATGAGCAAAGCCTGCACAGCCTCATGGATAAGCAGGTGGAGCTCTCACGTAGCATGCGTAGATACGTTGCGAAGCAGTCGGTGACATCATCCAATATAGTGACCATTACTAATACAGACGTAAACGCGCTTCCAGTGATGTGGTCGCTCTATCAGCGCTTGTTAGTGGTCATGAGAGAGTATAAGATCGAGGTGATGCGCCAAGGTTCAGTTCCTGTGCCAGTCCTGCTTACAGGTCGATAAGCGCATGTCTGACGCGAAAAATTGGGACACAGAGCATCACCATCAAGAGCTCACTTTCCTGCTCGTCCTCATGTGCAACCTCCTTGACCAGGACAAACTCGGGGAACGAGTCCTCAACAGACTTGTTATTGGTAACTCTGGAATGGCCTCAGCCTCACCGAGTGTTGTCGAATCAGGTCAATCTCCATTATCTGCTGAAGACACAGCATTGGAGGTATCGAGGCTCTTATTGGACTGTTCGCAATGTCCCCTCTACTCAACCATACCAAAGAGAGGGAGTCTCTATGAAAAAGGTAGAGCATCTGATACCATGCGCAATGCTAGGTGAGGATCCCGTGCGGATTAAACTCGATCAGTTGGTGAAGTCAGATTCTTGGTGTTCACCTCTGGTCGAGCTCTACAGGTCTTATCTAACCTGCTGCGTTACAAGCCAATTTGGGTGGCCATGTTGCACGATGCGGCTACGGCCTCCGAACTTGCTTCTGCTCTGCATCGAATCATCACCGCATCAACTTCATCCGCTAACTGTTGGAGTGTTGAAGACCTCAGGGTGGCCATCCGGATTGTACTCATCAGCGCCCATCACGTATCGGTCAACACTGAACTACCAACTAACCTTCCAAATGACTATCGTTCCTATCCCATGTCACAATCAGAGGTCGAGCGGTATTTGCTTGCACACAGGCATGCGTGTGATCATTTACTGTCCGGCGAGATTATGCTGGGCTTACTCAGCGCCATAGATCGGCAACCCGATCCTCCTTATGGGGACCGGGCTGTCCTTCGCTTGCTCACCGTGTTGGTCAGTAGTGGTGGGTTCAAAGACCCGGTCACAGGACCAGAGGTCTCCGCGATGTCATCATTGAAACTATTCGCTATGCCCCCGCATGTCGTTCCTGACATACGGTAGGTGTATTGAGCGATACCCCTCAGTGTAGAATCACATGCTCGTTTAGAGCCCGCCGCGTAGTCATCGGGTCGAGTGGCCCTCTAGAGCCTTCTCCTGCTGAACCTTCGGGGCAATGGCTTCTCATTGCAGCATCACAGTATCCAAAGTTGATACTCGGTTCGCTTGCTCGGTGAGAATGCTAGATCTCTCTGTTCTGTAGCCTCTATCAGGATCATAGTCCGCTGCATGTCCTCCGATGATGAGCTCACGATGGCTCAAGGTTGTATACTTGCCTCAGCATTAACAGTATTGATGGATGCCCGTAGAGGAGAAGTATGCTGTCTATTCTCATGCTTCTCTGATTATCAATCAGAATCATTTCCTGGCCGCATTCGTTGAGGTTTGTACCGTAAAGTCCCCGATCCGGGAGCTTCTAAGGGTCTTGAGGTCCGAATCTCATCGTACACAGGGAGCTATCTTGACCCTGGTTGCGATTCTTTCGACAATCAGGTGGTGCTAATCAGCCCTTCTGGGCCTTTCTATCATCGCTGCTCCTTTCTACAGACTCCCTGTTACCTCTGAGACGATTAACAGTGTATTCGTCAGCAACTACGGGCACATAGTTGAGGAGATGATTAGCATCCTTGCTGGTTACGGCATCGAGGAAGAGGCATTTTCTGTGAGTCAGTTTTCCATGTTTCGCAGCATCATTTGAAGTACCCAGGTAATGACCGAGAGCCCCCCGGATGATAGTGAGCCACTCGTGGCTGAAATGCCTTATGGGATCTTCGTCCATCATCTCACTAATTCTGAGACCTGTCTTGATGACCCTATCTATCGCACGGTTAGAGATTTGCTTCTCTACATGCTCACAGTGTGTGTGCCGCCACCAGAAAAAGCACAGCCAGGACTGCCAGGGTGCAGGTGCTCAATATACACGGAATCAGCGTGCTGTAGTTGAACCAACTCAGAACTGCTCAAGATGTGGATAGTATCCCCCCTGTGCCTCCTCTACTACTGGAGGCCTTAGCCACTTATACATTAGCCCTCATGGGAGAGGTGGATGGAGAGGCACGGAAGATGATGGCCGACGAGAGCAACGTGCAGCTGCAGACACTTGCCGCACTGGCTAGTTGCATGTGATATTTGAATGCCAATTCCAACTGGACTAACTTGAGAATACACGACTTGAACAAAAACAGCTAAGCGTTGTTTCGATCTGAACACGCCGACAGCAGATGTGAGATAAGACTGGCTACCGTATTCTTTCAGGTTGGGTTTATATAATTGTATACCACACGCTCCTGCTGTCGCGATGACCCTAACCCAACTGAAAGCGATATCAATGGCCCAATTCATACGAGCGGGATCTAACCCGATTGCCAGCATTGATCTCATCTCTGATCGAACCCTGGGGGTGGTAGAAGGAACATCTCAGCTCTTTCGATGCGACCGGCGACACCGTCTCCTGCAATTGTGCTCTCTCACACTCTCCTGCATAAAACTTGGTCTGGGGATCATAGAGGTGTCTTGGAGTAGTTGTGGCTACGGCTGTGCACTGCTTGTAGAGGAGGGCGGGAGGGATCTCATTGCGTTCATGATTAAATACATAGTTAAGCATTACGGTGTGCACAACCGGGTTGTGATGCGGTCGAGGGGCTCATCCTGGGATAAAATCCTTCTCGACGAAGGTAGGTTCGGGTCAACTCGTTTAGCAGTATGCGTTTTCTCACACAGGCGTATCTCGATTCGTATCCAAGCTCTTCCTCGATGCATGCGGGTATCACAGCAACCTTGAACTCGTCGAAATGCTCGGTGGGCAACGTGCGTTGCTGGCTTTGAGTCGCAATAGCGAAGATCCCATCATGCGGCAGCAAGCGACGGTTCTCCTCACGAAAATGGCAGTGATGCTCGCCAAGTCTGGCCAACCAGGCGTCAGTGGAGCTCGAGAGACCTCAGTCGATGGTAGCATGCTTGCAGGATAGTAAAATGATGGTCTCTATTGTTGTATTGGAATATTGAGAGTAGAGTTGCCAAACCCGGGAAGGGAGCACTGACAGGCTATACAACCATCACAATGATTTACGTGTTATCCCACCGAAAGCGTCTCAATCTTCGTCACGCGAGGAAAACGATTAAATACCGTCTTTGATAACTGCTCGCCGTGAGAGATGTCATTCATCACGCGTGAATGGCGGGATAACATGTCCTCTAACAGGAAATCTGCTGTAAATTGCATTTAATAGCCATATACGTTGTCATATAGCGGTTGTATTTACCCTCCCTATAATTCGAAGTACAATAGATGCAGTTGTCGATGACAACTTGTCATCCCAAGACACGCCTGCCCGTCTGCAACGCTTCAGAATCGAGAGTAATCCACACGTGCGTTCAGACCTCGTCAATGGCCGACGACTTCTGTCGTTGGCATTTGTCATTTGTCGTCTCTTCTCAGCAGTGCACATAACTATAGAACTCAAGTTTCTGAGTGGCATCGAAACATTCTACTGCGAGCAAATTAATAGAAATCATAATCTATCCAAATCGTTGTCACCCCCGCACACCAGCTCAAAGTGCCTTCAATTTCTCGACGTCGAGGTCCATGTCGTCCACATTCGATGCCGGAGCTCTACTCCCGCCAAACTCGGGAGTCATTCTGCTCTCCGCCCACTCGACAATATTCCTGAACATAGTCGCCCACGGGCTCCCCCTAATCCCCTTCCACTCTCTCGGCATCCACGGCCATTGCCACGTCATAGAGCAGCGTTCAGGATGTGGCATCATAGCGAGATGCCTACCGTCAGGGGTCACCAGCCCAGCAATCCCATCAAGAGAACCATTCGGGTTGAAGGGGTAAACCGATGTGGGAGCACCTTGATCATCAACATAGCGCAGGGGCGCTAGATGAGACTCGATAACCTGAAACATACAGCAGTGTCGAGAATTGATAACTACCTGAGGCATACTACCTTGGTGTAGACATCCCTTTCAGGAAAAAGAGCCCTGCCTTCCCCATGGGCCACCCACACACCAAGGACGCTGCCTCCCATACCCCGGAACCATGTACCAGTCGCGGGTGATGCCGCATCTAGCGCGACGGAGACGAAACGAGATTCATAGCGGCCCGAACGATTGTGAATGAACCTGAAAGTATGATGAGCTTGACATGAATACAAACACGAGCTCACCTCGGGCGGTGGCTGAGCTCAAGCAGCTGCCCTTTGTCTGTTTTGCCGGGCACCCATCCCAGCAGACTCATCAGCTGACAGCCATTGCAAACCCCGAGGGAGAAGGTGCACTGAACGACAGAAAAATATGAGGAATCGAAGTCTCCTTGTTACTCCTACTTCTTCATCGTAAAACTTCTGCAGCTGATCGCGGCATCTAGTGTTGAAGGTAGCCTTCGCCGCCCACCCCTTGGCAGAGTCCAGTACATCTCCATACGAAAAACCACCCACGAAGGCGACCCCAGCGAATCCTGCAGTCACCAACAAGGATGGACATTCCACTCTCAAACACCACCGCTGATCACAGCAGCCTTCCACTAGGCTTCTTACCTTGTAATGTGACTCGGCCCGTGGCGATGTCGCTCATAATAACATCAACAGGGAGAGCACCGGCATTCCAAAAACTCGCTGCCATCTCTCTGTCACCATTAGAGCCTTCCTCGCGGATTATGGCAACGCGTATCTTTCGTTGGGCTGAGGCTGGTGCACGGGGCAGCGGAGCGAAGGTGAGTCGATACGGAGGTGTTGTTTTCCTGGACGCCATTACCTCTGAAAAAAAACAACATCTTTCCGTAACTACTATCAATACCATAACTTCACCTCTTTCTTGTTTAACGCAGTTGATGTCAGCTTGCAGTTGCTCCAACTTGAAGCTCGTCTTCTCCCATTGCAGTCGGACATCGCCCACGCTCTCCTTCATGAGTTGCCTCCGAGCCCCTCCCTTGGACCTCAGCTCCACCTCAATACTCGTGCTACCACTCACACCGTTGCCCAATACTCGACATTTACTCTTATCCCCATATGCCGATATCACAGTGGGCACGTTGCTGGTGGCGACTTCCAATACCAACCCAGGGCCTTCACTAAAGAGGTACTCCATCACATTAGGGCTGCCGTCGGGACCAGGACGGATATTGGCCTCGTCGATGGAGAGGAGGTAACCACTATGACCGCCAGCTATCACCATCTCGCATGCAGCGACCAGTAACCCACCATCAGAGCGGTCATGGCCCGCTGAGATGAGACCTCGGGCGATCAGGTCCTGAGGAGGGGACAAGGCTCAAGGAAAGGAAGTCCCCATGGTCCTACTACCTGTGTAACGAGGAAAGCATGAAGGAGTTGATCAACATCCACATCGCTGATCCGCCCCTCCCCATCCACATGGCCACTCTGAAGCATAACATGGGCCAGAGAGGTTCCCTTGAGGGACGGGCATGTGTCCAAGTCCACGAACAGTAGCACTGATTCAGATGGTGACAGCTTCACATCTGGGGTGACCTTAACCGTCACATCAGAGATCGCCGCATACACCGAGACGACAACCTCGCCAGGTGCCTGGCAACGAGGGTGACAGACGAATCCCATCTTCGGCCTGTCACCACCTACCTTCACCGTCTCCTTCTGTTGGCCCTGTGGTCCATCCTCTCTATTGGGGCACTGGGCGGCCATACTGAGAGAGTCCTTTCCACCATCAATGGCAATCCCAAGGCCACACATGACCTCATCAATAGCCTCCGCCACCTTCAACATCTTATACCCCTCCCCTGGCAACTTAGCCGCCCACATCCAGTTCCCACTGCATCTCACATCCTCTATGTTCTCCACCTTCACCCATACCAAGTTAGTGAGAGCCTCTGCTACCGCCAGCCTCGCCATAGCCCGCAAGGCCGAATCGTCACCAGACAGTCCTACAATGGGCCTCTCCCCAATAGCAGTCGCCGAGCCCTGTAGGCTCAACATGGAAGTAGCGGTGACCGCCACATCGGCCAGGGGCGTATGGAAGGGCCCAACACACTGCTGCTGGGCAATAAGGCCCGTCACCGAACGATCCACCTTGTTACATAGGAACCTCTTCGAGCCGACCGAAACCAGGCGCATCACCTGAAAGGAAGATGCATGCACAACTCGACAGTGAAGCGCTCACCTTCCACAGCGCCCGCTTAATGTCCCCTCCAAAGCCACCGAGCTGATGCTCAACTATTCTCGGCTTGTTGAGATGGAACGTCTTCTGTGGCATCTTACATAGCACCTTGTCCAACGGCAGGTCCACTGGTACTTTCCCTTCCTTATCGACTACCCTACACCTCCCAGTAGTAACCACACTGCCCACCTTCGACCACGGTGCACCCTCACGGCGACACAGCTCAGCAAATAGGCCCAGCTTATTCTCAGGCAAGAGCAAAGCATCGTTCTCCTGGTACTCGGCTATCCACAATTCCAACGCCGACAGACTAGGGTCGCCCGTCAGCATATGTCCCATGTCGACTTCAAGACCCGTGGGCTCGCCAATCTCCTTCAGCACGTTACCAGCCCCTCCAGCGCCTTGGTCGTGGATGGACAAAACCGGATTATTTCCACCCATCTCGACAAGGTAACGAATAACCCTGTTCACTCTTTGCAGCATCTGAGCATCTCCACGCTGGACCGCATTGAAGTCCAGATGCTCCTGATTCTCCCCCGCTACCATCGAGCTAGCCGCCCCTCCCCCTACCCCCAGACGGTATGCAGGTCCGCCCAATTTGACAATTGCCGCCCCTGGCATCGGCGGTAGCTGCTTGAGTCGGTGGCGACAGTCCATAGTACCCAAACCACCACTCATCATAATAGGCTTCACCCATTCAATCCTCTCCCCTCCGACCACAGCACCATAACTCCGACAAAATCCGTTGATAACAGGCTCCCCAAACTTATTACCGTAATCGCTAGCACCATTAGATGCTTGTATGAGGATGTCGACCGGCTTAGCCAGGTTGCCGGGATACTTCCACGACCTGTCCTCCCAGTCCACTTCACGTTCGCTGTCTTCAAGGTAAAGAGCACCCACACAATAAGCCGCCGTGCCCGCCAACACCAAACTGCCTCGACCAGTACTTTGCCCATCCCTCAGCCTCCCACCAGTGCCAGTCTCAGCTCCCGGGAACGGAGCCACGCCACATGGGAAATTATGGGTTTCACATGTGAAGGTTATATCGTAGATAAGGGAAACCTCCGAGAATTCCCCCGTGGTCAAGTCAGGCAATAGACCAGTAAAACCACCGGCAGCTCCGCGGATTGCTGAGCTGTTGTCGCTGAACGCCACTGTAGAGGCATTTGGGCGACCCCCCTCCTTCTCGCGTTGCTGAACTCGTTTATAGGGGTGCTTCACGAGTTGGAACAGCGTGTGAGGAACCTCCTCTCCATCCACCACGAGCTTCCCTCCAAAAAACCAATGACGGGAGTGCTCACTATTACCCTGGGCCAAGTCGAAGCACTCGACCTGATTATACAATGACGGTGATGAGGGGAAGTGGCCGAACTGACTCACAGTGGTAGGATTGCGTTTGAGATCGTCTCTAAACAGCTTGGTGTAATAATCCAGATCCTGGGGATCGTACCCCAGACCATGCTCATCTGAAACCAACACTCTACATATTAGGCCAAAGCCACTCCAATAATATCACCACTGAATTTCTTCAGAGCGTCCTTCCCTTCTGACATCACATCCACTTCACCCCATGGAGCCGGCTCTGCAGCTTCCGCGTAAAGGAAGCCGCCCGAGTCTGCGGGGTATTCCATTTCAGTCATTCTATCGTGTACCTAACAGTGTTGTGATATATGTTCGCTTCCCTCAGCTGACCCTAGGAGTTTTCTCACTAATCCTAGGAGTTTATGTACAAAGTAGAGTTGAAATGTACAGGAATTAACCAGAATTTCCTCAGAAATTTCATATTGTCACCAACATATGTGGTTGACCATGTGAATATTTTACCAAACTGGTATCTAATGAGACGAATCTCCACACAGTCTGACTTCGAGCCCAATCGGCCTCTGCTGGAAACGGTAATACCTCAGCCAAGAACTTCTCTCGTATTTCGGAAGATGACGGCGTTCGGATGAGGTACCGCCTTGTCTCTGACATGATAGTAGTATAGATGATCTGGATCCTTACTTCTTACTCTCAATGCGTTCCACACTAGCAATACCCGCAGACAAACAGATGCTCACAGCATTAGTGCACCAAGCTGTGACAAACTGTTGTCGTGGACCAACCTCGACGATTTCAGTGGAATGGTCATCCTTGGTAGCCGGCAAAGAGGTTTCCTTAGTAACGACACTGCCAGTACAAGGGAAAGTCTCTTGAAGGAGCCACAGCAGACGACTCTCCTCCTCATCAGTGAGCCCACCTGTACCGGCGTACCAGTGCAATGACTGTACCTGGCCATATCTCTACATAGTATGCAATTCCCCAACCGCACTACTTGAACATTGAAACATATCTCCCCCTGAAGGACTACGACCCCGGCAACTTCGGACTGCTTGGGCTCGACTCTGCGGTAGAAGCGGATCGGGGCAGGGACAGTCATCGCTACTCGAGCCAGGCAAAGAGTCGAAAACCCCACTACAGAGCTCATAGAAATTCAGCTTTATAAAAGCATACGATCGATCTATCAAGCTCACACCTGGACCAGGGTAGTAATGTGACGTTGGCGGATGAGGAGAGGTGTGGTACAACCAGTTCCTTAGGGATGAAACTAGGACGATGGTAATTAACCCAAAATGATCGTGCTGAAGCAGACTCCCCCAAATAGACTGCCAACTTTTCAAACCCTGAAGTTTAGGGCCTAAACTGTGTCATGAGAGAGAGAAAACGAGATAATGCGTCTGGGGAATATTTCCAATGTAGACTCGGAAATTCATCGGAACATTGAACAACGACGGTTTCAGCCGATCAATTGGCGTTTCTTGGAGAACTCCACATTCTCTGCGACTGGTCTGGATGAAGGAGCGCTTATCCTCATCACAATTAATACAGTAACTCGGAGTTGCCTCTACGTAATATACAGCTCCGGTGGCTCAATTGGATAGAGCGTTGGACTTCTAATCCAAAGGTTGCGGGTTCAAGTCCCGCCCGGAGTAGTTCTATTTAAAAACTGGACGGTGCGTCATGTCCTTTGTACCTTTTGCTTGATCAAGAACTTGTCGTTTCTGAGGCCTCACAGGCTTATTCTACTCTAGATAGGCTCAAGATTGAGTACTGTCTCCGCGGCGTGCCCTATTATGCAACCATGAACTTCCTATTTTCCCGTGAGAATAAGGTCCATCGGAATCACATACGCTCAACACTTGACACAACAAACGGTAAGTGATACCTCCGGAAGCAGGTGTTAGAATATTACGGTCAACTACGTGAACTCTGCGATTTCTGAGCAGCTAGACGAACACATATCCGGTATAACCGCTGGGAAAGAATGTCCCCAGCGGACAGAAGCACTACTAGTATACCGAAGACGTAGGGTACTGACACAAGACACGAGTATACAGAGTCGAGCCCATGATAACTAAGACTACCCCAGACGGACCACACGCATGTTTTGCTCTCTTCGTCAACGGCCATCAGAGCATACGCAGAACACACAGGATCGACGCACGCGTTAGTCCGGGAATCGTAACTGACGTCCAGGCATATGGATTTAAAGTCCATAGCCGTACACTACCGTTGCTGCCCTACACAAACGGGCAACAGAGCGCATCCGAACTGGGCACTAGCGGCGGCCTCATTCGATGGCCTCAACCTTTCAAGCGCCACTTCGTTACCAACCCAGGTTATGTTGGTGAACGTAGCACGCAGTGCTCGCATTCCTAGTATGATGGGCGTGCTGGTGAACTCGCCGGTCACTGGTGAGCTGAAGCTTTGTAGGCAAACTGTCTTCTTATCCTCCATGAGTAATGCGTCCAGTGGAAGATGGAAGGATGGTGAAGACCTGTGCGACTTTATCACATGCCTTGCCAGGAGGACTTCCTACGGATCCTCTTCCAACCGAAAGCTCAGCGTCGGCAATGGGCCATCCGCTGTGCAGGTCCGATTGCTGCTACAGTGAAGGTTTGACGCCCACCCAAGGAGAGCTTCTAGTAGAGCAGAAGGAACGATCAAACATTCATGCAGAGTACCTGCAGTGCCCATGGCAGGCGTTCTTGAGGCTTCAAATCCTCAATACCACAACCACTTACTTGCAACAGCTAACCAATTGGAGCTAATGTCCGGTGTAAGCATCCCAAAGTTGCACATGGTCGGGTGGTAACTGAGACAGGTTTCAGGCGCTCCACCAAGGCGAACAGCATACACCATGAAGCCAGGGTAGCGTGGAAGTCGCGGACCCGAGTCTTGAAGTCCCTCGCTCCAGACACTTGCTATCGGGGCTCCTTTCTCCCACAGAATCAGTCGCGACTGGGACAAGTCGAGAGTGACTCCCGCCAGAGGAGCTTTAGGACTGCAGAAGTCAGCGACGGTGGAATCGTTCCGGCAAGTGAAGGCAGTTTCTGATAGCAGTCTCTCTATCCATAGCCGTGTATATGAGACTACTATTACTTGCGAGCCCTAGCACGCCAGCCACATCCTCATTGACTGATACCTTGAGGAGAGGAGAAAGATCCATGGGAATTGATTTTGGTGGATGACAGAAGCATTGCTTCGCCCCAGAATGCCGTTCCCATTATAGTACACCACGACTGAGTCCCTCAGTGCCATCCAGAGCCACTCGGAGTGGTATAGAAGCGCTCTTATTGCTCGAACTGATAGATGCCAGCTCTTTGACCTGAGGGTCGCCTCCAAGCGAAAAATTGGAGATTATTCCAATCGCCTATGGCCTACCTCGATTCCCTCGTACTTTAAGTAACGTGGGCCGTCGAGATTGATGTAATGAACCGTTTCTGATAGACACAGAATTACAGGGCCACGTACAGTGGAGACTGTTGCCATTCTATTCCGACTCAAACGAAGCGAAGGAACAGTGCACCGTTCACTAAGAGTTCTGTGTGGTGTCCCAAGTGCCTCAGCGGTCGTACAGCGGTACTCAGTCGACGCATATTTCCACCACCGTCATATTACTTCGGGCCTTACGCCAGTCCATTTCCCTGCTAGGTTGACAATCGTAGAAATCACCAAAGTTCGGTATGTCAGCATAACATTCTGCCGGGTTCCTGCATGGCTCCACAGTATCGCTCGCATCGATTCTGTAACATGCGCCCTGTCGGCCTTTAGACCCACACGAGACCTGAATCCAAGGGGAGAGCCTCGTTGGACAATCCGGAAGTATTTTCCGGCTATCGTATTTTGGAGCAACACTGACAAAAAGACCCATGGGCCCTACTACCACGACGGTATCCGAGCCCATGCTGTCTACGAGCAGTAACATTTCCTGAGTCGGATTTCCAATCTTCATCCGGACTCCCAGGCGCTCTCCGACCCGCTCGAGTGGCTGTACGATATCAGCCATGATCCGAGCAGCCAGGAATGCAATGGAAAGCAGAACCTCAAGCCATTTAGGTGTCATTCGATAAAAAGTATCCACTGAAGAGATTCCCGGTAGAACGCTTATCTAGGATACTCACACTATGCGAATCACACAGATGAGGGACTGTGTAAGCCTCGCGTTGTACAGTACAACACAAGGCTTACCGGAGGACAGGAGTCCAACCTAATGACCACTTCGCTGTTGGAGTGGAGTACAACTTATACTCCACTCCAACAGTAGTCAGTGGTCATTAGAGATGATGCTACGTCGTGTCATAGTGATGTTTCCACGATCAGGTCTGCTTTGATGTGGGTTTGGTCGAGGCGGTCTCCTACTGTAAGCGGAATTCTCGCGTATGATATTGGAGTTTCTCGAGCTAGAATACGGAGCAGATGCCCGCTAACGAGTAACGAGGAGACAGAAATAGGAAGATATGCAAGTCGAGAGATTGAGGAGATACGTTCAATTCCTCCTGATATCCCATTGTGTAGAGGTATAGTGGTTTGGGTGGTTGCCATGGGGAAAACCATAATCCGCACTACTTGCGGCGACTAAACACACCTGAGAGTTGACACTCTTGTGCTGTTGGTTTTCCCGATGGCGCCTTTTACATCATCGTCGCATATGTAAGTCATAGTTCGAGCTTTGGTCTAAACCAAATACATTATGACAGAACTGACGATGCTATAAAGGCCCCTATACCTCTAGAGGGTGCAGGTGGGCGGGAGAAGCCTCGTACGTATCCCATCAGATGCTGACTTACAGCAACTGGGCCTCTCCGAGTGAGAAGTTCTAGCGTCCCGGCGAGCGCTCGACTCATCTAGCGCTCTTTGTGACGCTCAACTGTCTCTCCACTCTACACAACGGTCTTAGTCGTCATTGACCTTGCTCCATAAATGGACCTCCATTCAATTCCTCCTGATATCCCATTGTGTAGAGGTATAGTGGTTTGGGTGGTTGCCATGGGGAAAACCATAATCCGCACTACTTGCGGCGACTAAACACACCTGAGAGTTGACACTCTTGTGCTGTTGGTTTTCCCGATGGCGCCTTTTACATCATCGTCGCATATGTAAGTCATAGTTCGAGCTTTGGTCTAAACCAAATACATTATGACAGAACTGACGATGCTATAAAGGCCCCCCACTGAACCACCCAAACTCGCACTAGTGATCAAGTGTCCAAACCCGCACTAGTGATCAAATTTCCGAACCCGCATTAGTGCTCCCCATAAGCACTGCCAGTGCTGCACTGGTACGCAAGAAACAGAAATCTTAGAAACCAGTCTACCTTTATTTGACACTACTGCATGTCCTAAAAGTGATCTTGTTTACAGACTCACATTTTAGAAAGTGTTAGTGCTACTAACTTAGTAGGAACATATCTTGTTATCATCCCCTGAACTACTCTGGAATATACCTAATGATCTCTTTCTTTGTTCTGGCATGTGACCACCTCCCCTCCACAGGAATGATTAGTGATGTGTATCGCCATCTCCTTTGAACGTTCCGCCTTTTATTCACACGTGTATACCTCGACCTCCCGGGACTTCCACCTGCAGTTGCCAACTGCCAGTTGGTCTGCGATTGCTCTTCGCTTATTGCACTGCTGCTTAATTGAAAGTAATGTCCGGTAAATTTGAGTAAACCCGATCAAGTTCAAGGAACACATAAGACCTCATAATGTACTGAAGAGGAAAACGGTGTCTCCGAGGGCACAAACGGAGGTACAGCTCATCTGTCCAGTAAAAGTGCCCTCACCGAGTCGTTCACAGAGGTCAAAGCTACCTGATTTCGGGTGTTAGGGAACACCGGCGGAATCTCTAATCTTCTACACCATAGTGCGCGACAACATACCAGTTAAAACATTCACGTAAATGAACAACACGAACTCGGAAACCCCAATGGGAGACACCGTTTAAGAGCTGACGCATGGACACCAATTGAGATCTCTGACTTGTCAAAACAGCAGCCATCGGTGAGAGCTGCTCGAACAAGCAACATAGAAATCAGTAAATCAATGGCATAGATACATAAATATCATGGAAGGGATACGCCAACGAGTCACTCGACAAATTGAAACAAGCCAACGGCAGCTAACAATTCAAGATAAGATAGTATCTCCAGACTGCAAGACATCTGAACTTCAGATGATCTGAAGATACTCGTGGGCGTTCAACTGCACACCACAGATCAGTGTATTCAAAACAGTTCACAGAATACCATGCAAGAGGTGGAGGCTGGCCAACTGCCGCAAAACCTTGTAAGGATGCATCTGACGCCCCACGACTTCTGTCCCCTCATCTGGCGCCCACGAAAAGCATAAAAACAAGTGGCGATCTGTCTATAACATAGTATGTAAGGTAGCATATATCCAGGTTCATCACAGAGGACTGTAGCTAGTTCTAGGAACTCGGTTTTTTTTGAGTAGATGAGATGTTTACCCTACGCAAGCCCTTCCATCGAGCACCAGATGAAATATATATAGAGATGCCTAAGTCGGAACTTGATGGTGTTATACAGGAATCCTGTAACAGGAGCGATGTCCAACTCAACCGACCAACCAATGTAACAATGTGACAATGGACATTGGCAATGTCTCCAACTATGATACATGTATACGTGAGTCGATCAAACAGAATACATCAACCCTCTTCAGTAAATTCTTCTCAGGTACTGATTCAGTACTACAGAAGCCTTGAGGACACCAGAGTCACACCAATTCGACTTCAGGTCCCACACCAATACTTGTGCATTAGGAGAGAATAGAGAGTGTATTCATAGTCCTAGGTGAACCCTTGGAGAGCTACAGCAACAAATGTACCAGTTACTCGGAACAAACACCTTGCCCACCACCTATACTGGTGGTGTCGGACCGAGTCGGTCCGACCGACCCTGTCGGTGGGCCACCGTCCCGAAGTAGCAGACATAACATCCACCAGTCGTGGTAATGTCATTACCGTAATGATATAGTGGAACTTATATCCTTTCTTAATTGTCAATTGGGCCGCCCAATTTGGGCGCTAAGTCCAGATCGACGATAATAATCGATCGGTCGTAACGTCACATCCTCCCTACCAAGTTTCCCTAGAAGATGAGATTTCGATAAATGTAGTATACTCTGCTTCGGTGACTCCTCTAACACGACCAGTTTATACTTCCATTCGACGTAGATTGTTGTAAAACATAGCCGCATCTAGTCGAGACACTAGAAAATCTAATGCAGTATCTGTAATATTTAGCATGTCGACGGTATTTCGACGGTAGTCATCAATCGGCCGCAAAGCCACACCCTCTCTGCCAGGCCTCCACAAAAAATGAACCTTGGTAAATGTCGTACACTCCTCTTCGGTGACTTCTTTAACACGATTAGTTTGTGGTTCCATTCGAAGTAGATTTTTTGTAAATCGGAATCACAGCCACATCTGGTCGCGACACCGGAAGATCCAACTCGGTATCTATCATACCTAATTTCTCACCTGGCCAACGACATTCGGGCGGTTCGCCAGCTCGGAGAGGACCACCATCTTCATGCCTAGTCTTTGGCCATGAAGAAGAAATGGAAAGGTCTCGGTCTTCAGCGAAACCAATAGGTACTACTCCAGAATGTACAATAGGTCATACGTCTACATCTTCGTTGCTTGATCCAGTGATTTTGGTCAACTCGCCAAGGAACAATGACCGTAATGGAGATGGTCTGAGCTGTGCGGAGCAAATCCTGCTGGTTCACCTGTCAGTGTGGTGAAGAAGGAATTAACGAAGAAACCTCGTTCGCTAAGTTCTCAGCCACATCAAAGATGGATCCACGAGACCCTGGAGCCTGCTACTGTTGTGCCAAGGCTGTTTGGCCTTCACGATCTGCAGTCGTGAAGCGCTGCAGGAACACCATGTTGTCGTCTATGTAGTCAACAGTAGCTGTTTTAAGTTTGTTCACAATACTTCGCACCAAAACTTCATTATCCATGTTGAACCTCACCGAATTCTATTCCACAACAGAGGGATCACCAGATCCGTCCTGATATGACCGCTTAGGCATTCGTTAGTCCAGAGACGAATAGCAACTTCAGCACGATAGTTACACCACAAGTTGCACTACTCCTGGCAACTCGTTCGATTAAAGCAGAAACAAAGTGGGACAACATACCTGGAGACCTCGTAGAGGTTTCATTACTCAAAACGACAATTCTTATATGGACATGATTTTATCGTATACTTACACGTACCTTCCCACTTCCCGTTCCGATCTCTAGTCAGATGGGGGCGGGACATTGCAGAACTGGACACCCCAGAAGAGTAGGGGTCACTCAGATTGGTCTGTTGTACTTGCCTAACAGTTCAGTTTCAACATTCGTCGTCAGACAGTGGCAGAAAGCAGCAAGACTCGGTAGATCCGGAGATCTATGATAAAGTTCGAGTTGCAGACTCCGCATATTAGCAAACAGACGACGGCGATACTCTCTATCAAATTTCATCGCCGTGACGAATGAATATGGCTTGGCAATTGTAGAGATTCGATAGACATAAGACAATAATGGAAGAAGATTTGGCGTGACACCATTTTCCATTGCTACAATAGTTATACACTACTGAAATACCAAGGGTAACCAATGGTTACTAAACATTCCTCAATACATGATGGTAGCCTTGCAGATTCTCGAGGAAGTGGATCATCAATCGTCTTCACCGTAATACCCTTCAACGCCGCTCGGTTCCGGACTCTATGAAGTTTGGAAAATAGTCCAGAAGCTTCGTCCAGAGGTGCTACCACATCGGTCGGCTTACCCGACTCAGACGACGACGATGACTTCTTCGTAGCATTTGTCTTGCCCACGTCTCCTTTATTTGAACTTTCTGTCACCGGGGGTGGAGAAACAGTTGATGCGGATAGCTCTCTCTCCTTTACAGATTACAGTGCGTCGTCACAGCGATCTACCACATCTTCGAAGATGACCGGGTCGTCCACTACCGATTTTAGAATGGGTATAATGGTGATAGTTAAGCCGTTAATACCTTGACCAATGTAGAGCCAAGTCATGCATCTGAAAGCTTGCCACAGTGAGGATACAGACAGAGTGGACGATGACATTTGTTGGCAGGAATAGATGAAATGAGTTAACCTGATCAAAGAAAGAGATGGTAAACCGTTCCAAAATTAAGACGAGTATATCCAATTATGCGCCGCACCACTCAAAGGCGGTCGGACTTACAGAAAGCAGAGAATAAAAATTAGAAATAAATCATTGTTGTACAGCTCATTTCTCGTTTGATGTAACGAGTTCCTGGCAACCCTTTATCTCACACATTTGGCCATGAGTTGTAGCCTCACACTTTCAGGACCACAGGAATAATCCTGAACAACCCGACCGACAATAAGGAGTCCCGACCGACCTGAGTCACCTCGGTGGTTCTTAAACCGAACATAGAAGGGACCAGACAGCTGTCCGACGGTGCTCACAACGCATCAGCTACAAACCGTAGCTTACAACCACCAAGATCACATGAGTGATCCGGAACGACCAACCGACCGACGTCAGAGGGTTCGTGATACCCGCAACACAATCGAACCGGCTGAAACACGACTCGACAAGCCAGTTCGACCCCCAACCTCACGCTACCCCGCTCAACTGGAGGTAGTGCTGGCTGAGGTAGACACAACTCAAGACAAAACCCAGAAACAATAGAAAAGTACAGCACGTGGAAAACACGATGTTACGAACCTTTCCGCCAATCCGGTAAGCCATGTGGGACAAAGAAACAAAGAATGCAGTTGAAGGAGATATCAGAAGCCTCGTACGTATCCCATCAGATGCTGACTTACAGCAACTGGGCCTCTCCGAGTGAGAAGTTCTAGCGTCCCGGCGAGCGCTCGACTCATCTAGCGCTCTTTGTGACGCTCAACTGTCTCTCCACTCTACACAACGGTCTTAGTCGTCATTGACCTTGCTCCATAAATGGACCTCCATTGAATAAGTGAGAGGAGAATATGTTGAGTTCAGATACAGTCGGCGTAAGCAAACGACACCTGAGGGATTCGAACCCTCGCGGGCAGAGCCCAACGGCTTAGCAGGCCGCCGCCTTAACCACTCGGCCAAAGTGTCTTACGTGATATTCTCGACTGAGGCACCTATATGCGACAGAGTACAAGACTGCGCGGTAACAAATGGCTCGAATTCAGAATGGTCTATGTAGTGTACTTCACTTGAAAATCGGAGCAATGTCGAGGTCTCCCCGAGTCTCAGATCTGCGAGATAGCATTAGTGTCAATGACGAAGATAACGCCGTGGAGGGCGAGTGCTGATCCAATCGAGTAAGACCGAGCTGGTCTGGCCAACTATCCTTCTCCGCGAGTATAAGATCCAAGCGAGCTTTGACCAGCCAGTGTGATAGATTGGACAGTTGCAAATCAACATTGAGGCTCCTTCGGACAGCGGCAAGTATCTTACATCCCATCTGTCTAATATCTCCCTGCGGAATAGGGTGTAACCACCAGGTTTCGAGAACTGCTAACCTCCATCACCCCGTGTGTATCGTAAAATAGGTCTATTCAGTGCTGAAGACATGAATTCCACAAGAATTCCAAATCGAGTCAATGCGGCTGCCAACGATTCCCTCTAAGTGGTCCATGGAACATACTGTACAACACAATGCCAGAAAACATGCAAACTCCTCATTATTGGTAGGCGAGCAACTTCTCAAGGTCTAGGCTCAAGCCGCATATAGTAACAATGCGAACAGCGTACCTGAGAACTCTGGATAACGGGCTTCCATTCTCCAAACCACTGGTCATATGAAACCTGTGAGGTGCTCACACGCTCGAGCGGTGAGTGGAATGGGTTCACAGGTGACGACAACGTATATGTACGAGAACGATACAACTCTTGCTAAGCTGCCATTTCAATACCGAGCCTCACAACAAACAATCGGATATCTCCTCGGCCACAGGGTCATTGTTTGAGCATTTGCTGCTGCCATCCCGTTCAACGAGTAACTCGCAGAGTTCCCCAACCTCACCACACAAGGCCAGCGTGAGATTCCTGATCGCCAAATAATGACTATATGTACACGGAGAAAAAACCCCTCGTTACCTCGGCGTGTGATACTGGAGCCAGTCGCGGTCCTTAGCGAACTCCGCCATTTCTTCAGCCATCTGCCCGAGTGTCTCCACATCGTGGGCTCTGCCAACCCTACACTTCCTCGGAGTATAGGATTCATACTCGTTATATTTAGCCGAGGAGCCCTTCACGATATCTGAAATGATGCACGCTGCGAACCACGATGCATGACCGCTAACCAAAGCCCTCACCCGCAGGGTACTTCGCCTTGTTTTTCGCCATTTTCAACCCTGCCGCCTCAGCAACGTCAATGGACAAAGAATTAGCAGTGATGAGTATTAGTCGTATAAGTGCATGTAGTCGATCATTGAGCTTCTCAGATTCGACTGTGGATGAACAACTCAACCGCATCAAAGGTTTCAAGGCCCGACCGAGAACGAATCCATTCAATACCCACTAGTAGAACGTAAAAAACTTTCTAAACCAATTATAGATTTGGAAAAAGTAGACGTGAATATCAGAATACACACACATCACACACAAGACTCACCCTCATTCAACGGCTCCGACCCTTCCCCCTTCCACTGCAGTGTCTCAGCTACGAGCCCGGCAGCTCGAGCGACTCTGAGACCGCATGCTGCCGGTGCGGCCGTTTCGGTGAATCTTCGTTGAATATCTCTTATAGCTGTAGAAGCACCACTGGGCACCTCTATCGAGGATGATTGAGTGCTCATCTCGACCATACCGACTGAATGTAATATCTACGAGGGAACGTAACAACAATTCACTATCAGGCTCCCCACTGATATAACTATTCCAAAAAGCTCATCAGTGACACCTCACCATGACGTTCCTCCCATGAATGCAATCGCAAATTTCATGTGTATTGTGACCCCTTCTGACCACGCTATATATCGTATTCCTCAACGTTGTTCAGCAAAACAGCGCTGTTTCTCGCTCACCACAGAGTGTAGTTCAAAGTAGTTCGATATTAGCGTTATATAGGACTAATACAATACAGTTCCGAGTACCACAAAGTGATAATAATCGAATCACAGCCTATGGCAACCGACTTAACTGCACCATTTAACATCTACTTGAATGAATCATGATCGGAATTCGCTCTCTACCCGACGCTCCGCGACGGTCTCGATAGGCCGCCGAAAGCACACCGTTCTATCCACCAAAAAGACTGTACAAAACACAACCGGGAAAACACACTTGAAACACTCTTCAGCAGAGGAAAAACAACAGTCATGCAGTCCCCACACTATCAATCACGAAATCTGGTTTCACGCTACCTAACGGAGCATAATAACATAATAACATAAATCACTTGTTCATTCTCACTATTTTCCAGGTCGGCTTTCGAGCAGCATCCCGACAGAGCTAAGCAAGAGGCAACACGAGCACGCTGGGCCATGAGAATATCTGTGTCGAGTCTGTCTCCAACGACCAATGTCCGGGATGCCTCGAACTCCAGCTCAGTCATAACAAATCGTAACTATATCGTAAGCAAAGGTAACCTAACGGACCTGCCGGACGTAGTCGCTATGACGTTGCAGAAACGGTTGCAACGGATATTAGAAATACGTACAAATTCGGGATTGGGCTTTCCGAGGACTTGGGCATCTTGTCGATCACTGAACCTCGCCGCTGCATTGATTGAAGCCAAGATGACACCCTACCAAAGAGCGGCCCCACACAGAATCTCCAAATCAGTTAAGTAACGGAATGCAACCGACTGATAGTCTCAACAGCGTGGAAAGGGGGTGCACAAGACAACGCTATTATGTAGCATGTGTCCACTAACATAATATAAAAGCCTGTTTTATCTGCCTATGGCATTGCTATAATGCTTATGGCATCGTTACAAAACCCAATCACACGACACAACATCAATGGAGCAACAGGCGACAGATGCACATCTGCAGGACGATTACCTCATCGCAGCTACGATGATGGCCAACAATCTATGACCCACAACACGACGAGAGAACTTCCTTCTAAGAATACTCACAGTAGCAGGGATCTTCCAAGGCCCCATCCTGTCGAACGAATCGTCATTAGTTGCGTAGAAGAAGAACTCCTCCCCAGCCATCTGGAAGGCCAGCGAAGCTCTAAACCACAAAACCCATGGTATGCACGCACACGTCAGAGCTCCGTCAACAGTTTAGCAGATAATATACCTGCAGATTTTCTCGAATGAGAACGCCAGGTCCCAACCAACAACGATTCCATCGATCTTCGAATTCGATTCTCGTGCCATCTCCTCTGCTATTATTCTGAACCTCTCCTCACCCAAAGGCTCACCGCCTGATTAGACGTGAGTGTTATACAGGAGTTGAAAAACGGTTGGTACGCGCAAGGCCGATATTTGTGGTACACGATATTCCCACTGATTCGAGCTCTTCCACTATGCCTTCGCCTCCAATAACATAACTGAAAACTTCGAGCTGAAAAACTGTTGGCGCTGGAGAGAACGAAGACTCTCATTACACACGTCTAGCGTGAGGGTGTCGTCTTTGGATAAGCTTTGCTGTGTAAAAACAAGAAGGAAACATCATCTTCTCAGAGCACAATTCACCCAATCCCATGTCGCCGAACTTTCCTCGCATGCCCGCTCGGGACCTCGAGCTCGTGTTCGTCATAAATGCACACTGAGAGGGGGAAACAAAAATAACGTGTAGTGCCGAGGGTTTCACAGTGTGGGAAAATGTGCACATAATGATACTACAAGCGCTGACAAGGACAAGGAAATTCTAAGGAAGTCTCCTGTTAGTTCTTTCACATTACGTCGTGTGTAAATATAGCGAGGCAACTCCTGAGCTCAGTTGAGGAAACCAAACATAGGCCCGTGGTAAGTCCTCGAACAATGCGTACCCTCTTGCCAGCATCGTTTAGAGCCTTCAAACACTCGTCAACTCCGGGTATCAGATGCCCACCTTGCCAGATGACACCATCGCAGTCAAATATGATGTTATCGTAGTTCGCAACTACGTCATCTATGCAAGTCACGTGATTAGAGGGCATCGTTTTGAGAAAGATACAATGGGCTTGCACTCGAACATATGCGTTCATGCGATCGTTCACAAGGCGATCTCTCATCGTCGACGTCTTAATCACACTGTCGCAAGTGCTGGCATAACTAGCACACTCACGTAGAGGACGCCACAATTTCGTTTCCTGATGGCACTGATGTGATTGCCCACTACATAATGTTACTGCTGCACCAAAATGCTGCGTTTCAGTGCGCACAAGGTAACCCCTGTAGAAGTGGTTTCGAACGGACCAATTCGAATGTATTTGATGCCAGATTGTTCATATAATGACGTTGTTACTGAGCATCGTTCTCCCTACATGGAATTCTATATGCACACTTATATACGGTCTTCAATACTGAAGCCGATAAGATTGAAAGTATCCAGTATGTAAGTGCCCATGGTCGAGTAAGGAAGTCCTCTTCTACAACACTGCCGATTCTCTTACTCGGCCGTACCCGATGAGATGACAAGTGTGTGGTATATTTAGAAGTATCCAGATCGACGATGCTAAGGACTGAACTCAAAGACAGACCTCCACTCGAGACTATGAATAGCACTGTGACGGTCATGGTAAAACATGTAGTGTACTGGAGACAATTTAATCGTCATCTCCAACTATTGACCTGCCGGTGTATCTACCATTAACAAGGGTGGATACAGAACACGACAAGAGAGCGAGATGCTTCTACGCTGAATGAGATGTGCATGCACAGGACGCTTCCACCATAGATCTACAGCTTACATGGCAAAGGAGATCTATATAGCTCAATTCGCCACCAATTCTATCTTCACTGAGAGTTGCAAACAAGCGTGATTCCTCTCGGGTATTGGGCAGGACCACTCGAACTGGCTGAAACCTGATGTGCAGGCGATACTATGAGAGAGGAGCAACCATAAATACGGATGAGATCCTTTATCCTTCCGGATTTGCTGAATGATACACCAGACTTTGCATGCAAAGTCGCTAGTCTCGGGCGAAACCATCTGCAGAACTATGAATAAATTACCAAAACCACTCCAGTGATGCTACCGGATGACTGAGATCTTTCACCTCTCGCCCTCCGAATAGCTCATGAAGAGTTTCTTCAATGACTGCGGAGCCCACGTATAGTCGTAGAACTTCAGCGTTGTCGATGAGGTAGATCCCTTTCGGCGATATCTAACCGATCTGTCAACCGAAAGTCCTTCTCGCTTCAATGCCTACCTGCTCAGCAGATGCAGCCATAGTTGTGGGAAGGTGTACGTTGTCCTCCACTTCTGTAGGAGTGCCACAAACGTCCTGAAGTTCGGCATTCCCACATCGGCATGTAACCTCCCTACGGGCATATCATGAAGACTATAGAGTCTAGGATAGACTCTGTACGTCGACTGAGACACACTATAACCCAGAAGGCTCATGAGGCACTCGTAGCGCTCATCCATCGGCACATCTGCGACAGGGCGGAATGCCGGCAACTACATCGGACCAACTCGATACAACCACAGACGGAATGCTGTACTTTTAGTAACCCTCCAACGTAGAGCGGCATCAACTTCAACGTTTCTGGTAATAACAGCTGTGTATCTGTGGATAAGAACGAACATCAAGACATAGACAAGGAACAAATATCTTGGCTTGGTCATTCACTGACCTCTCTGTGTTGGCATGGAGGTACAGCTGGTCCTGTAGCCATGCAATATCGCAGTGCACTGCCCGATCAGCTTCTCCTAGAGCAGTGCATCAGTGAGTAACGTGTGAGTCGATCCTTAGCTGTACTCAAAATGATTTCCATTCATTGAATCGGCCGGACCACGCACGTAGTGAGGTAGTATACCCACCCTTGGAGGCTGTCCCGTAACAAGCATCTCCTCAGCCGCCTGCCGCGCCAGGAGGTTAATCAACGTCTCAACATCTGGTGATCGATACGCCGCCGAGACACTCGTGGACACAGAAAGTCGCAGCGTATGTACGCGCAACAGCCTGGAGCAAACAAAACTCACGGCGACCGTCGGTAGCGTTAGACTCTCATTCTAGCTTGATAATTCGTTACTTTGTTCATCATGAAATAGTTAGAGTATTTAATGTAAAGTCCCTGAATGGACTAATCAGATTGTCCTGTCTGCTGATATCACCGACAAAATTGCGTTGGTACGTACAGTAACGAAGAAGTTGACAATGGTGTTGATGACAGTAGTCCATCCCCTTGCGTTGATGACGCTATTCATGCCTTTGTCCGCTCTTCATTTTCCTCAACTGAGATCAGGTGTTTCCTCGCTAATTATAGGAGTTTACATACGGATTCGGGTAGAAGTGTGCAGAAACCAATGAAAAATCCCTGAAATTTTCTCAGAATATTCTTATTGTCACCGACACATGTAGTTGACCATGTACATATTTTCCCACATTGCCTTTGACGCTCATCTCCCAACCTCTAGGTTTCACATAAGAACACATATCAGTCGGACCAGACGATGACCTCACCGGATTCCCTCTGCATTATGATGAAGCACGGCCAGCTGGAAGTAGGCATATCTCGCCGGGAGATCCTCGTCCACATAAATCGAGAATCTGCCAACAAACACTTTACGAACCAGCAGGAAGACTCTACGCATAAGGAAAAGGAATGCGACGGGGAATTCAAACTGAACGAGCGAACAAGAAATCTCCTCCAACTAGACGTCCACCCTCGCGTACCCGAAAACAGCATCACAGTCTATCCTAGGTACCAGAAAGCCTCCACGAGGATCAGGCACGGCGGGATGTCTAGAAGCCGTTTGAGACCATCTGCTCAGATGTCGCTCTATACACAGACCTCGAGAAACACCTAGAAAGATAGTGGTTACCTGTAGTGCCGCATTAATGGAGATGGTTACTGACCGCTACAGTTCATTCTCCACGACTCAAAACTATGCGATTGGCTGAACTCATGCCAGAGCGAATAGATGCACACATGAAGCCATGGACCCCTCTCACGGGCCTGGACGACACATCCGTATGCAGCTGCCTTAGTCACTGCTCGAGCTATGTCGAAGTGAAGAGCTTCTCCATCCTGAGGAGCCACATCCGAGTTCCACCAGTCAAGGTCAGCACACATCTTCAACAGTGAAAGAGCGATAGACGTGAATATTCCCCCCAGTGTTGGCCGCGAGGTAGCACAGTGTCGGCAGGCGAGCATGGTCCTCCTCCACCGGAGAAAATGCCACAGCCGTAAACGTGTCGACACTCACCTGACGCCAGTTCTCTACTTCAAATAGCATTCAAGAAAACTTACAGCGTTCGCCACGCATTCCGCCAGGAGGTCTGACCACAGCTTAGGGTTCTTCGGCATCAACTCAGCCTTCCTCCATCCGGGACTTCGATCGGTCGTCACTGCTGGACCTGGATTCCAAGAAGACCATTGGGGCTACTCTCTAGACCGTACTTCGTGACCGCTGCGCACAACTGATGCCAACGTCAGGATATGTACCTATTGCTGTATGATATGCTGTGGCCCATGGGGGCTTGGGGGCCGACCATAGAACATCAACACAGTTCCACCACCGTGCATGCCCAATCCTTGCGTGGCCACTTGAAGCGCTGCAAAACCACACGACAGGGAAGGCCCTGAAAAAAGTCTTCGAGGGCCTGAGCGCCCGAAGAACCACCGATAACTTACTTCTACTGGACTCGACCTCTCGCACGACTAAGTCTAGCAGCCTCTGAACGGCTTCTTGTCTCGAATGTGGACACGCAAACAAGGCGCTCGACTGACAAAACGGTGTGACGGAAGTCCACAGAGAATGCCACACATGCATAGGGAGGAAAGGTTCGTCCACATCAGCGACTATTATCTCCTCAACCACATCCGTAGAATTTAAACGGTAACAATGAATGACGTCATCGAAGAGTATCTAGAATCGTAAAAGCCTCTCTTAAGGACACTGAGTGCCCCGAGAACTACTAAGCATATTTCGCTCGCTGTTGACATGTACGGAAGCAGTGTCCGCATGCTAGCAATGATCTGATGGAACATGCCCGACGCCACCTGAGCACAGCTAATGCCTATGTAGCCTGCCGTCCCCCCTACACTGTAGTAGCCACTATCAACGACAAAGCAGAATCCTGGTGGGCGCTCTGTCGAGGAACCATCAGGACCTGAAGGCCTGCTAGTCGCAGCCGGTACTATAATGAAGACTACGTAGATAGTCTGATGGCGCCACATAGTCTACACTCCCGAACTGGAGCTCCGGCCTCTCCCGTATACTCGGAACAGGGCACTGGTGTATCTACTAGTATAGTGCCTAGGGTCATACCTGCATATTCTCTCGTGGTGAAATCTCGGCAAAACGTGGTTGTTGAATCAACCATGGTTTGCGAAATTGCGTCGTCAACCTCCACACAGAGTTGTCTGTGAACACCGACCTCAAGTCGTGTTGATACCAGCCGAGATCGATGGACATGACCACACACACCTGTGGGACCTCCATCACATAGTTGCAGAAATTGCAAATGCATTCCTCGCCGCCACCAATCCATTGGAAAGCAGGATTGGCATACGCCCTACCTGACAACCACCAAAACCGAGATCGCCACAGAGACCCAGACTTCAACCGTGTCGCTGACTTACATCGCGGGCATCTCATTGGCCCTGATTCTCCATAGTTAACGAGAGGCACGTCCTTCTCATCGCAAGAGAGCTCAGCAAAGGGCTGAGCTATAATGCCCAGAACAACACCCGAGCTGTTGACTGCTGACTGTAACGCAGGTATCTGAGCTGAGACCATGATGCAGCCTACTGCTCGATTATAGTTGCTATACAGTATAAGTCGTCGACCTTAGGAACCGGCAGGACGCGTTTCCCTTATCGATTGCTGTGTATACGCTACAGGCCGATGGTGGTCGCTAACAACAAGACAGATTTACTCCTCGGCGGTTACCATGATAGCTGACCCCAGTCTTGTCGGTCTCAAACCGGCGGCCCCCTCGACGCCGAATCGGCTCCGACAAGCCAGTTGGTCGCGGTATCGAAGCAGCATCAACTCTGGCTGCATTGCAACTACGAGCATCTCCCATTGGCATGCCTGATGACCAGTGGTAGTCACCGATCGCCGTACAAGGGCTTACTGAACGGCACATGTCGGTGATGGTAACCACGGCCACCGACGCGCTTCAATGGACTGCCCTCTGTCGACCTTGCATAGTTAGATGGTGACGAACCATAAGAAGCCGTCTCGCTGAGGTCTGCGGGTATAAGCAATACTCAGGTTCACAACCAGGCGAGCATAACTCACCACTGATGCTGCCGAGCACGGGAGGTAAGCCGACAGCAGCCACCCTCGAGCCTCGACTGGACATAGGTACCTCACAGTCCTAGTACGAACAACAGTACTCTCGTATACATGCTTAATTACATCCACAGCTACCAATGACTATAGAGAGCATACCGACCAGATACCATAAGTCACTTACTGGGAGCTCCACAGTTTCTCCATCATACCGTAACTCTGCCGATTTCGGGAAGGAAACAGGCGCATCCAGAGGCGGGGGCGGCAGACCTTGCCGGCTCTAAGACGCGTCACTCAGTGGCCCACCCACCATCACAGCTTACAGTTGATGGGCAGCCAGCGTATCGAGCCGAGGAGTCGTTACTCACAGTTGGCTCGACATGGCCAAACGGTGGGGCCTGGGCAGGGGCGTACCCGGGCACTCTTGCAAGATGCGTCGGAGAAGGGCATTTCTTCGGGCTAACACCTGCGACCATCAATAACTCTGCAAGCTCTCCCACGTCCTCACCTCGGTAGGAACTACTGCTACGCCTACTGTCCGCGCTTTGAGGTAACGGGCCGATGGCTTCAGTGTGCATCATTGGCTTTACGCGAGCACTACAGCTCTACAGCGTAATCCATATATCCTTTCCCCACTGCTCTACCTTCGACTCAACCCCTCATTGACACCATCACTACTCAGCTCAAGAGGGTCTATAAGAAAACTAAGTAGTAGCAGAAATATGACACTCTGATGTAACTAGGCACATTCCTCCTCGCTGCATAGAGCCTTACGAAACTACAACGCAGAGTAGGAGTGCGAGAATTGGTCATTACGCTATACTCAGCCCCCCAACTGGATGTCCCCTCCACTCGAGAGGCAACAACAATACAGCGTCAACACTGGCAAGTGGGAAGCTCATTGTTGCAGTTATTAGCATAACGGTCGTGATCATGAGGGGCGATCTTCATCCCTCCTTGCGCTGTTAGCTCCTGCTGAGACTTCCCCTCGGCCTGGGCTCGACTACGCTGGTTATAAATTTCTGACCACACGATGAGATTAACTCCGGTGGAAAAGGAGCGACACGATCACCTTGTAGGAGATTCTCGAATATGAATTTGACATTCACAGACGACACTGCAGAGGCCTCAGCGAAGAACAGACCGTTCTGCTTCGCAAACGCCGTGGCTTCCTCCGTCGTAACCTACACCAAGACGATTCCAATATGGAGCCCACACGCATTCAAAAAGGGTAAATTTTAAGACTTTCGTTTCCTACCAAAACTCCGACAAATACCAATTCGGTGCCCTACTCCTTTACTAACTATCATCTATATGCTCGAACATAGACGATGGAAAAACGTAATCCCTTCGATAGCAGCATCCAATGACGTAAATACTCAAACGTGCCCCTTCTTATCACCTGTCTCGTAGAAGAGTCCTTTTCTACTAGATCGATCTTGTTGCCGACTAACAGTATGACGATATCGGGCTCAGCATTCTGCCGAAGTTCCTCCTGAGATCAATACCAAATTCAGCTTCACAGTTCCGCTGGACAAGCCCCTGTTACCATCCATTTAGAGCAGTTGAGGAAAGTGTTGCGTCTGGTAACGTCGTAGACCAATAAGGCACCCACTGCTCTGCGATAGTGTGCTGATGTTATTGCTCGATAACGCTCCTGGCCCGCTGTGTCCCTGACACGCCAGGAAAGGTGCCATGGTGACGGCAAGGAGCAGTGTGGGGATATATGCACATGGTCAAGTTGACTAGGTCAACCACATGTGTTGGTACAAATATGGAAATTGTGCGGAAAATTTGGGAAATTATCGTTAAGTTTGTACACTTCTACCTGAAGTCGCGTGTGAATTTAGTGAGAAAACCAATCATATATATTCTCACACTAGCAGGGAGTACAACGGGCAGTCCTTCAGTAACCCCTACACGAAGGTCGCACAGGAAACGCGTACGAAAATTTGCTATAGATTCACCCGAGTTCAAGACTCCAACCGGTGACTGGCGCGGTGCTACTACCATCACTATTTCTACTCTGCGAGATTCACAAGTCGTCAATCTGATCAGCGACCATGTATTACCAAATCTGAGCTTTAACCGTGCCACCAACGGCAAGAGGTACCGTCCTCGTAGCGAACTCCACCCCTATTGTTGCAGTAGGGGCACGGGGTAAAGTACCCTTGATATATCGGGACAAGAGATGGGTCTTGCCAACGGTAGCATCGCCGACTAGGACGACTGAAGTGGTAACGACGCTTGCTTCTTCCATTTCATGGAACATTGTCAGCGAAGTTATGTGCGAGTAATTCGAGGAGTGGTACGCTGATTTTTGAGCCCACAGGCCGCCTGCCCATAGTACTTTTGTAAAGATGGTCATATTCGTCGTCCATGGTAGCGCGGGAGTTGGTAGTAACAAGAAACGGAAAACGATTCACAACTGCGACAACAGCAAGATCAGGTTCATCGAATAGTAGCTCTCTATGCATTCCGTGAAGTTCACCAGCCAGTGGCGGTGTTCCTCAATGCTGAAGGAATACCTTTACTGGCGTTACCTCCCTTTTCCCTTCAGAAGACACAACGATACCCGCCCAAGTCCCCACCCAGTAATATCGTGGTGCTAGGCTGCTAGTTTAATGCTGCTCGTTATTTGCGTTGAGAAACTGCAAGAATTGGCAAGAATGCAAGATTAGGAAATCTTGGAACTTCCAAACTGCTATCGCTCAGAGCAGTCCTTATGAAGGTAGCATGCCACCTCCATCTCATCATCGCTGGCGTCATGTGCTCTGTAGTAGCCATCGTTCTCGAAGCCCCGGCTACTGTCTTGGTGAGTCCTTTACCATAGAATAGGATTATCACGATGGGTGATCGCGACTCTCTACGTGGTCAGATAGAGATCGATGAGATCCCGACCAGAGACTTCCGTGCCGACTTGGCGAGTGCTATTAGGCAGAATAGGAGCACAAATTATGTCAAGGGTAGAGCCAATGACGATGCCTTGGCTGCACACGGGTGCTTATTCAGAAATCCTCCAAGAATGGTCGTTGACAAGTTCAACTCTATCAGCAATAGGGGACGGGCTGGGCTTACCCCGTGATATTTCCAACACGGGTGGCACCCTCGACCTCAACAGTGAAGATGCTTCCACTGGTCTGACTGCCATTCAAGAGGCTGCGGCAATGGGGCAGAGGGATACGGTGAGCTGGAATGGTTCCCGACTTTGATCGGGAGCTCTGCCTCGGGTGTGCTGATGAAGGAGAATTTTCTTCTTGTCACTTTTACTGCGGCCTTCTGCTACGGCATCTAGCAGTCCCTTTTACTTCGCCTCGCCTGTGGTCAGGTTCGATTGCTTCTGCAGTATCCTGGCGTTGATATCGATGCTCGGACGGCGAGCGGGGAGACAGCTGCGTACATGGTCATACCACACCGCTGTGACATCCTACCACTACTTGTTGATGCTGGTGCTAGTCCAGTCGAAGGTTGGAGGTAGGTGACTTCGTCTAACCTGTGAAGATCATAGGGATGCTTGCTACGCTCAGGTGGCGGAAGTCCCCTTTAGAGAAAGCAGTGGAGCATGGCGCCTTAGACTGTCTACAGCTGCTCTCACGAAGGAGTACACAGTTCATCAACGATGCTGACGAGTTAACCGAGATGATCTGGGAGCCCGAGATTGGGTCAACTCTGTCTCACGACGGGTAGTAAATCGACTGATATCAACTACTCTGTGTGGTGCTGCAATGTCATTATCAGCTACGTGGAATTCAAAGTTAATGTGATGCGGAAAGCTAGCGGGCCGAGTACTATAGAAAGCAAGAAGCGTGAGTTGTGCTCGACCACCCAGGGAGTGTTTCGACCAACTCCATCAGGTTTGGCTGTACTACGTTACTTACACTTTGTTAATTTCGACTCATTTGCCGTGGACTTCACCTGGGGGGTCCTCATCACGGTAATGTGTCTATCTTGCTTCGGTCTCTGCTGCTTCCTCCTCTATCACTTGGTCGTATGGGGACCACTCGATAGGAGGAGGCCTTTCGACGTGTGGTGTCTTTTGGGCCTGGGAGATCCTCTCGAGTAAGCGTTCAATCATTCACGAGGACGTCTACTTGTGTTCGCCCTTTAGTGTTAGTCTCAACAGCTCTAGAGCTGCACTTCTGCCTGACAGCGCACCGTCAACAGCCCGGCACAAACCCAGGATAGGGTTGGAGGAGGCACAGTCTGGCGAGATGAGCTTGAGTTCCCTTTGCACTGTGGCTACCATGAAGAACATCACTTGGCTGAACATCTTTGTGAGTTGGCAGGGGTCAGAAGAGTCTAGTGAGTCACTACGTCTGAGATCATCATCGAGTAGTTGGACTAAGAGCACGCGGTGCATGCAGGTGAAAATTCCGAGTGTTTATGTTCCTCCAGGAGACATGGACGACTTCTTTTCTCCTCACGAGAGTAAGTCTGGCGTGCGCGAGGATCTCCACAATGGGGATCACTCGCTGACTATGCCATGATTTTCATATGGGTTCGTGCGAAGAGCCATTCGGTGGTTGATAAACTCTCTTCAGCTTTACAAGACCGCCTTGATAACATCGAGGATCGTCGGATGTTGGTCCGAGTGATCCACTATATGGAGGTGGTACTACGGTGTAGTGCACTGATAGGATCAGTTGTATGGGTGAGGCAGTGTCCCTGGACAGTGGTGATGGAGCCCTATGGTGCTCAGATGGGCTGTATTACTGATCGACCGGCCCTTGCGGCATTTTTGGTCGCAGCGGCCGGTATACGGATCTTGGTCACCTTCTGTCTGGCGAGCCAGTGAGTCTAGGTGTGCCCGTATGAGTTGAGATAGCCTGTTGTCGCAGGTCTAGTGAGGCACACCTCCTCGCAGCATTCGGTCGAGGCAGGGAGAAGTCGATTGAGAGTGATATACGGCTCGTGATAGAGTCTTTGGAGGACGTGGAGGAAGCAACCCTATTATCATCAGCATTAGCAGCTAGGGAGAAGGTGCGGTATCAGCACACTTAGGGTATTCCTATCACGGCTTACTACTCAGGCTCGGACCTGGCTCATGGCGTTCTACTCCCGAGGGTACTGCTATCCGAGGCATTTGTCGCTCCTGCTACCTCTGGTTGTGGTCCTTATAGCCTCAGTGATTGCAGTGAGTGGCCGATGCTCTGTTGTGGTCACGGTGGAGCTGTTATCAGGTAGCATTCTCTGTTCACGGCCAGGGGCTCAGTCTTGGTATATTTCCTGCAGTGTGAGTGGATATGTCCAGTGATTTGTATCGACTCGCCCATGTATAGGTATAGAACCAGTGAATCCCCAGTGGTTATCTTTGGTCGGGCTGGCACTCTAGTGCGCTACTCGGCGGTCTGGATGGAAACTCTATTCATTATCGTTGCCGCTGAAATCCTGTAAGGGCCAGTGATCCTTGCTGTACAATGTGATATGATGCTATCGAACTCCATTGCCTTCATCGTCGAACACAATTAATAATGCTGACAATATCATTACTAATAGTAGTCTATTCGATTCAACCCATACGGCTTATAGAAACTGAACAGCTTCGTTGCTAGAGTGATCCGATGCATTGGTAGGTTCAACATCTGCAGCAGTTTTGTTGTGGGCATAGCGGCGGTACAGGCCCGCCTGGACGGCCAGAGGTCAGTTGGTGTGCTTTTGGGGAGGGTGGGAATAGCAGTCAGGTATTTCCGCGATACTTTCTCCTTCACGAGGAGTCAGCCTGTAGAGGTGGATGGACACTGCAAAGGTACTCGTGTCATTGTTACAGGACCTATCTGTATGCTTTGCAGTTTGTGTTGCTTTCGTCGACCAAGTCTCGGCCGATCAGTGGAGACTGCTGCGGTGTCCACTGGGCTATATCTACTTGATGTGGCTGGTGGGCAACCCGCGTCCCTTTCAATGGTACCCTCGTGTGTTCAGGTGACCCTTAGCGCCGCGACCGCATTCAACTCGGCACTGGCTTGTGAAGAGCTTCCTCTGATCTTGCACTACTATACTAATAGCGTCGCTATGTGCCTATGGTGGGCGTTGCCAGTGACAATAGGTGCGCCAGCGTGGCTGATTCGTGTGTGAGGCTGGTGATAGGTGCACTGTGGCTTTTGGGTACTGCAGCGCAGTCGAACGCCCTCTCGTCGCGGCAGGGTGACCAAGGGCAGCTCTGTCTCCCCGTGATGGGCATCGTGACGTGGCCGATGACGATATTGTCGTTTTTGATAGCGACTTCAAGCTATGGGCTTCAGATTTATATACTCTATTTTACTACCATCGGAAAAGAGATGGTTTTACTCTAGTTGTGATTCACACTTCCGTCGTCGCTAATGCGCGACGATCCGGCAATCCGGACAAGGTTGTTCACCATGATACTTACATGGCCGTTGTTGTTGAGAGGAGTTGTGTTAGAACAGTATGTGATGGTACTGCTCGCAGCGATCGGGTCATTTGATGTAATCAGACTGCAGCAGCCTCATTGTGATGGAGTGACCAGTGATTGATGTCTCCACTCAATAGCGAATGATTTAGGGTGTAGGTCATTCGAGATGGGGCACTAACGTGTTGATTTGTTCGCGGACTGTTGGCTCTAATTGCCTACAAGTTCTACACGATCCATCAGGGTCAGTTGGTTGTTGATCGTTTGTCGTTTGAGTATAGGATTCTGACTCCTATCTCGCGGAAATACATTCGTCGAGAACTAAGAATGTGCGTCAGTCGTGACCTTCATCATGTCACCATCATTTATATCTTAAAGGTCCTCCCGCTGTCGGTGGCTCTCACAGTGAGCGTGGGCGCAGTACCTTGAGACCAGGGTGACATCGATAAAGGACATTCCTTGGTGGGACTTCTCCAGAATGCTCGCCTGGTTGCGTCTGCCGCTTCTGAGTTTCTTATGAGGCGAATGAACTCACTGGATGACATGACTGTAAGCTGACCTGAGGTAGCTTTTCCACGCCACTTGTTGGCGGCTTCGGTCCACTCGAGGATCAGGAACAAAGTCTACTCTAACCGAGGTTTGGTGGAAGATGCTAATTTTCAAGAGAACAATTGCATGTGAGTATCACGTGGATATCCTCGAGCATGTCTCAAATCACGATTACCTCATCTCCGAAGTCGTTTTTTGTTTGTGTTCACGATGGACTCTTGAACGCACCAAGGGGTCGAATAAGCAAAGCTTGGTATTTCAGCTCGGAGTGCTCCAGTTGTCCAGGAGTTACAGATTCGCACTAAATTGAACTTAGAAAATTTTGCATGAAAAGGGTATGTCTCGTATTCAATGATAAATCGCGATGAACTTACTTTGCTGCCTCCTTCCGAAAAATCAAGCGCAGATACTATTTATTCAAGGCTAATGAGGGAGCGATGAGATGGACGATTGTTAGAAGGACTCCATCATGTTCCCTACACTCAGTTTACTGTATAATATGGCCCCCATGTCAACGACTAGGAACTCAAAACAGCCGTGAATTCGAGAGTCGTTCCTCCATTCATTAGTTCACGGTCTTTTCGAAAACTTGGAGTCGCGAAAATAACAGTCGATGGAATTCGACATAATTTTACTTGTAGAGGACGGGGATCAGCGCCTCACTATGCTCATAGTACTCGCATCCCTGAGAGATGCACTTACAATGCAGTTAACGTATACTCTGGGAATCCCCACTTGATCGGGAGTGACAGGGAAGATGCGAATGGGCTTGATACCGGCATCGTTGAATCCACATGCACGAACATGTGGTAGCTGTGTCTTTTCCCAGAGCTCTTGCCAAGATTCGTACTCACCTACGATGAAACTCTGTACAACAGCACCATTTGGTGATATATGTATACCTTTCAATACACCAATAGACGTCAGATTGCAGTAGGTGAGAACTCCTCCGGGTTTGAGCACTCTGTAGGCCTAAAACGGTTGAAGGTCGCATGGGAGTTATTGGGATCGTCAACCTCCTTAATGAACTTGAATTGATGTGTATGTTGCTCATCTTTATCATGGGGATAAGTGTCGTAGAGGACGCCGTCGATACTGTTGTCAGGTAGCGTCGCAACAACCTCACGGGCGAGGCCCAGCATAGGTGTTACTTTATGTGGGGCCTTCGATGCGAATGCCTGAGTGACAAGAGATAGACCACTACCCGCATCACGACGATTATATACCTCTAACCGCTTGAAAACATCCTTATTGGCTTCTATGATGATATGCTCATCGATGTCATGCTTCTGTACAGCACTTGCCGACAGTCCGAGCCCGAAACCAAGCTCGAGGACTCTGCCACCGTTAGAAGTAGCTATCTCCGCGAGGGCGTCCATGTACGGCGCCTAGGGAATCGACCACAAACCATTGACATACTCAGAAGGATAATGAAGATGCTCGCCGTAGACTTGGGGGAAGGTTCTCTCAGACTCACCTCCCACTTTTGCATAACGGGATGACCATCGATGTCAAGTCTGTCACCATCGAACTCCTCATGTATGTCGCCCCACTGTTGAGCGTCACTCGTCTCGTTCAAACCATCGTAGCCTGTATGTGGCAAGGGCGGCGACATGTTGAATGAACGAAGGCCTCGCTGGAGAGGAAAACAGTGGAAAGTGTGAAGGGAATATGACCACTTAGGAGGGTGAACTGTAGACCATCACTGATCGTACTCACAACAATGAGGTGTCTACGAACCCCTGCCAGCAGTCACAATACGAGCGATTGAGTGCCCCTTACTAGATGGGAATACTACTAGTCATAAGAACTAGCAACCAGTGTAAGACAGTAGGAACATGTGTGAGCGCTACCATCAGGAGCATCGATCACGTAGGAAGCTGTGCGAGTAAGATAGTCCGGTTGCCATCACGATGGAGCAAGTCACTCAACGTGAGGCGAATCACGCCAGTGGTTACCAAAGATGCTTACGCACTTGGTAGAATATTTGTGTATGCGTGCGAAGATGTTGTGTAGTTCGAAGCGTTAATGAGTGAATCCTTCTGGGATGTCCACTCGATGAGTTCTTCACTGTCGATCCGATATGGCAGCCCACAATCACGGGATGATTAACACGGTGCTGAGGTTATACCCGAGTTTCGAATTCAGTTGATTGACGGAAAATCGAAACTCAAATAAGCTGCTCGTGACTTGAAGTATCTGGCTTCGACAATCGAACTTCATTCCACGGGTTGCATAAAAAGCCCATTCGGTCAACGCACCGGCCCTCATAAACGTTCGCTCCCATGAGCTACATGGATCCATTTTCGAGCCATAACTCCTAGCGACGCAGGGTCAGCGATGTATCGGCCGCAAGGAAGCTTCTCAGAATTTTCCTTGATTGGTGGTCTCGTAAACCTCCCATCAGCCAAGCACACACATTGCTGTTATATCGAATGCCTTCGTCACCGTCAGAGGCCAAAGGACGGCCATATATTCGACGAAGTCGGGGGGACGGATCTAGTCCGGACAGCGTGACACTCGCGCCACCTGCTTCGGTATGTCACGGTGAGGTCGTCACACATCTGGCTGAGGCACTGTACGTCCAGTGGTGTCTCAATCATGTCCTTCGTAGATGCCTGCAGCTCGCCCTGTCGTTTCACGTGACCAGTTGCTCGTCGACCTCGGATTCTCTGGAGAACCCGCAACCGCCAGCCTTATCAGTAATGATCCTGAACTCTCGCTTGCTCGAGGGGATGAACCATCGGCTATTCTAACCCGGTAAGCTGTGTTAAAGTTGACGAGCTACTGAAAGCCTAACAGATACCGCGCTCTAGAGAGGAAACTACGCAAAAAGGAAGAGGATCTGGAGAGATTGAAAGTTGACAATACTTGCCTCCGCAAGGAGCTGGTGAGCATGCGGCAAGGCTCAACTTCTTCGACACCACAGAATGCGGACAATCGTGCGCTGGTGAAGACACAGATGAAACTCCTCAAGTAAAGACAGTCTCATCATCGACGAATAACGGAGTCCACCAGTTGATACTAGAAGTGGCGCTTCTGCGTCAGGCGAGAGATTACGTCGCAAAGACAAACACTCGCTGAATACAAACGGAAGGAAGAGTGGATGAAAAAGTGCCTGACCTGGTCGGATCGCTCTCATGACACAAACCTATCTCCCCTCGCTTCCGGATCATGTAGGTATACTAGAGCCTCTAGTACGCACCTTCCGAAAGAGCTTGCACGAGTACCACCACCCAAAGAAGACGAGATGTCTTTACGCGCAGCTGAGGTGACTGGGATGGACTCAAGAGTTCACAATTCTGAACGGTTCGGTATACGTATAACGAAGAGCTCTTAACGATTCCATCGGATGTGATGAGCGCGACTTGGACGTTCCTTTTCGAGGTGGATGAGGAGGTCTTAGAGATCGAACGAATCTGCCGCGAAAGGATAGCACGAAGGACGCAGTCGCAATCTTCCGAGCAGCACGCGTCATCTGTGGGAGATGAACAGAAGACTAAGATGGATGTTAAAGAGGACCAAGTGGTTTCCGATGATGTCCGTTGGGAACTCTGGCCTTGCTCAGCAACTCATCCTTGCAAGATGTGATCGCGTACCGAACATAATGCTAGCCGTTTATTGAATGATAGCTCTTGACCATAGGCGAGCAACAAAGCAGATGATCTACTCCTGACACAATTGCCCGATGCTGCTATCATTGCTCATGACATGACATTGAATAGTCGGTCATCGCAGTTCAGTCATCAAAATATAAGTCGTCCTACGAAAAGCCAAACCTCTCAGAGGCGAACGCAGCACTCGGAGACTGGAAGAGGTAGCCAAGCTGAAGATGAGGGAACGCGAGAACATCTCCGGAAGCTGACGGAGAAGTACAAAGTGGGTAGGGATTGACGAACGGTGGCCATTTAATCTTCTCCAAGGACAAGAGAGTCGTCGTATGGTATACCTTCGTTCTTGCAGACTCTTCGAAAGCTGTACGACAAAGCTCGGGGCAACTTGGAAAGGTCGTCGGCTGACTCCAGCCGTGTAGGGTCGGGTGGAAAACAAACACTCGTGACTGACTTCACAGCGAAAACGAAATCGGACCTCCAGGTGGGACTAGGGCTCACACAGCCTGGCAAGCACATCCTGCTCCGAATAGGATCACTGCGAAGTATGTTCCGCTCAGGAATTGCGGGAACTTGTCGTGAACGAGTTGCGCAAATGCTACGGACTGTTAGAAGAGCGATCCAGGAGAATGGAAACGGCGGCCGACGACCGAGTGAGTACATACGTTGACTCAGGGTCTACTGATCGACATAACCTACGTCGTGCTGTATTTATTCTTGGAAGCTCGCTCCGTTGCTAAGGGCTTGACTTGGAGTTTTCGGGCGACGTTCGATTCCTCGTAAAGTAGGTAAAACGACTTCTGCTGAAGCTTGCGGAAGAGACAAAGAAGAGGCGGGAGCTGCATAACATAGTCCAAGAGCTACGAGGGAATATTAGAGTCTTTGTTCGTGTAGGACAAAAATCCTGGATGAGAAATTGCTCTCAGGAGCTCCCAGGTTCGTCCTCTGCTCGAGAAAGAGCGAGCGGAGGGCTACTGTGTTGAGTTTCCTGATGTCAACACCATACAAATCTTCAGTCGAGAACTTCAAACAGCAAAGAAATGGGAATTCGATAGAGTGTTCAACGACAAGGCGGGCCAGGTGGAACACTGGAGCTCGTTTACACATTAGAGAGCATCTGCCGCCCCCGCCTGATCGATACATTAGTAGTTGTGAAGTCCAGTGTCAGGCGGACGTATTCTCCGAGCTACAACCCCTCATCATCTCTGCTCTTGACGGGTATAACGTGTGCATATTTGCTTACGGCCAAACGGGTAGCGGGAAGACTCATACGATGCAAGTAGGCGTATCGTGCCCCTAGTAGATATTCACTGCTCTTTGCATTCAATGCTGTTGTTTTTATGTGTACTAATAGTAGACTCGCCTTTACCCTTCAGGGGACTTCGAATGAAGCCGGAGTGTACCACCGAACTCTGAAGGAGCTGTTTGAGGTGATTTGCCACTTGCGATCAATAGTGGAAACGGAGCATCTCCCAGGGCATTGAGGCTCGCCGTGGAGGATGGTCGTATCGGTTGACAGCCTCGGTCGTAGAGATCTACAATGAAGAGATCCGTGATCTACTAGTAGACCGGAGCTCAGGGAATATCGCCAAACCCAGGGTGGGTCCTTCAGCTCTCGATTGTGGACCGTGATTCGTAGTGGTGACCAAACGCTACAACCAGCCATGAATGTTATTTGAAATAACTTATTTCCATTCCTGTTTTCAATGTTGATGACTGACAAATATTTGCTTATGAGCTTGGCCCGATTCGAACGGACAACCGTCTGATCTGGAGTCAGATGCTCTACCGTTGAGCCACAAGCCCAATTGAACTCGTTATGCATCAAACATTGCGACCCCCATGCTGTTGAGCTTGGCAGGTTCAGCTGACTTCCACTGACGGGGTTCCCACAAGTCACGTTCCCGGGCTCACATGGCTGCCAGTTCTCTCTCCAAACGATGTACACTCGATGCTTGAGAAAGGTGTATCTCCCTGTTGGGCTCCATTAGGGAATACCCGTGTGTCAGGTTGGGAGGCCAGAGCTGTCGGATCAACCAATATCAACGAGCAGTCGTCCAGGTCACATCTGATAGTGTCATTGAAAGCTGAGATTGTAACACCTGGAGGAGATCGGTTGACGTCTAAAATAAACCTTGTTGATCTTGCTGGGAGCGAACGTTTGCGGAAGAGTGGTAAGTTCGGTCAGTTCGGGCTCGAGAGCTCAATAGCTCTTAGGGCTGGGGACCTTGTTCACAGCAATGAGCTTCCAATTATTAGTTATGTATTTCTCTGGCGAGTTTCAGCCTGTAGGTGCGGTCGGTCAGCGGCAGAAGGAAGCCGTCGCCATCAACAAGTCACTTAGCGCCCTTGGGGACGTGATCTGTGCACGGGTGACGAAGAGCCAACATGTACCCTACAGGTCGCGTGAGTTGTATCATCCCCCACAGAGTATCGATTGTTGTTAGGAATTCCGTGCTGACATCCATTCTAAGTGAGAGCCTTGGGGGTGACTCGAAGACGGTGATGCTCCTACAGATCAACCCAGCCGTGGTATGCAGAGCAGTGGTCTGTCGTTGGCTGGAAGCCTCTCTAATCAGAACTCCTATGATGAGTCCAGTAATTCCCTGAGCTTCGGTTCCCGAGTTAGTGCAGTCGAGATGAAAGTTATAGATCCACGGAAGAAGATGACGAGCTCATGATTCATTTTCTTGCCTGATGCAACTTGCAGCTTCCGAACAGTAGCTGTGTTTATACACATTCTTTCTCACAACTCCATTGGATTTCTCATAAAAGGATTATTCAAGACTTTTCATCCGTATGTACGACGCTAGCTGTCGAAATTCACTTGTGAGTGAGGCCATCGTTGATGTTGAATTGACCGATCCGGTTAGTTCATAGCCGTTTCACAAGGTTCTGAACATGCGTGCACATGGGTTGTGCAGTCCGCCTCCCACCCTCTTCGTAGCTCAGACTAGTGAGTGTGGTTGGTGTTAGAAACTCTAATTCAGATTCGGCGGATCCCAATAGCAGAAGTCATACGCTCAAGGTGTGATTGAGCTGATGAGTATCGTTGGAAGTGTGCAGTCTCTAGAAGTTATCTCACTTTGTTTACTAGCGTTATATTCGTGAACCACCTCCCTCCTCCCTGTCGTGTGACCATCGGAATGCTCGAGTGGTTTGCTCATTCCTTACGAGCTACTTCAGCTCATTAGTATTTTAGCTCTTCGATTAATGGCGACATTTGACAATACGACAGTGTGCGACAGTAACTTGTTCAGCCAGGAGGATTGGCTGGAAGTTGTGTAAGTCACAACCCTGCATTCACTGAGGCCCTTTAATACGTGCATTCGGCATTGTTCAGGTACATCGGCTCCGCTGTTCTCTTCATCATGGCCCTTCGGGGTCTCTCTAAGACGGAGACAGCCAAGTAAGGATTCGTCCGATATGATAGCACTGTAGAGTTGTGTGTCAGGTGGGGTAACATCTATGGTATGCTCGGTATGGCCGCTGCAGTGGCTGGTGCATGGGCCAGTCAGTTCGTATGTGATGAAGGCACTTGGCTCATTGCCATATCTCTATTCCCTGGCCTCGTCATAGGAGCACTGCTGGCTGGTCAGCTCCCTACTTCTTTTGTGTGGTATATCCACTTCAGGTCACGTGACGATGATTCAGATGCCGCAGATGGTCGGCCTACTGAATGCATTCGGTGGCTTGGCATCTGCCCTCGAGGCTCTTGGCCTCTTCCTCGACCCCAATGCTGAGTTCGGCCCTAATGGGTTCGCTCAGAGTAAGCGTGGCTTGTCATTGGTCACAGCAGTACTGTTTTCTCAACTTAGTTGACGAGTCGGAGAGGACCGCAGAAGTTGTCATCCAGACCATTGCCATGTTCCTGTCGATGATCATCGGGATGCTCACTTTCTTCGGCTCCATTATAGCGTGAGCAACTCATTCACTGCCCTGTCTTTATCGCGTGTCTCTTCAGGTGCCTGAAACTCAACGGTAATCTGGCGTCGAAGGCTCGAGTGCCGCCCTTCCGAACCGTCATCACCCTTCTCATCATGGCACTGATCGTCACCTTTTGTGTGCTTGCCAATCACGAAGGGTAAGCTCCTCAACCGTATCAGTCCATAGTTGAGCATTATACTGCTAGGTACGGGACTGGCCTCGGCCTTATGTACATGCTCTTCGTTGCCGTCCTCTCCTCCATCTGGGGTGTCCTCTTTGTGATAGCCATTGGTGGCGCCGACATGCCTGTTGTCATCTGCATCCTCAACACTGGCTCGGGTTTTGCTGGTGTTTGTGCTGGTAAATCTCCACTGCATCGTTGTTGTTGAAGTCAGGTGATATTTTTCAGGGTTTATGTTGTCGAACAAGTTGCTGGTTATAACCGGTGCGTTCGTGGGCTGCAGTGGCGCCATCCTCTCCGTCATCATGTGCGAGGCGATGAACCGTTCCCTATGGTCCACACTGGTTGGTGGCTTCGGTGAGGGTACCTCCTCTGGCGGTGCCAAGGTCGAGGGTGAGATGAAGGAGATAGCGCTGGAGGAACTGGCTGACACGTTGAACCGCAGCAAGGAAGTTGTCATCGTAGGCTCCACTCATGGATGGTCGTAAAGCATGGTCAACACCAGGTCCCCGGCTACGGCATGGCTGCGGCTAAAGCACAGCATGCTGTAGCTCAAGTCACTGAGATTCTACGTGGTCGAGGTGTCCGAGTCCGTTTCGGTATTCACCCTGTTGCTGGCAGACTACCGGGCCATATGAATGTACCTCTATATCGATCGGTATACCATCTTCGACGCTTGATCTCAGGTGCTGCTGGCTGAGGCACGCGTCCCCTACGACATTGTACTGGCAATGGATGAGATCAACGATGATTTCGAGAAGACTGATGTTACTATCGTCGTTGGTGCTAATGATATCGTCAACCCCGCTGCTGTCGAAGACCCTACGTGCCCGATAGCAGGTGAGCCCACAGTTCTATGTAAGGAGTGCATGCCGAGCTATGTTAGGGATGCCTGTTCTTGAAGTATGGAAGAGTAAGATGACTGTGGTGATGAAGCGTGGTCGTGGTGCCGGTTATTCTGGTGTTGACAACCCCTTGTTCGTCCGTGAGAACAATAGGATGTTCTTTGGCAGTGCCAAGCCCAAGATGGAGGAGCTCGCCGGAAGGTACCGTCATAGTATGATTGCTCATTTGACGCGATTGCCGTAGATTGCTGGAGTTGACAGCCGATGGCAAGAAGGTTCGGCTAGGGCAGGTGGAAGCTCATGAGCCAGCGCAGGAGCCCGAGACAAACGATTCTACTATCGATGTTGGGCCACCACCGGTTCGAGAGACCTTCTATGAGTTGGGCGTGCTGAAGGACCGTTACCCTGGGGAGAAGCGAGTTGCACTGGTAGGGTTGACCTACCATCTATTGGGGAGGTATGCTTTCTGTAAGGTACCCAGTATTTGCGCAAAACTGTATGAAAAGGGCTATGCCATTTATATTGAGAAGAACGCTGGTGCCGGGGCCGGCTTTTCCGATGCAGCGTACGAAGCTGTGGGGTGTGTGGTTCTCCCTGACTCGAGTGGTGTATGCGCCAAAGCCAAGGTAGGTGGCAGAGACCATGCTGTTGTAAAGTCTGTTTGTAAACTGTTGCTTTCAGATGGTCTTTGTCATCCGTCCGCCGCCCGTGGACGTTCTGCATCGACTTCGAGGCAAATACTGCGTGTCTTGGGTTGGTCGACTGACTGATGCTGGCAAGAAGTAGGATCGATCTCTCGTCTTCTTCGGGACGCTTGTGGTTTGTTCAGAGAGATTGAGATCGCCAATGGGGAGGGAGTGAACTTGATTGACGTCACAGCCGTTCCCAGAATCACCATCGCTCAGAAGCTCGACTGCCTTTCAAGTCAAGTGGGTTTACTCGACTCCTTGTGAAATTGTTGTTATCTGAAAGTCAGGCTAAGATAGCTGGTCACCGTGCCGTCCTGGAGGCCGCTCATGAATACCAGAAATTCTTCGCGCCTGAGATAACCGCTGCAGGTGAGCCCCCTGGAGGTCAGTGATCTAGTGACGTGTTGGGTCAGGCAAGTACCCTCCTTGTCGAGTGATGGTCCTCGGCGCCGGGGTGGCTGGCCTCGCTGCCATCGGCACTGCTGTTTCCCTTGGGGCTGAGGTCCGGGCATGGGATGTAGGCAGAAGCGTTGCTTGGCAGCTTGTGTGATGCTCGGCTTAGGTTCGTGATGTGTCGGATCAAGTGGAGTCCATGGGTGGCAAGTGGTTCAGTGTCGACTTCAAGGAGGAGGGTGGGGGCAGTGGCGGCTATGCTAAGGAGAGTAGCGATGCTTTCAAGGCTGCTCAGAAGGTACCGTTGGTGCTCTTTGAACAGCCCATGATTGCAGCCTGTAGGCCACATTCCACAAGCATGCGAAGGAGTGCGATATCATCATCACTACAGCTGCTATTCCTGGCAGGCCGAGCCCGCGTCTGATCGAGGGGTATATGGTAAGTTGGAGTTCAAGTCGAATGGTGGACTGTCAAGCTCAGGTTGACTCGATGAGGCCAGGGTCAGTTATAGTAGATCTTGGGGCTGAGGGTGGCGGAAACTGCGAGCTGACGAGGAAGGGAGAGTCCTACCTCTACGAACAGAAGGTCAGTGAGGCTCTTCCTGTGGTAAAGAAGCGATGTGTTAGGTACGTATTATCGGCTACACTGATATGGCAAGTCGGATGGCCGACCAAGCGTCTACTATGTTCGCGGCCAACATGCTCAATTTCCTCACTCATGTACATTCTAAGGGACCGGAAGAAGTACGGTAGCTCTTCACTGCGGGACCGTCTCGGCCAATAGTTTTACTCTCAGGCTCGAGATGCTCGTAGCTTCGAATCTCATCTCGAGGCCAACATCAAGGAGTCGCCAGAGAGCGACATTATAGTTCGGAGTATTGTGTGCTGCAAGGATGGCCAGGTGTCTATTCAGCAACAAACGACTGTCGGTTTAGTCTCCCTCCTTGAAGGTGTTGAAGATGCCTCCGCCTCCCCAGCCTAGCCCAGCTGTGCCGAAGAAGGCTGAAACACTTCAAAGTCCTGGACAGGGCGGTGTTAGCCAAGTATAGATTTTTTGTAGGGAAAGTGATAATTATGTCACTTCTTGTAGGTGAACGCTGTTGGTGGCGGCGTTCTGGCTTCATCGCAGTTCCTGTTACTGATCTCCGCTGGTATCCTTGTTATCATAGCCATATGGGCGCCTAGGACCTTCATAGACCTTCTCATGGTCTTTGTGCTCGCGGGATTCGTAAGCAGTCCATCCCAGCATTGTTCGTCCTTCATTTGGATTTCTCCAATAGGTCGGGTACATGCTAGTATGGAATGTGCAGCCGGCTCTCCACACGCCTCTGATGTCGGTCTCCAACGCCATCTCGGGGCAGGTAGAGTGCCTATAGCGCCATGGAAGGCTCATCCTACCATCCTTCCTTTTCAGGTTGTGCTTGGTGGCATCTTCATGGTATCTTCCGAGGAAGTCGCCACGCAAGTCTTCGCAGTAGCTGCTATTGCTATTGCCGCAATTAACATCGGAGGAGGTTTCATGGTGGGTTTGCCTTCTGCCATCGATATGGTTGACTCCGAGACTGTCTCCATCCTGCTCAGGTAACTCACAGAATGTTGGCCATGTTCAAGCGAGATGCCTCGTGATTATGATTGTATTTCATGACCTCCACCGAGTTTCCGTCAATATATCAATCTGCTACGATTCTCTCTTGAAATTGTTCGCAGCAGTTCTATTGCTCGATTCGAGATTCTCATTTATATTTGAACGGAGGCGCATCGCCTCAGTTCGACATTGATTTCCATTACTGAATGATTCTAGTTTCATCATTCCCCCTGTGCGGAGGAATTACACTTTGTGACTCTAACACAAGTAGCTAATTAAGCAACATTTTTAGGGCTACTGCATATTGCTAACGTGACCGATTTGTCCGCAGCGGTAGCTAAAACGGCTTCAGTAGCATTTTATATGTGTTTCGTTCATTAGACTCTATGGATCCGTAACCTGAGGGGATGTTGTGCGTCAGAGAGGAACGTTCTCCAGCCGACACTTGTGAGAGTCTTCTGAATAGGGATGTAAGACACAGCCGGAAGTTCATCCAATCAAAGTTGTGAACATGTCGAAATGTTGTACAGTTGACTCACGTGACCAATTTCCCAAAATGGAAATGTGAAGCACTCTTTCAAACGTTGGAGAAATTAAAGCGTTCTAGTTTGCCTTAGAGCTAGGGTCGTGGCTCAAACAGCCGATGAACAATCCTTATACGAGTCGATTGACCATGGAGGCCCACCTTTAATGTTCTCACTCTGGACTATTGTCTAGCCGTTTTTAATTCATGTTCAACTTGTCCGTGTTGGGGATTTCTCCCGGAATTGAGGTGAAAGAGAGAGTCTCTCAATATCCTTAGAGATGAATTTCATCGAATGTCTTTTCGAGAGGCTATTCAGGTTGTGAACATCTTCCCGGTACACTGATGTATACGAGGGTACATGATGACTATACTCAACCCTTCTCGTACAAACATAGATATTCACTCCATCATAAACGTTCACAGACCCAATGACGTACTCAAGAAATCTAAAGCGGTGCGAATGCTGTGATGCCATCGTTCGGATCGCGTCGAGGGGAACAGTCACTTGGCTTGGGTCGTGGAGAGTAGACCTCTGCTATGACGGCCAAGGACGGCTACAAAGAGCGCGACATGCAGACTCATGTTTATATGAAGGAGAACCTCTCGCTCACCTCGGGCACCTCATGGCCGTCAGATTCAGAAGGGTTCTCAATTCTCAGCGTCTCCTAAAAACACCCCTTTTTTGACCATCAATATTGCCCAATTAGCATGCCTCTCATGAAAGCCCTACCCAGGGTATCGGAGTGCAAATCTTCGTCAATTTAGAGAACAAATCGCCAGCAACAAAGTCGTTATCGACTACTGTACAGAGGAAGTAATGTTGTCGAATGAAGTTCAGAACCTGAAGGCATCTTCAGATCGTCATTGACTGTCAACAGGGGAACCTGTCTGGACTGATGATCATCCTCAGGGTAGACATCCATCCACTCATTCCACAAAGCGAATGCCTCGTCCTTCCAAGCCTAAAAAAGGATGCTCTCCCTAATATAAAGGGCCAATAAAACGTACCATAAAGCTGGTCACATCAACAACCGTAGGCTGTATGATCTCGCTATTGGGGAACACGCCCCAGGTAACGGCGTTGACCTGTCCTTGAGGAGGGATGTTAGACCTCACTTTGGACCCGTCAGCCGTCACTGCCATGTACGATATCGAGTCATATTTCTCGGCCTCGATTCCCTACGGACACTCAGGAATCATCGCTGCTGCCATGAAGTGCTCCTTACTCTGATGAGCTGCTCGAGCTGACCCTCTGGACAGAAGAACTCGACATAGGCCTTCTGATAGACGAAGCCCCCTGCCGGGCCCCAACCGACATAAGGATCAGTGGAGAGGGCGCCATTCACACTGAGGATCAAGCTGGCATGGGAGATACCTTCGGGGTCCCTACCGAGGTTGACTGTTTATAGTGAGCATGTTGCATTGATTTAATCGAATCAGCTGCTTCTGGATGAAAAGCGTCTCTTCAGTTGGGGGTTCTGTGCACCACGGCAACCGCTTCACTTCGCCCTTGATGAAGTCCGTGAAAACCTAATTCAACGTAGCTAGTGCGGGCAGGGAGAATCTCCCGAGGCCTTACTCGCCTCACATGGTCTCCATTGGGGACACGATCCCCCCACATACGCCGTCGATCGGCAGCCACCTGTCGATGAGGCCTCAGCATCACCAGCATCTGCATCGGACTGTACCTTGTCTTGAGTCTCCTTAGAATAGGAACGGAAGTTCAATTCAAAGTCACCATAAGCAGCGGAGGCCTGGTTGCCAAGACGGCCTGAAGGGAGGAGGATGAGGGGAAGGAGACGGTGGGGCGAAAGGCACCGTTGGGGAATTCATCCCAGCTGCTGGTCCGCTGGATGAAACTCTTCTGTCGATTTCTCCAGAAGATTGGCCTCACGTTTTCCTCCTGTCGAGACGAGGCCTTGGAAGGCCGCCACGGAAGAACCTATGAGCAGGGCAGTGAAGGTAAGATGCAGAATAGGCCTACCCTGGTGGCCACGTGGTTGTCGACCATCATGAGGCGTTCAATAATACGGCAGACGGAGGACTCCAGGTTGAGCGTGTAGAAATGCAGTCCCCCACTGGAATGAGTATGGTCAACTCCATAGGACATGATTTGCGAGCCTGAGAGAACTGATGGGTGTGACACGTCCTCGTGTGAGGTGGTTACACATGGCCACGCATATCTCCACTCCAAGATCCTTCACCCTCTGATCATCGCCCTTGACTTGCTCTAACTGGTCCGCTATCGCCCTCGGCACCTGGTCGTAACCATCAAGGGTGCATCACGAGCGACTGCATACAATACTCACTTTAGTTTTACAGAATTCGGTCATCTTTTTGAAGCCCGAGTAGCTCTGTATCGGCATTATCCCAGGGAAAATGGGTACTCGTATGCCCAACTTCCGGACGGCCGCTACGAATTTGAAAAACCTTGGAGGAAATAGTTGACGAATTTCCTATGAAGTGATGGCGTACACTTCCGTGTCATAAAAAAGTTGAGTTATGATGAGGTCCGCCCCGGCGTCCACCTTCTCCTTGAGATGCACCAGATCCTCTTCAATCGATTCGGCTTCTAGATGCCCTTCAGGGTATCTGTTCCGCATCCACGAGAGCGATGGGATGTCGTAGACCCCCTGCTACCCAGCAACAGCTATGCAGAAGTAGTCGCCGTATTTGCCTCGTATGTGGCGTACTAGATCGACGGCGTGGGAGAATCCTCCTGAGAGAGTTCGATGATGGTCTTTAGGGTCCCCTGACGGCTGACCTTGGCACGCCCTCCATTCACTTGATTGCGTCGGAGCGTCACCTCTCAATGCTAGGATATTCCGTATCCCAACCTGACAGGTCGTCGACGAGGCTCATCCGGGAGGAGCGACAGACTTGCCTCTTTGCACTTGTCCAGGACCTCATCAATTTCCTCCACTGACTGGTGGGTGCATGTGAGGTGCATCATCACGTCCAGACCGTGATAGGTGAGGGCGTTGCGACAGATCTCGAAGGTTTTGTTGGAGGAAGAGGAAGCACCTCCAGCCCCCCTGAGGACACCACTGCTTAGGTGGATCTAGGCCACTATACACACCATGTAACGTCTATCCACATGGGCCCCAGCTCGGCCATTCTGTCGAGCCGCTCGTAGAGGTTCTGAACCCCCATGTCGGTCTTGGGAGGAAAGTATCTGGCAGTTAGGCGCTTGTTCGTGAGACAGGCAGTGAGGGGCGGTACTCAAAGGAAAAGAAGGGGACCCTGCCGTTTTCATTGTTCTCCCGATCATGTTCCCATCGACTCTGTATCTTATCGATGAGTCGAGCCATTGCAATACAACTGCTTATCGAACTGTCAGTCATCGTCCCATTACTCTCCCCACGAGTACTCCTTCCCACCGCAGCGCCCGTCGAAGATTTTCCACCGATGACCTCGGGGTGGCCTTCCACCCAAACTATGCGTATTGTTTGTACACCAGAAGTATTTAGATACTTCCTAACACAAGGCATATAGTTCTTGACGGCCGGCTCGGCTGCCGCCGAATTGAGCACCTTTGAGTGATCTTGCACTCTCGCCACTCCTCAATACTTTTCGATCGAGTTGCTGCTACGTATTGGAAATGTTGAAACTTATATGGTTGTCTCCGACACTTCGCCCGGGGGGTAGGTACTCAGTGGGAGTTACTCTGCTAATTGAGGTCTTTTGCGCTCAGAGCTGCTCTTTATGACAGAAGAAATGGTAACTTGTGAGAGGTAGCTAGAGCAGGCTCCTATGCGAGCCCCAGTGAGAGGCAACATGTGATGGGAAGACCACTGAGTCCTCCTTTTCCGCTCCATTCTTGCCGTTATGTCCCATCTCAGAGAGGACAGTGCGTTGAATCTAGCAGCCTTTACTCGCTGCCTCATACTTCTGTATTGGTCCCCTCAGTGACCCCACTGTTTGTTCCTACCAGAACTACCAGGCCTGAGTTTCTGTCATCCCCAGTTGCTAGATTGAATTACTGCATTGCCTTTCCTGTGGTCAGAATCAGTCTACTTGTGAATGGTATGTTACCTCCTCTCACGCCCGGTATTCTAGTTCGAAGGAATCGTCCGTGGGGCACCGGAAGGTCTGAGCCGATGAGTTGGCGTGGTGACACGCAGGTGAGCTCATATCAATGATATTCCTTCCACAAGCACCGCCTTAGGTCGGCTGCGCTGTCAACGGCCCTGTCTGGGCTCCTGAGGTTAGAGTGTTTGGAAGAAGCTCTAATAATAGTAGGGCTTGCATTCCCTCTATTCGAGCCTATCTGTGTCCCTCAGTCGGGCTGCATATTCCCTGCAACAGCTTTGAGGCGACGAGCTGCCAGGACGCATTAGCCCACTGTCGACCCGCAGGAGCGGAGGGTAACAGCATCGGAATCGTTGACTCTGTTGAGGCATCCTTCCTCCTAGGGGACCGAGTGAGCGCCTTCTACCGGAGCACAGGTGCGAGGCGACATAGGATGGAGCCGGCATTTCGGGATACCAAGGCCTTCGGAAGGTGCTCAGCATCATGTTGCGCAGCCACGGTTGAGCAGATCCCCTCCTCGTCTTGGTCAGGCCCCTCCCTCCCCACCCGTGGGTTCATCCCTCACACGATCAACGAATGCTCGCCTCGACCCCCCGGTGAGGACTTGTTGATCGTGGCACTAGATGGACTGGAGGCCTACCCTAGGTCCTCGACAGCATCCCTCAAGTCATCTCGTCGTCGTAGTAGTAGGAGCAGTAGTGGCCGCAGTAGCCGGTCGAAGAGTACTGCTCATACGGTGAAGTCCCAGGCGACCCATAAAAGGTACGCTTGCTAATTCCTAGGTCTGCTTTTCGGCAAACTCTTCTTCCCGTCATAGTGCGGACACGAATTCGTCCGCTCCTCTGAGCTGCAGTTCGAGCGAGGCTTATGCTAGAGCCTCGTGGGCCTTCCGTCAGCTGCCGATGTACAGGACACACAATCGCGAATATGGGCATCCGTTCACCTATGGAGCCCGAGGGAGGAGACTGGTAGCTCCTCCGTCCTCCGCAGACGGCTGATGTCAACTCCTCCTCCTCTATAGATGCATCACGAAGCGCGACGCACTCCAGCTGGGTATTTGGGTATTGGATATCCCGATGATCGATTTAGGGAGTTTTATCCTCATTATTGAAACAGGTTCAACTTGTTTATCATGAGCCTATGCTGTGCTACTCATTGCTGTTGCCGGAACTGTGCGATCCCTATAGGCTTGCGTTGAAGCATATTTTGTGGACCCACCCAGTGCGGGTCGCTTCTGACAGTTATCGTCGCTATGTCACAGGATGGGTCTCCCTATTGGGACTCGCACGAGCAGGAGGAAGTTCCCTTCTACCAGCGGCCGGCGTTCCGGACGATTGCGTCAATATGGGCTGTGCTTTTCTTGGGCATGTTGTTCGTGAATTGGCTTGTACAGAGCATAGTGAAGGGCAGCCAGACAGCCTCAATAGACCGGGAGGTGCTCAGTGCCTTACAGGCGGCTGTGTACGACGTAGTGAAGGACCAGAAGGACTTGGTGTCTAGAGTGGATGACCAGTACCTAGATCTGCTCAGTCGTATCAACGATCTCAGTACAGGAGTCCGCAGGATGGGCCATGCCCTACGAGAGCCCTTGTCTCTTGAAAGGCTTCAGGGTATCGTACAAGTCCCTAGAGAGGAGAACAGGTCTACCATGGTGTTTTGCGTAGTCTCGATCGTCTTGGCCGTATTGATGCATTATATAGTACTACGAAAGGATAGGGGGCAGTATGTGAGGATGATTCGGGAGAGGTGTGGTAGTCCACGTCGTTGCCAACAAGCTATACTACAGTGTGGCGTTATGAACCCGCCGCCAGCGTATAATCCCGAGGTGGTCCCGATCGAGGCTTGGAGGGATGCCCCCACGATGCCTGGTAATGAGAGAATAATCCCAGTCGGATCGCCATTGGCAACGGCTTCCTGTCTTAGTTACACCTCGAGCAAGGAAAGCTGTCGTAGCGCCACGGAAAGCAGATGTGAAGGAACATCGGCTGAGCGCATGTGTGGTGTGCATGGCGTCGACGAGTACACATGCGATCGTAATATTCCTTTTTTGTCACTAGCCCGTTGCAACCCCCCCCCCCCCCCCCAGGTCCCATGTGGGCACCGGTGTTGCTGTGGCCTCTGCCATACAAGACTAAAGCGGTACGTCCATGCCCTCACACCCACATCTCAATGTCATCTTCCAGGTGCCCGCTCTGCAACGTAATGATAAGCTCCGTAGTGAAAATTTATGATTAATACATTGTCATGGCCATGCCTGTACGACGCTTATGCGGTATTACCATATCTAAGCAGTTGTTTGAAACCTTTGATTTCTTTGGTTACACTAGTGTTAATCAGTGCATCCTTCCACTTGTTCGGGTACTGTTAGTGAGAGCTCTCAGTGCTCACTTCCATGGCAGCATCTATCTCTAGTTATGAACGATACATCGCTTGCTATGGTGGTGAGGACTCTGATGAGAAACCCGCTGGGTTAGTGATGGGTAACATTTATAAAATTTAACCAATTCTAGCGTTTCTAACACTAGTAGCGTTATGCTACTCTGCTCACCGTATAACAAATCATGTCGGATGTGTGGCTGTGCGGCGTTCAGAATGAATACCCTGCGCTTTGCCAGGTAATCTAACACTTCCAGAGGGGTATATGGTTCATTATGAGCCTTCTGGTTCAAGTAGGATAATGAGGGAGCCTGATCAAGATTTGGAGGCATGGGCGAAATTTAGAGCGAGAAAGATCGGTGGTAAACTGTTGTTACAACAGTGTTTAGTCATCAGCTCTTGTGTGTCGACGCACAGTCAAATAATCTTTTTTCACAGTCAGTTTGGCCGAGCGGTCTAAGGCGCCAGACTCAAGTTCTGGTGGAGAAATCCTCGTGGGTTCGAATCCCACAGCTGACATGTTTTTCGTTGTAGATCAATCCATCGGAGGACCTGCACTCGAAGGGAACTCAACAATGCATTTACAACCCAACCCACCATACCAAGTAATATTTGTTAAATACCCACCAGCATCTGCCTGATCCATTGGTTGACCTACTCATCAGGACTTCGCCTATTTCGATGCGCAGGGGAGACTGAATCATGCACCTTTGGAACCAGTCCGGGTTGTTAGATCAGTGAGAGTGGCTTGAAATTTCGTAGGCGAACTCGCTCCTCGGTCAGAGACGATCCTCAGCTGCATCGTCAATCCCGAGTGACTCGTCATCTCCTAGGCTACTCGGCCTGAGGTCGGTGAGATTTAGCACAACAATGATTGGTTCAACGCCGGCTAGCAGAATCACAGATGGTGACAGTAATTGAAAACAATCCATTCTCAGCCTGGGGCTGATCCCTATCATTGTTGAGTTCAAATGTTCGGCTAACATGTGCACATAACATCTCTGATGTGATTAGCCCAAACACTCTCAATGTGCAGCAAAACGTGCTCAGAACACGACAATGTTGTGAAGCGTTTGCGTTTACCATACATCTTCCAAGCCAGAGGAATATAACAGCGATATGTTTCTTATTAACTTCTCGTCCACATGAGAGCCTCTCATTCACTCATGTTCATTCACCTCTGGACAATCACCTCTCATTCAGAGGTGATTGACGATTGTTGCGTTTGGAACATTCCTGCCACGAATCCCCCACTCGCGTGTCGTCGATGAGACTAAGTGTTCATGCTGTGACTCGATACGTAGACACCTTCCGACAACCCAGCATTCATTCTTCGCCTCATCATCATCAACGCCAATGGCGTTATGCCATGCCCTCGATAATCACACTCAACAAAACGAAACAGATCACTTTGCTTTGAGCGCACACCTCTAAGGTATTGGGTACATCACTTGCAGTTTAGTTGGATTTCACTTAGGCCGTAGGAACACACTGACCTGCCAAAGGAGGAGATGCCTAGTGGTGGTGAATAGCGACCACAGGGAATCTTTTTTGGTGTTCTGACCGTCTTACAGTTTGATTAGTTTGGCGGACAGGCAATAGTCGCCTATTTAAAATTAATTCATTATCCAAGACGGGTAGACTAGGCAGTCTTGAGTTTAAGTTCGGTACAGATCTGCAAGATGGGACCTCCACACCGGGGAGACCACCGCTGAAGAAAGAGCGAATGGAAACCGACTGCTCAGATTAGCGAGATGTGTGGAGGCATTGACTTACTCTGTCCTTATCCTCCCATTGTCCGGCAATTTCCACACGAGTGATGCTTTAGAGCCTCGCATTCTCGACATAATCGATTTCAGATTCGGGCTGGTGTTCGGCTCTTTGTTCAGAGCTTGTCGTTTCCTCCAGGCATCAGATTTACCGCAAAAGGTATAAAAGCTGTGTCTGTCGGCTCGGAACCCTAACTGCTCACTTCTCTTCGCATTTGCCTTCGTGCTCGCGGCCTCCATGTATACGCAATCTGGTCGTTTTTTTCCATAGCAGCAGTTGAGCTCGGCAAACGTATGCGCCGGCTGAGCACGAGGAGGAAGTTCTTCTCTCCTCGGTTGTTCGGCCTTGCGAAGGATAGTCGCGGCATGCTTCAGGAGGGCCACATTGAAATCTCGTTGTGGAGGATGTAGGGACGCCGATAACATCATTTGAGCGTCAAAGGTATCCATGGCAAAGGTCGAGTTGCCTCTTGCCCGTGGCTGGTGCCCCTTCTTGCATTCCAGTCCATAGCACAAAGGGGAGAAGAGGTTGTCAACGAGCGCTGAGTTCTCAATGGCAGGTCCCGACGCTTCACGGAAGTCTACTGCTGGAGTACTACTATCGCGGACGACCGAGAATCGGTTACGCAGTAGTATGGCTCCGCCAGGTGCCTGAACATTCACGTCGATGAGTATGTAGGGAGCGGCACTCCGTTCCGAGGTCACCTCCAAAGATTTCTCAGTCGGAGGAGACATGAACTTAACACAGCTGCTTCGTAAGCAGCGTAAACTGCAATTCTGGATCGTGCAGACGGGTAAACTGCCATTACCTGAGGATCGGCATGCCAAAGATGTATATGGAACGTGTAAAAGACATGTCATGCAAGATTCCGAACGATAATTTTCACTGACAGTCTGGCCGAGCGGTCTAAGGCGCTAGCTTCAGGCGCTAGTCCGAAAGGGCGCGAGTTCGAATCTCGCGGCTGTTACTTTTGCATGCTCCACGACTAGAATGGATTTAAACCTTTGTTGATGCTTATTTTGATCGAGACGTGAAAGATGGCGTTAAAAGATGTTTCGACATTCGGTGGGGTTGAACCCGGGTCTATTGGGTCGACCAGGGGTCGGCCAAGGGCTTAATTGAAATTTCGTGACGCCCGACGCAGAAGCGGTGGAGGTCACGGAGGATCGAGAAATGAAGCGGGCCACTTCTTGATCCTCGTTCTCACTTTCAGTTGTAATCACTATTCCGCAACTGAATAACTCTCCATCAGTGGATGCTTCGCATTTAGTAACATCAAAGTTAGTAAGAGTAAGGTTGTCTATAATACAGCCCGGATGCTCCACTCGGATCTGCAACAACAACAATCAAGCTGGAAGGCAGTCTCTAACTGAGCTTGTCGGGCAGAATCAACTCCACACAGATGTACGTACTTGGCCAATGATCGTCACGCCGTCCCGGCAGAGGCCTTGAACGATGACTCTGCGTCGGCGTAGTCTGAGAAACCCGCACACTAATAACATTCACATCTGCTGAGCAGGAGACAAACTCGCTGAAAACTACATAAACTGGGGCGATACGAATGCAGGGATTGGGATAGTAAATACGCGTGAGTGAGCAGACATAAGCAGGCGTATCGCCCAACCTGAGCATGCCTCCCGGTAGAGTATAGATTCCTGGTATCAACTGTAGCACTCTGGTTGTCGTATCACCATCACTGTGGTGTGGATCATCAATGATCTCCTGCGCAACCAAGGACAACACGGGGATCGTCGAAGTGGCTTCAACCACGCGATGGGAGGGACTCACCTGTAGCTTGCCCGACATGCTTGCGTCTACCACAATGATGTCTTGCTTCTCCCGAGCCCAGAACTCCCTCTGCCGCTTCTGGTGCTCAGGGAGGGTGTATGCGAAATGGCGATATATCTACCAGCACGATCGACGAGGAACTCCGATTCAGCACCAGCAGGCCAGCAATCACCTCAGATGCTCGCTGGGAAGATCCCTTGGAAATCCTGTCTGTAATTGCTGCAATACCCAAGCCACCTTCAGCCGCGGCCCATCGTAGTCTTGTCATGTCGCTCTCTTCTATGTTGACCTCAATGGCAATCCGGAAGGGTTGGCTTTCTCCCACCGCGGTTGTAACAACGATGCTATGCTCACTTCGCCCGGAAAGCCGTGGTATGCCGCGTAAGACGCAACCCCGTTTCTCCAGTTCTATTCCCGGCGGCAATGCAGGTGTGACACGGCTGGTGACACTATCGTCTTCTGAAGACAGATCTTGGTCACCAACCTTCACGATCAACCGTATCGGGCCGCACTCCCGACCATAACGCAGAGCCAAGTGTGGCGCATCACCATCGACGCCGTCAAGGCCGACCACTTTGGGCAGTCTTCCAATGAGGGTCACGCGGGCCTCGATTATACTGGATACCCCCTCCTGGGCTTGCACAAGAGCTACAACGAACACTGCGTCCTTGATGACCACTCGTACAGGAGGCCCGTCCTCCCGACACGATGAAGACAGCTCAGTTCGACTAGTGTCAACTAGGGTAAGTAGTCTCTCTTCAGCTGACAGAGCCAGCGAGACCTGAGCCTCCACAGAGCCCAACGGTGATACCAGATCAGCCGTTATCTGCAGTGAGAACGTCCGATACCGACCCGTCCACGATGGGTTCCCACTACCGTTCCAGCGACGCTACCGTCCTTGCCATTAGACATGCTCATCCACGTCTCTGTGTTCATGCCAATAGGGACATCCTCCGGTACGGCAGTGACCACTTTAGCGTCCTTAGCGGGTTCGAAGGCAATCTACCCAAACCATAAAGAAGGGACCCAACAGGAGACCGACCAACTGACCTTGCGAAGGCTGAGTTCTTCCTCTGTCGGTCCCTCTAGCTGCCAAACTACGACTAGATTTCCCGTACCGGGAATCTTAGGTCCGACGGCTGTTGGACGTGGCGGTAATAGGTCTTCCTTAGCTGAGGGTAACGACTTAGGACTCGCTTCTTGTGAGCTCATGGAACTGCCCGATAGTGTGCGAACTTCCATTGTATTGACAACGCAAGAGCTGGCAGGAGATACAACAAGGGTTGTATTGCTGAGACCAACGATCGACCTTAGCACTGCCACCGTGGCAGTGCCACGTATGCTGGGCTGAGCGGCTAGCGCTGCATTTACTATTTACACGGAGCCAACACCGCCTATACGAGGGTATCGCACAGGAGCATCTGTAATTTCCAGGCTTCATCCGTGTTGGCAACCGTTCCGTCTGTTATCCTCACTGACGTCCTTCGCAGTTCGCCCAGCTACCCGTCTTAGTCCTCAATACCTTCCCCTGGCAGTGTCGGAATATCTATTTAGTTTCCTCAGTGATGCTCGAGACCTTCCTCACAACGTTATGGAGAATTACACACGACTTGGTACAAAGTCTAACCATAACTTCCCCACATTTCCCTTGTAATCTTCATATTGTCACAAACCCATGTCGTTGACCTTGTGCAAATTTGCTAACCCTGCTTCCTGGTGATCTTAATTTCTTAGGAAGATGAAATCAGCAGTGAAGAGTGATAGCTGTAAGATGATGATGATGACGATAAGTCCCTCTGGAAGACGTCCCAAGCTCGGCAGAGGACGGGGAACCTCGTAGAATTCAGTCAAAAAAGTTGAGTCTGGTGATCGAAAAAAAAGGCCCAACCCTTCAAACTGCTCAGTGAGTGCGAATGACTGACAAATTCCGGTGCCATTTTGAAGCAACCGGCGAGCTCCCCAGTTGCTCTAGTAGAGATTCGCGACAACATATTTCTAGAGCTCCGAAGTGGATCTAAGAGAAAGGTAGCACAGTAGTTGAAAACCTCAACAACCGCACTGCCTCTCCCGACCTCATCCATGCGAGCGGCAAAGGACTAGTAGCGGTAGTACAATGCCGTGGGAATCAACGCAACCGTCCATGTGTCATTATCGAGAAACATATACCAATTTTAAGGGCTCTCACTGGAGGATATCAACCACCCTCCTCTACTACTGATGTTGTTCGCTACTACTACCCACTGCCTATTGATGCTTGGCCTGTTGTAGTAGCCTCTTCTGCATGAACACGTTGGTCTCCATCATATTCTGAGCGCAACGCCACAAACAGGTCTGCTCCGAAGTGGACAGAGACTTGCCAGGAGTCTGAGCAGTACAAGATGAACAACAGTAACGACACGAGTTGGCGAGTTACCGAAACGCATTTGTCGAAACAGAGTCCGGTGAGCTTGACCATAGTCTTCTGACTTTCAATGATCATATTTAACTGCATCATCTGTTGCTGAGCAGCCTTGTGGTCATCAGAACTATGATCACTAGTATAGGATGATGTAGTGTCCATTATAGGGAGGAGGCTGGTGAAAAAACGGGGTGCTTCAACACAGCATGTCGCCGCCGTTGGTCTATAGATTCTTCCGGATGCGCTCCCCCCTGCCGTGAAAAGCTCCCTCTGTAGCCCTTTTACTGCTGCATGTATGCACACGAAGCCATCCCTAGCCCCATTCCTCACTCATTAGTAAATGGTGTTTCGTGTGCTATTCCGTTCTTCATGCGTCTCTTTTCAGAGACGCTGGAAGAACGATGAAAATCGCCCCTCGTTATGATCACCAAACTCTGCCGAGTTCGGCAGTAATGTATAGGAGTTCTAATACGGACCTAAACGCCTTGGTGGAATTGACGTATGTATAAGGTCACTGCCAAGTCAAACAGAATGAGAGGAACCTAAATCTTGCAATCTAGTATCTTCACAATTTTGAAATTGTAAATAGCGCGTTCGCCCGAGCGATCCATAGCCTTTGTTCGTACAGTCCGGAGTCGACCTATACCGGTATGTTCGCCAAGGAAATCGTAATCGACTGCCGCGGGCACCTTCTGGGCCGCCTCGCGAGTAATAAGGGGGTGTCTAGGGTTGGGGTCCATGGCTGACCTGTTTTGAATCTTTCTCGTCCGCTCAGTGGATTCGTGTTAGCTCCTGATTGCTAGGCCTCCTGGACTTGCCATTAGACCAATATTGAGAAAGTTACGGTATTGTTGTTCTTCTTCAGGCATGATCGCTAAGGAGCTTCTTAGCGGTCAGAAGATCGTTGCTGTCCACTGTGAGGGCATCAACATCTCTGGCTCCTTGTTCCGTAACAAGCTGAAGTACGAGAGTTTCAAGCGCAAGCACACCAACTCCAACCCCAAGAAGGGCCCTATCCACTTTAGGGTAATCACAAGATCGTCTCTTCCTGTGGTCCACTCATCAACTCTTTCGTTTAGGCCCCCTCTAAGATCTTGTGGAGGACTATCCGCGGTATGATCCGCCATAAGACCGCCCGCGGCCAGGCTGCTCTTGATCGTCTGAAGGTTTTCGATGGTATGCCGCATCCTTACGACAAGGCCCCCAAGCAGGTCATCCCTTGCGCCCTCAAGGTACCGATGCTCTAGCTGGCCTCGTTTTCTCTTATTGTTTTTCTACTGTAGGCCTTAAGACTGAAGCCCACTCGTAAGTTCTGCTGCCTCGGTGACTTGAGCGAGAGGGTTGGCTGGAAGTGCAAGTCTCTTGTGGAGCGTCTCACTGAGCGTCGTAACCTCCACAAGGCCGAGTACTACACGAAGGTCACCAAGACCATCCGCAAGGTCAGGTCTGAGGCCCAGAAACAGGTTGCTGCTGACCCTAAGCTCAAGGCTGAACTTGCTACTGTTGCTCCCATCAGCTTCTAAGAAGAAGGCAGTTTGATCCCTCGAATGTCGGATGAAGATCGACTTCCTACTAGGCGGCTAACTTTCCGGGAAAGTGCCCTTTTGTGTTGAGTATTAGTCGCGAAATATCGGCATGCACTGTTTGCTTGTTTGGGTCCTGTGGCTCTTAAGTGCTCCTGACTCATTTCACAGTGCGATAGTAATAACGAGAGAGTTAGCTAGGCCCGTGTTAAAAGGCTTTGGTCTTAACGTGCATGGTTTAGTGTTACAGCTCGTTAACAAGCGTAATGAATACCAATGATGATAGCAAGGCTCCCTCTTCTGCCATGGTCATAGCTGGCCTAGCGTGGAGACTCCTGCCACTCATCGATCCCTATAATAGCTGATGATGATAGTCGGTACGTCTCTGAGATTGTTGATGAGATACCTTTTCTTTTCACCTTTCCACTGAAGCATAATAGTAAGTGTGGTATCGGGGAAAAGCTCGTTCACGGATACTTGTTCCGTCGAGTCGTGACTGTCTCCGTATAGTAACGGTCAACCGCCAGGGCATAGCAGACTCTAGCTTCACCTCCGGAGATTGCTTTTATATTGCGGGTCCCACATATCAAGGATAGAGAAAGAAATTTCTCGCAGAGGAGTTCACTGTAGTTTTTAATGTATTCACGAATGTAGTAGACGTGGTTATCTTTGGTACACAATGAAGATTAAATAATCATCATCATATCAACAAGTTGAAAATGATAGTAAATGTGGTATCGGGGATAAGCTCGTTCACGGATACGTGTTCCGTCGAGTCGTGACTGTCTCCGTATAGTAACGGTCAACCGCCAGGGCATAGCAGACTCTAGCTTTACCTCCGGAGATTGCTTTTATATTGCGGGTCCTACATATTAACATATCCAATTGATATATAATTAAGAGTGAATGAAAAAACAGATTCAAAGAGTTAGTCTAACAATACAGAAGCATGAGAACGGCGAGCTGTGCTGTGCTCGTTGATGAATCCGATGTCCATCAAGGAAAGAGTGTACCACGCATATGTAGTGGGACGGCAAATACTGTAGCTCAGCGCATTTTCTGTGTGTTCGCTCAATCATCTAGACTCCAGCCCATGTCGTGAATCGGGCGTAACTGTTCAGCGCCAAGGCTTGAAGTTGTAGAATCAAACAAGTTATCGTTATGAACAATTCCTCATGAATACTATTGCAGACGTTTCTCCCATCACGAAATTGACGAACACAGGCCATAAGAAGGTAGCGGAAACTGTCTCGAATAGTACAACAAAAGCGTGCACATAGTAAATTGATACTGTATTATCATCTCATTCGACACCCATCTCTCGACTGAGGGCGCTATAGAGATCATCAAGGGCCGACCCAGACGATACTGTACTAGGAGATACCGCAATAGTGGGTACACTTGAGGAAGGGCTAGGACTACTCACCGACACGGGGGGAACCTGAGAGTAGCAAGAGCCGATAGTAATACACACAGCAACAACATCAACTCCTTACCTCAGCAGCAACAACAGCAGTTTCACTCGAGGGCGCGCTCTCCTTAGACTCTCCTGGTGGAATAATTTCTTGAACTGGAGTTGGCTTTGGTTTAGCAACCTTGGCCTGCCTGGGCCTCTTAGTCTGCCTCGGCTTTTTAGCGACCTCGGCCTCCCTCTTCACGCCCTTACCATTACTCGTCTTCTCCCCACCTGCAGCCTCCACCGTAGCATGCTTAGTCGAGCCTAGGAGCTCCTTGATACTAGCACTCAAGGACTTGATCTTGTCACTAACGACAGGGGCAGCAGATGAGGAGATCTCGCTACTTGTTGCAGACCTAGCTGGACTCCGCCGACGCCAACTAGAGTCTGTCCCTGTAGAACTCTCCTCCTTAGTCTTGTTAGTGCTCCACTTCGACACTTTATTATGCTGCCTTTGGACCTCCTCCTTGGTCTCATCAACAACCAACTGAATTGCCTTCAACCGCTCCTCCTTCTCCTTCTCGGTCTCCTGCCTAGGTTTCGCCTTGGCCACAGGCCCAGGCTTTCGACCTCTCCTGCGTTTCGTCGGTCCACCTTCTGGAGCCGGCAACGATGCATTAGAGTGAGTCGCATCTTCAGCCTGTACCCCTTCTGGCGCTGCAGCGCGACCACTGCTCCTCCCACTGCGCTTTCCCGCAACACCCCCACTCTTCTTAATCGACAAGTCGGTTGTGTTGGGTCCTCCATCAACGCGAGCTGGTCGCGGCCTCTTGTAAGGTGAGTCCCTAGTCCCCTTACGGAAGGCCTCTACCAGGCGGTTCAAGTCTGCAGGAGTCTGAACAAGCAGAAAGTAATCGAACCTCGCGACCATGCCTCGCCTACCGCTATAGCGTCGAGCACGCCCAACGCAGCCTGCAGGGCGGAGCGGTGTTCGCCAGATGAGCTATGAGATGGTAGGAAGTCTAATGGGGACTTGGCTATAGTACTGAAAGGCATAGTGTGAGCATCGAAAGAACCGTGAACAAGCATGCCCCCATGCTTGACAGCGAGTCCAAGAGAGGCACATGTTAGCTGCACCCACAGCTGCTTCGATCGTCTCGAAGAGCCTTGATATTACTTAGCGAGCTTTGATGCTTTCCAGACCCCCTCCCAGTCTTCCATACGCAGTTGGTTCCAGCTTAGCTTATCCTCTTCTATGTTGCACTGCAGCAAGGGCTGCCGCCGCCGCCGATGATGATGATGGTGGTGATGCTCATCCGCCTTTTCTCGGACCGTGAGCCGGGGACTTGGTCGGCTCTCGAGGCTTGTCATTGAAAAGACTAGGACCAAATTCCCATCATCCATTATCAGCAAGCTCATCGGACTCAACACGATCAGACAGGAAGGGGAAAGGGACGTTGAACACACCAGAGAAGTCGTCGAGGCAGAAAAGCAGACCTATGCTGCAATCGACAGCAGTGCGGGAGAATATGCACATGGCCAAGTACATGTGTTGGCGACGAAACGAAGATGTTGTAGGAGCTGGGGCAAATTCCAATCGGCTGAACTTCTATAACTCGCGAGAAAATTCTTGAGCTCAGCTGAGGAAAGCGAATATATAATCCGAAAGTGATCAAGGGTATAGCACCCGAAACGTCTCCCTGTACCTCTACAACAATTGAAAGAGCACAGACCGTACGATAGCGAGTTGTTCCTAAGAGAGGCAGTAATGGTCATTCTAACAGCAGCTAACGCAGCGGCAACAGTAACAGCAACCGAGATCCTCATGCGCTCGTCAGCTCTACACACTACCCTTAAGACAATAACACTGCGCCGGGTCCAGTCTTGAGCGTCGGGCAGGAGACCATACAATAAAATAACACCCAAACCTACACGGCGGTCGGATACATTGTGGAGGAGGATGTAATGAGCTGAGGAGAAACATTCGGACATAACACAAGTCGAATAGGACAGACCAGTAAGTGTCCATAAGATGGTATGACCAGTATCATCAGCAACGGTGCTTCACCTCACAACCTTGCACACTACTTCATCCACACGGCGTCGTTAATTCAACAATCACGTTCAACTGCCAGGGCCTCTCAGCAGCCTCGCCAATAGAGGGGTCGACGATGCCTTGGGCTTGGCTTTGATATGTCCTCTAAGCCCTCCGGCACCTCCCGGCTTCACACGTGGTACAGTATTCCTGCCCAACCGAGGTTTCACTCGTCTATGTTCATGGTCTTCAGCGACAGACTGTGGCTCCTCGTCAGCCTTCTCCCCCATACCCTCACGAAATGAGTCCACTAGATTATTAAACTCCTTAGGACTCTGACGACAGTGCAAAGGTTGGAATCCCGTTAAGGCCATTTCACCCACCACTATAGAGTCCAACACCCTCAACACATCTTCTAGGGCAGGCCGATCATTGGAGTGGCAACGAGGTGGTAGGAAATCCAGAGGGGACTCGATCACAGGGCTGAGGAAGAACAAACTCAACCAGGCGAGCAGAGATGAACAGCACAACAGATAGGGACCATCGGAAGGAGATTAATGAGAGGTAACCCTATCTCTTCTTCAAGACAATTCCACGCCTATAACACCGCGAGTTGAGCCCCGCCCAGTACTTGTCCTCCGCCAGCGTAGACGCCTCCCATACACAGTCCCAATCCTTCTCCTGCATCACTCCCCAATCAACCTCCCTCCCACTCAACTGCCGCCCTTTATCCCCCTTCCCTCGAGCCGTTGACCGAGGACTCTTCCGACGATCATGAGTGGCCATACGTTCAACCTTAGACTTTGATCCCTCTCAGATGACTCCACTTATACTCAACTCCGTATGTGGCCGAGAAACAACGTTTGGCAGTATACAAAGGACGTTCAGTGGACCTTGAGACGACGATGTATCTGAGGGAACCTCTGACCTTCCTCTTCAACTTGCAATAGTGCCTACAACCCGCACGCCTTGGTATTTCTTCACATTACTACTCTGCTTGGCCAAAGCACACTGGCAGTCTGCATGGCAGACGTGAACTCGACCCTCCAAGGCCAGGTTGAACTGACAACAATAAAGGTGTCATAGCGACAGAACAGACAAGCCTCTTCCCCTTCTTCCCAAACAGACCCCAACCGTCCCTCTCACTACCTTTTTCCGCAGTTGCCCCCAAGTCCACTGGTATACGTTGAGCTTGTCGCGAGCCATACGGGAGAAGAACCTAAAGGAGCACCATCGAGTACAAGTACTGATACTCTCGACAATACTCATTCTGAAGCTCTTCCTGCTCCTCCTCATCAGCAGCAGTAGGGACCTCCTTTCCGTACTTCTCAGCCAATTTCTTACACACATTCAACTCCTCCTCGTTAACCTGAAGAGATCATTTCCACCAACATCCCCGCTCGCCGACCAGCAGACCTTCGGGAGCGTCCACTCAGCCTTCTGAGGAATAACCTCCGGCAGTTTGTCGTAGTACATATCCTTCAAGTTGAAACTGTTCATATTCTGCAGGTAAGTTCTACGCTTATCAAACCTGAATTCAAGCACATTTCTACCCCGTCAAGACAACCCCGTGGTACTACTTCTCTTTGAAGGTGTCGTCCTTGATGGCCTTAGGGTTCTGGTAGAGTAGATTCTTAGGCGTCTTTCCCTTCCGCCTCCCCTTAGCCCGAGCAGCTCTCTTCACTCTGTTAGTCCTCTTGATCTGCATAACGTGAGCAAGCTGAAGAGCATTGTGCCTTATTACCACCACCACCACACAAGTCAACTCGACACTGTATGAAGAAATGACTGTGGCCCATGGCTGCTGTGATATGAGTTGTCATACTTATAATACAGCAGACGATATATGAGTTGACATCTGTACGATTTCTTGAGGACTTTACTAAGCTGAATCCGATAGAGGAAAGCCATACGGCAACGTCTAGAAGAAGTTCCGATTGGAATGGCATGAGCACATATTCGAGCACATATACATTCCTTTCTGGATTGTGGAACCAGAGGCTATCTCCATCATATTCAATTTTCTTCCCTGTGTAACCTCCCAAACCGGCACCTGTTCGGCCTCCACGTCATCATGATCATCCGAAAACAACATATTCCGCCACTGCCATGCTACCTGTGACAGCCGCTGCCGACGTCGACGATTACTCTTATCACCGGCGACGCTACGTTTTAGAGTTGATAAGATATCATCACGAACCTGAAATACCATCCGTTGCCATAATCTGATCCGTGCATATGGATATGGTTCCTCGATGACAACAACGGAACCCCTTAAATGTTACCTTTGGATAATATCGAGTACACGCTCTCCTCTACTACTTGTGGTGTACCACAGGTCATCGAGGAAGCATATCCATAGTTTGTCAGTACGGTCGCACATTTGTCTTGCGAGGCCAATGCAAGCACGGTTCCGATTGCGGGTATGCCCACGACTGGAGCGAGCTAAGGCAGGCTCCTGATCTCCGGAAGACCAAAATGTGTCAGCTCGTGGTGCTGACTACGGACTGCACAGAAAAGAATCGCGAGAAAAGCGCATGGATTTCTAATCGATATTCACAAGATCCTCAATGCTTCAACTACTCCCTTATATTATCCTAACAGACATGGAAATGCGATCCCGTATTTTCTATGTATCACCCAGGCTCAGGCGGGAATCTTAAAGTCTCACCAAGACACCCCACTTTGCCCAGTGACGCCTCATCTCGTTAAGGTGCTGTCACTACGACATGGATATTGATATTACGGGAATCATATCAATGAATATGAGAGCAACTACTTCCTATTAGGATAGACTAGTTATAGTGTGTGCGAGCTTGCGACTAGTATCGGGCCCTCTCATTATAGTAAATACCATTATGGCTGATAACACATCATCAGCATCGTCATCATCAGCACAACCTATGGACGGTATCGAGAAGGAGTCCAACGGCCACAAGCCGACAGTGATAGTCGTCATTGGGTAGTGATGTGGCAAAGGAGTGGTAGGACATAGTGGTCATATCTTCAGCATGGCCGGCGCTGGCAAGAGCACTTTCGTCCATCGCCTATACCTTCACTTAACAGCCCAGGAAAAGAGGGTATATTCAGTCAACTTGGACCCAGCCGTACGCAACGTACCGTATCCTACCAATATCGGTACGCCAGCATCATCCACCTAAGATGCCACTCATCGTTTCTTCATCAGATATTAGAGACACTGTCAAGTACAAGGATGTTATGAAGCATTTTGGCCTCGGCCCCAACGGCGCTATCATGACCAGTTTAAATCTGTTCGCAACACGGTAGTGCCTCCATCGCCCTTCACTCGTCCGCTACATAAACCTCTTTAGGTTCGACCAAGCGATGGGGTTGATTGACCAGCGAGCACCGGAGCTTGATTACGTCATAGTAGACACACCTGGTCAAATAGAGGTCTTCAACTGGTCTGCTAGTGGCACTATCATCCTCGACTCCCTCGCCATGGCCTATCCTACGGTTACCTTGTAATGCTACTATCATTCATGGTACCCTACATAGTGGTACTAGGTTCGTTCTGGATACAGTACGTTGTACCTCCCCTACTACATTTATGAGTAATATGCTGTATGTGACCAGTATAATGTAGGGGAGGCATAGCATGGGGTCAGCTGGAAGACTGTACTGCTAGGTACAAGACCAAGCTACCTACAGTTGCCGTCTTCAATAAATGCGATGTGCACCCGTCTGATAGCTGTAGTGATAGGGATGGTTGGAATAGCAGAGGCGAGGTATTGAGTCGTATGCAGGCACGAGATGGATGTCCGATTGGGAGTCGTATATTGATGCTGTACGGAATGATGAACAGAATGGCCCTGATCATGGTGGCGGGTAGTATTACTCATGGGAGGATTGGCTACAGTAGAGGCGTAGTAGTGGTAGTAGTAGTGCTCATGGGAGGACTAGCTACAGTATAGGCCGTAGTGGTAGTAGTAGTACTGCTCATAGGAGGACTAGCTACAGTAGAGGCCGTAGTAGTAGTAGTAGTACTGCTCATGGGAGGACTAGCTACAGTATAGGCCGTAGTGGTAGTGGCAGGAGTAGCATGTAGTATCTATAGAGGAGCCGGTAGTTGTCGTTCATTCCTCTCTCCCTAGTAATCTTCTCTTCCCGACAGATACATGAGCTCTTTAATGAGGAGTATGGCCATCAACATCAGCGAGTTTTATGAGAATCTCGCTCACGCTTCGGTAGGCCACCTCTAGGCGTGTCTTCAACTCATATGCAGCTACCCAGGTGTCATCCCTCACTGGCATAGGCATGGGGGATTGTGAAGCACAGATCATCGCAGCAGCAGAGGAATACGAGGAGTGGGCCAGAGGGGCACTGTAGTTGAGCATATTCTCCTTTTGGATCAGGTCGTATGTTCCTTATCTAGAGGCACGTAAAGCGGCTATCCATAAGCACCGTGTGGAGCTGGCCAAGCAACAGTTGAAGGTATTAGACAATCAGGATGCCAAGAGGAAGCAGCAACAGCAGCAGAAGGCGCCCACTGTGGCGGACGAGGGTAATATATCTCTGCAAGGCATCAGATAGTCGGATAGTCGGACCTTATCACATACTAGCAATAAAAACACTCTAATGGAGTTCTATTCACACGCACTAATGGGTCGTCGGAATGGTGACTGGATTAAATTGAAATTGAGTAATGTGAACATAGCAGGAGCTGACTCGTTATCTCGTCGAACCTTTTTGTTATGGTGATATGTAATCCTAATGTCATCAGCTTAAAAGGCGAAGTCATGTATATTCTATTGGTAGGTGCTGGGGAGGAAGTCGATGAAGAGGAAGACGCTGAGGATCTAGCCAAGTTCCGTGAGATGTTGGCTCAACATGCCAATCCGGAGAGGGCTACTGCAAAGGGGATAGCGGAAGAAGATGAGGCCAAGAGGATGCGCAAATAAATGCTCTGTCCAACGTACTTAACAAACCGTTCCTTGTTTCTGAACTCAGGGATTGTGTTACATGGTTACTATCAATGCTTGCGGTAGGGTGGTAGATGTAATGAGCTCTAGGGCGACATCAGTCTGTTTTGAGAGTCGCCTGTGGTGACGGTAGTAGCCAGTGGATGCATTCACCACTGTATATAGTGGCTACTACGATGCACTTAGTATTGCCTCTGTCAAGTAGTACTTGAATTTCTCCTAGTGTGGCATATTCCTGCAATGGGCATTCTAGTGATGTTGTGTGGCCATACCACACTTCCTCCAAATCGGCTTCACCTTCCCTATGAAGTAGTTGAGTCAGATCGTCATCAATCAAGTTGAGCCCTTGTAATTTAAAAGCATCTAGTAGTATGTCATGGCCTACCATACTTTTCCTGGCTGTATACCTCCTCACTACAGCTCTCTGTGTATATGCTGTTGCTAGGGGTTATGCTGATGCTGAGAAGTGCAGCACTGAGAGGATCAACCGCAGTTTTGGTATACCACACCCGCGGCAAACTGCTTTGAAATCTATGGTGGCATTTAGGTGAAGTTCCTAGCGATTGGAAAGCCTTCATTAGACCTAAATCTCTGCGGTCTAATTTCGTGTCAATAATGGTAGGTCTCCTACAGTCCTATTGTCATCGTGGCTTGTGTCAGATCCTAGCTGTAACTGTGGTACCTCTCAAGTTCATTGCCGTTATTTTCATCCACGTGGTTGCCCTTATCGGTCTCTATACCCTCCCTACCCGAATTTTCCTCAAGCTGCTCAGCTACTGCTGTGCCGCGCTGGTCAAGATAACGGGTGCATCCTCAGCCCAAGATTATGTCTCCTCCCATCTCGCGTCCGTAGGTATCACTGTGAGAGAGGAGGGCACGAGGCTTCCAGCCAACGAGGTCCCTACCATTGTTTCTAATCATGTATCATATTTCGATATACTAGTAAGACTGCTTCGCTCCGCTAGGCGTATTGCCGTTTTCCTTTCGTAGATCATGCTCTCTCGTAGAGTTCCAGTGGCATTCGTCGCCAAGAAGGCCGTAGCAAAATACCCCGTCTCGGGCGATATATGCACCTCATTAGGCAGCGTGTAGGAGGATGGCCACCAGCCTGTCAAGAAGTCATGTACCCATGGTCAGGTACGTGAGTAGAGCTAAGGATCCCAAAGAGAGGGAACGAGTGATGGCTGCTATTGGTGACAAGCAAAAACGTAAGTCTCAGGAATAGCAGGCCTCGGTCGAAGTGGTTTTTGTTGGTCAGGTGTTATGGAGGGCAGGTCTCGTTATCAATTGTGTGTATTTCCCGAAGGAACTACCTCTAATGGTACCTCCCTGATGCATTATCATGATGGTGCCTTTCATAGCATGTTGCCGGTGAGCTAAGCTGCTCCCTACTGTCATTACTACTACTCCAATGACAGGTACAACCGCTG